CGTTGAAAACTCAAATTCGAAAATTTTCACGATAGCAATACTTACCCTTACTATATATATTAGATATCAAGGTAAGTGAAAGTAAAAATCAGTTTCAAAAAACGTAATCCAATTTATGTAACAGCAGATATTTAAATTAAACCAGTCGTATAAAACTAATACTTAACTTCTTATTATTCTTAATATTCATAAGCTGTTAATATTCTACTATGACATTCAGCAGTTCCAATATGAAAAAAGAAATCAATAATAGTTACAATAAAAAATCTATATAATAAAATCATGAACGTGTAGAATGGACTAACTGTGCCTGTACCACTTATCAAATTATCCCAACCTTGGCCAAGGAAACATTCCAAGATCTAATTACTGGCAAATCTCTTTCAAGCGTCGTTTTGTTAGTATAGTATAACATAAACAATAAATGTATTTCCGTTTTACAGAATCTGTTAGTATGTACAAGTCCCTTAACTGATTCGTGAGATCAACTGATGAGCATCGGAAATCAATCAATGTATCAGCGCTGAGTTTAAGAATTTGTCCTATCGCTATTCGGAGTACTAACTCGTGGTTTGGAGAATTTTGAGAGTTCTTTAAACATTTTACTAACAGAAAAAAAACAAATAAATTTGACTTAGTTCATTTGTCGAAACAGATTCTGAAATATCGAAGTAACAATTCATACTGAAAAAGGAAAATTTAAAACAGAATCAACATACACTGAATTACAACTCACCATAAAACATATTCCACATTTCTCGGTACTCATATAATATAGAAAAGAATAAAAATTGAAATCAAATTAGATCATTTCTATATAAGTCTACCAACGTGTGAAGATGTTAGAGAGACATTTGGTCAATTAATTGAATTTTACCAGATTGACTTTCAAAAACACTTTTTCAACTCGTGTGAATTTCATTAAAAATTTTTAATTTTAAAATAAAGCTAATTTATTTTAAATACAGAGTTAAATATTACTGATTCAGTTCACTAGCAGATCCAGGATTTAATTTTGAGGCAGAGGGTCTTCAGCCCGAAAGCTTTTTTTTTCATATAATGAAATAGTATTTAAGTGAATCTTGAAGTCCTAATAAATAAATGTAATAATTTTATTTTGTTTGGAGGGGGAGGGAAGCTTCAGCTCGAAAGCCTCCGCCTAATGCCTCCCCGTAGGTAATTAACTATTGTTAACCGTAACTATTATTCAGTTGTAATCCTAAATTTAAATAATGGCTGACAATGGCGGATCTATGAGAAGGGAGACTTTCCAGTTAAAGTCTTCCCACTTCTCATATACTTTATTAAAATATGTTTCAATCTAGAAGAAAAATATTCTCATTGATTCGTAAATGCACTTTAAGAAAGATTTAATAATATACATTACTTACGTACTTTTACCTTAATACAATACAAAATTTATAAAATAAAAAGAATAATTAGGAGCATATTAATCTAAAACTTACCCAAAAGTAAAAAAAAGGTGAATCAACTGAAACACTGCTACCGGACCAGGAGAACAAAATGTACTTATATCGATAAGAAAACTGAAAAAACATCTTTGATAATACACTCAACCATTTACAACTAACATAACTACAACACAAAACTACAACAAACATAACTGAAAGTCTTTGGAATACCAAATAAATTATCTTGCACTAACTGTTAAGCTTTTTTTTTCGAAACGCCGAGAGACTGATGGCGCTTTCTCAGTCACTGTTGCCAATGGTTATTAAATAATATTAAAACCATGAAATTTAATTACTGTAATATATCATAATATTTAATAAAATAATTAAATGTCGTTATCAATTTTTTATGACATCTCTAAATATTTAATATACATTGAAATAATCATATCTTGATTTCATAAAATTCGTGTAATGATTGATTTCTGATGTATAGTAATATAACTATTGATAAAAGAAAATTATATTGAAGTACTTACGGCTGTTGAACCCAAATAGACAAAATAAAAATAAATTATTTTAGAAGACCCCATGGGTTACGCGTGGTTCACGATCACTTCGGTCACACTTGTTCATAGAGTGCTGAAAGCATAGGATTTTATCTGAAAGATTGTTTTCGTGAACAAGTGTGACCAAAGTGATTGTGAACCACACGTAACCCGTACGGTCCCCATCTAAATAATTACCAAACAAAATTAAAATAATAATTCCATTTACTAAAATAGCTACCATTAATGCAAGGGCGGATCTAGGGGGGGGAGCTTTAGGGCTGAAGCCCCCCTCTCCAAAATGGTAAAATATAACGATGTTTTCTGAAAAAAAATTATCTTTAAAAGTATTATTGTTCATCTAATTACAGTCAATAGGACTTCAACAATCATTTAAATACCATATCATATAGGTAGTTAATTTCTTTCTTTCTTCCTAAGTCATTATCCTAATATATTTATTAAAAAAATATCTTTCAGGTTGAAGCCCGCCCCCCAATATTAAAGGTGTTCCATAGACATTTCATAAACTATGGGAAAAACAATTATCTAACAACTAACATCAAAATTATTGCTAAACCAAACTATTTACTTTATTTCTCTTCATACCGACGCAGATAGAAAATATCAGAAATAATAAAATAAAAAAAATACAAGAATAGTGAAATAAACATTTATATATTTGTTAGTCCTATAGTTCGAGAAATGTCTAAATGCCACTTAAGAAAAGTTGTATCAATTCTTTTAGGTCAATAAGCTTTTACCAAGAAATAGAAAATATAACTTACTTATGGACAAAATTTTAAAATTACTTAATTCAGAACTAATTTTAAACATGAAAAACAAACTTGATTTACAGATAGATTTTTAGTTTTGATGACATTTTTAAATATAGGAAAAATAGATGAAAAAAAATTAATAATTAACCTATTCAATGTAAATTAGAGTAATCAAACTCATCATTTTCATTTAATTATATCAAGTTCATTGATATTTTTAATTTCACTTGTTTATTGATGGCTTTATCAACATGACACCCCAATATTACTGTGTAGCTAATTCTCTCTCTTGGAGTGAAAGCACATGAACCCCTCCTCATGAGAAATCTTATTGCTTTTCTCTTCTTAAAACAGTGCAAATGAAAGTGAAATGATAACAATTATAGTTTAGTTCTTTTCTTTGTTCTTTGGTTAGAAAGTTTTCTTCAATTGAAATTTAAAAAAAAAATAATTTCCTTCCATCAACCTGTAAATAAATGGGCCCACAAAAATTTATAACATCGAAAAAATGTTCCTAATAGACACTCCTGATCATCCCGCTAAAATAGAGTTGAATGCCCTCAAGTACTAAATATAAAGGTATTAATTGTAGTTCATAATTTTACAATCAGTATACCCTTTTTTCCATGAGTCCCAAGGCTTTGTCAACGCGGAATTACCAACACTTCCCTCCATCCTACAGTTGGTGAGAATGTCAACCTAGTATTGCTAATAGTAGCACTATCAATAGTTTCAAAATTTCCAAATTTTTTTACCTAATAAGCAATTCATTGCTTGATCTGACTAGAGTATAAATATAAATTTGAATTTATTACAGTTGTTTTCTTTTTTCTTTTAATTTTATTTTCATTATCTTCTTTACAAATGGAATAAAAAAAAAAATTAAACTCAAAATATTCAACTTCTTTCAAGTTTCTGAGACCTTGCTCTTATAGATATATTTTGTTTTTATCGTTTATATGGAATAACACCCTTATATACTAATTTCAATTTGGTCTATAAGGGTGGTCATTCTAAAGTTCACCAACTTATTTGAGCTATGTTGGAACGATTAAGTATGTCAAAGTGCTGCCCATGGGCGTAGCCAGGATACTGCTATGTACAGTTGTTCACCTTCCCTCCCAAAAAAAAATTAAAATAAAACAGTAAAAAATATAAATACCAAATTTCTCAGAATTGAAGGACTCCAACAGAGTGGTTGTTAGCATTTGACCATTCTGAAAGATCCTCATTAAATAAATAATAAATAATAAAAAGCTTAGCGAACCCGAAGGTTCGATGCCGACATCACCAATCGCTTATTATACACCTCCCCCTCCTCCGTTCGCCATCCAAACCCAGTCCCTTCAGATTGGCTTTAATGCAATCTTCCCACCTTCGCTTCGGTCAACCCCTCGGACGCTTACCATTACGCACAGCAAATATTAACCTTTTAGGAATTCTCTCGTTACTAAGCCCAACAACTTTACAAGCCCATTTGATTCGCCGCGATGAAATTACCTCAATTATATTACCCGGATACAGTTCACGCAATTCGGCATTGTGTAACCGTCTGAACTCTCCAGTTAACTCATCCTTCCTCGATCCGAATATTCTACGCAATATTTTATTTTCAAAAACCTTAAGACGCTGCTCATCCCTTAATGTAAGCGGCCAAGTTTCGCATCCATAAAGAACTGTAGGCAAGATAATTGTTTTATAGATTCTAATTTTTAAGTTCCGGGACAAGAGGCACGAACTAAGTAGTTTTGTCACAGAAAAATAACAAGCATTTTCCACCTTCAGTCTAACCTTAATCTCTTCTTCAATTTCATTTTTTCTAGTTATCCTGGAACCTAGATACCTAAATTTATCTACCTGTTCAAACATATTACCATCTATATCGATATCACCAGTAGTATCGCCATTTTTGCAGCTAACCATATATTTCGTTTTATCCACGCTTATTTCGAGTCCTAGTTCTTTACGGGCTTTCATTAACGTTGTCATATTTAGTTTTATAGTTTGAAAGATCCTCATTACAAAAAAAAAAAAGTCTATAAGAAAAAATTAATTTAAAAAACTGCTAGCCCTATTGAAGCAAAATTTTTGAGCTGGCAATGACCTTGGTGCTATCCCATCACTACTACTCCACACAGCTTCAGAAAATATGTAAATTCGAAATCAAAAGAAGGTTAACTATATAATCTGTTGTCGGAGGACAGGAGATAATGTAGGATTACAGGTAGAAAAAAGAAAAGAATATGAAACACCAAAACATATACATACATAAATAATTTTATTGTTTAGTATTATTCAAATAAATAATTTTAATACGTAAATATTTATTTACAAACAAACATTATTTGGTATGAAATTAAGGGTATCACTACTTGTACATTAATTTATGATTATATATGCATTTTAAATGAACATTAGTGATTAATAAATAGAATCCTAAAACTATTTTTCAAATGTATACAAAACAAATTTGCAAAAATAAATTCTGTACATCTACATTAGTGAAAATATAAAATTTAAGCTGATTTTCCTAAACCTATGTTATAAGGCATTAATTATTAGTTTTTTGTTTTGTTTTTAATTTTTTTCCAAACTAATTATATAATAATATAACACACAGGGTAACTTAAAATTTGTTGAAATTTCCCAACAGTAAATTTCTAAGTAAAATATCTCGTAATCATGAGTATTCTCAGTAATCCTTAAATTTTAATTAGTCAATCAAATGAATACAACAAATTTAAAAATATATATATAATAAATTTCAAATAATTACATAAATTGCAGTTATAATTACAGACTAGGACCATGTACACAAACAATTTAAGAAATGGTAAAATTACAGCCAAAATAATATATTAAGGAACAAAACTCGATGGGTAGCTGACAATTTTTAAGAATATTTCAAATATTTACCATGTAAATAATATAATGAGTAGTTAATAATCACATGTTAGTCTTTGTACAAACTGAATTTTAAAAAATATTATTCTACTGTTATATGTAATTGTAAAAAATTATAATAATTTGTCTCAGTACCAACACCTGAAATAAAACTTATTTAAGACTATTAAGAGTAATGAAAATAATCATCAAGCAGTTACAGTGCAACATTGAAAGCTTTCCTTAAAAATTGTAAACGTCACGAATTTTTTTTCACAACTAAATGCATAATAACCACACGATTATGGTTAAAACAAGGTAAATAATTAAAATCAAAGTTATTGATACAGCCATTAGTTAAAATATAATTTATACCAGTAGTCATTTTATTGCTTATTGTAAGTTTCCAATCTCGTATCTGATTTATTCATAATAAAATCATCACATAAAACCATACTAATAATATAATAATGTATAGATACTAGATCATAATTTATACACAATATGGAAAATATTTATGTAAAACTACTGGACATTTTAAAAATTAAAATTAAATAATACAAACAAAAATCGAAACAATCAATAATATTTGACTATAATTAAACATGCTTTTAGAACCTTAATTATATGCTTTTGGTTTGTAGTAACAACAGATGTCATCTTAATGTAATAGTTCTCACAATGGAATCTCTAACGATTCAGATAAATAAAATTAACTTTATTTGAGCAGCATTTAATAAAATAATTAAATGAATAATAATTGAAAAATAAGAAGAAAAAAATAAAGAAAGAAATAACAAAATAGTTTTAATAACAACAAAAATAAACAACTAAAAAAAACTGAATCACAGAAGAAGAAAAAATTGTAACAAATGAAGGAATGTAATAAATTCACTTCTGAATTCAAAAATTAAAAATCTGTTTTAAATATATACAACTTACAAAAATATTTTTCACTATTTTTTTTTTTCTAAAATTAAATTCATTTCAATAATAATAAATGAGTAATATTTGGTATGAAGTAAAACTAATTTTTGAATGTTAGGAAACTAAATTTTATTAAAAGTGGAATGAGTGATAAAAATCATAAAGAAGTTAAAAATTATAACAGTAATCAATATAATAAGAGATATTTTCAAAGAACAAAACTTCTTAACATAAATATTTAAATCAGCAGTGTTCTAAATATGTACCACTGGATCCAGTTAGACAAATTGTTGATTGAGAAAAATATAAAGTTATTTTAAATAATTGCTTAACACGAATAAACATATAATGCTTAAATTTAAATACTTTTGCCAATGATCCTTCAGAATTTCAGAGAATATTTTTATGACAGAGAAGACCATCAATATAAATTAAATCCACGTAAATATTTATATTGTTTTTGATAATATCGTGAACAAAATAAAGCAAATGTATTAAATAAAAATATTAACAGGATAATCAGACCAAACTAACTTCAAAATTAAGAACAATGTTCAAATAATGTAGCATTACATTCCAATCGAAAGCTCAGCAGCGAAAAAAAAAAAAAGCAAACGTAATAAAGATACTTCTGTACAATTTAAAACATAAGACCTGCCAAGTTCACTGAGAAACAAAGAACTATAAAATAAAATGTTGTAAAATATATTTAAATAGTTTAAGTTTAATTTAATTTAACCAGCAATCCTTTAATTGTTATAAATGAAAGCAGTTCCATTCAATTACTGTAGTACCATTTGATATTTAAATGTCAAGGAAACCATATATTTATTTATTTTTAATTATCTTAAGTTTTATAATGAAAGTTTTCATTTCGACTATCAAACATTAAGATTATTTAATCAAATGAAATTAATTATTACTTATTACAAATGATGGACAATCAAAGATTTCAGATAGCCAGAGACTTTTAAAAAATTTAAACGAAACAAATACAGTAGCCCCAGTGTAATATCACCCGCCAACAGTGCATACAATGTTTTCAAACGAGATTACGGAAATAAGTGTATAAAAAAAAACAAAGTAATTCAAAAGTACTTTACTGAAATTGAATAACAAATATTTATGTTTCAATTTTGCTGATTAAATTCACCCCATCTATTGTTTTAACCTCATAGACAAACTTCATGTCTTAATTTAAATGTTTTTCTATAAACAGATTTCCCGCTATGACGGAGCATTTTCTAATACGGAACAGTCCTCACCTGAAACTTGCCAGGTTAGTACAAGTATAAATTCAATATCATACTTTTAAATTAACTTATAATTCAAGTTAAAAATACAGTTGAACCCCTATACATCAAACTTTAAAAATCTCAATACCGAATATTGAACAAGTTTTTCAATTTTTGAAATTAAATTATAATTATAATTTATATTATTTTATTAATTGTAATTACAATTTATAACTGTCACAATAAGAAAAACATACACACATATACAAATATTTTACATAAAAAAAGATCAATTGAAGGAAATTAGTCGACAGTTCTACATATCATGGGTGATAGATATTCAGGACACAGTAATTATAAAATTTTTATTAGTGCTGACGTTTCAACCCAAACATGGGGGTCATCATCAGTGTGTGTTTCGAGTACTTGAATATCTTCAGTGCTCAAAACACACCCTGATGATGAACGACAAGTTTGGGTTGAAACGTTGGCAATAAAAATTTTATAATGACTGTGTCCTGAATATTTATCATCCAAAAAAAAAAAGATCAAAACTAAAGCATGTATATTTTGATTTTTTAAAGAATAAAGAGGTCTTCGCTTGCTTTAGAGACCTAAACAAAGCGACAGGGTGTAAAAAGAAGACATCTCTAGAGCACTGAAAAAGTATAAAGTCCATAGAGGTCTGAGAAAGGTCATCCTAAGCCTGTATAAAATGCAGAGAAATGTTGTCAGGATGTGCTACCATACATCAGGGAAATTTCCAACTGGACAAGGCTAAAGGGCTGCAGCTAAGCTTAGTCTCTTCTTGTTCATCCAGGAAGAACTGGATTCTGCCCTTAAGTTAAGCAAGCAAAACAGAAAAAGAGGACATAGCATTTCAGATACAGAAACCTCTGGATTGTCTGGTACTTGTGTTTGCTGACGACATGATGGTGTTCAGAAATGACTGCCACAATCTACAGTTTATCCTGAAGATCCTCCAACCTGAACTAAAGGCCATAAATATGGGAATCAACATCTCCAAAACACAATTTAAGAGGATCAAAAGAAGGAAAGATAGTGGGGATCTAATAATTGGAATGAATGAAATCTATCTGGAGCAAGTAATGGATTTCAAAAACTTGGGTACACACCTAAAAGAGTATGGATGGGCCAATGGAGACATCAAGGAGAGGATCAAGACGGCCGGAAGATCCTTCAATTTCCTCATGGGAATAAATAAATAAAATATAATAAAAAAATATGAACACCAAATGTATATATGAAAAACATCGTTAAATCTATAGAGGTACAACTACATAAATGTATTATTTGCCATTTAAAAATACAGTTCATAACTATAAATTTGTCATTTAATGTAATAAATTAGATCAATAGGGACGGCCGAAAGTAATGTCATTTCTGAGATTTGTTTATCAGTTATCAGTTTATTATATCCTTTAAAGTCATGTAAAAGATGTTTTAAGGTTGAAGTGATTTTTTTAGATAAAAAAGCAACTTACAATGTGATCAACTAGGAGACAGGGTAATTAGGGATATTACTGGATGCATATTTATTCCTAGACTGATAGAAATAGAGGTGAACTCACTTAATGATAAATTGAAGAAATTAAAAAAGAGATCAAGAGGACAAGTTACGAGTTCTACAGCAACGAATGCTCAGTGACCAAAGTACCAAGTAATTTCCAGTGTCTGGATTGTGAAAAATAACAATATTGTGAATTCAGAATTCTATTTGGTTGTTGGCCTTGCTGGTTTAGAAAAGTAAAAAAAAAAAAAAAAAATGAATTAAAGGAGAGAGATATTAAAAGAGCGTGTATATAAAAGAAAGAATAAAAGAACTATAAGAAAAATCAGAAGAAACTATAAGAAAATAAAATTGCTAAAAGCAAAATTAACATAACAAATAAAAATAGAAAATAAATAATGTAAAACAAATAAAGATCAAAAAGATTGTGATGTAGTCCTCAGAACTTACAGAATGTAAAAAAACAACATTGCTTAACGACCCCCTTGTATATTCTCATAAAGATTTCTCTTCAATAGAGAACCATTTTCTTAGAGATTTTTTAAAACCGCAACATAAATTTAAAGCAAAATTATTTTTACATTGGAAAATGTAATAAATATGTAAAAGCTACTTGTTAGTAGGATTATTACAGGAATTATTTTCAATTTCAAAGTTAGCTATGTTATATTTTTGTCAACACTGAGCAAAAGTATACAGACTAATTAGAAAACTTATAAAAAATTATTGATATAAAACTATTTAAATTTTTTTCTTATCACAATGAAAAGGAATTAGAGCTTTATTAAGCAGGCCAGCTGCTAACGAATAACCTTATCTCATCCACATTCCAGTTTTATTATAAATATAGTATATATCTGCTCTGCAGAACTCAGCAGCTTAGCTTAGGCTAAACTAATTAGCGAATAAAATTAATCATTAATTACATAATCCATTGTTTTAATGAATTCAATAGCAGAACAAAACTGTGTCCAGTAATACTCCTCCTCCCCTTCCATTTTGCTTCCATAGAAACTTGTAATGTACTCGACAGTACTAAGTAGCGATGGAGGGTTAGCCTAAAATAAAAAGTTATAGCATTAAACAATAGTATGATTTAATAACATTTGTTAGGACAGTATAACACAATATAAACAATATAAATACAAAAGATTATGATTTATCCCTTACGACTTACACTCAGATATCCTCTATATTAGGGGTCCCCAAAACTGTACCCGCTGAACTTAACCTGTAATAGCTATCATCGTCCTGACAGCCGTTAACTGTATTATGCAGTATTGCTGTTCAACAAATTTATAAAAAAATATCTAATAAATAATTAATTGCAAATATAATCGCATTTCTTTAACAATAGCCATTTATTGGTATCATAATATTTTAACAATACTTTCTAGTCAATCTTTATCATTATTTTCCATTTTTTTTTTTTTTTAATGTAAACTTAATTACAACTTTGGTAATTTTTCATACAACGTATCTAATCACTAGTTATGCACCTCTTATTTAATTTATTCAATTTATCATATAATCATTTTCTCCAAATTATGAAGTACTCGCCAATGAAATACAGAGTAAATATTTCATTATTTAGTGAATTACATTACTTTCTACATGAGATCTTATTAATTTAAGTTACTTCATGGATTACTTTGATAATAGGGGAGAAAAATTGTAAAAACGCAATCATTTTTCAATTTAAGAGTCAAAAAACTGGTGATCAATAACTCAAAATCTATGTTTTCTATATGGAGAGAGGAGTGCTCACTAGACAAAATAACTGTTTTTTGGTTAAATAGTAGGAATTTTTAATCTGCCTGGTTAAAAGAACCAGTAGTTTTAATCGCTGGTCGTCCACAACTGCTGGCTTTCCACTCCACTGAAATTTATTATTTATTATAGATAGCTGATCCAGATAGTCATGAAAAGTGCTGTCAAATAGATGAAATATTTACTAACTATAAAAAGTGATTTATTAATAATATTGAAAAAGGCCCACATTATATTTAAAACCATTAAAAAAATACTCAGATTTCAATTTTTATACAAAAGTAAGAATTGCACTTATATATTGAATCTTGCTGGACAGACATAGATATATAGGAAAATAAGAATACAGTTGAATGTAAAGATTCAACAGCAAGAGTTGATTGCATATTCAACACTAAGAATTAAAAAGCCTATATGGGGAGTGCATGACTTCGCCATCGATTTCAATCCAGATTTTTTTAGTGATTCTACATAAAACAAAAAAATCGACATGTGTTCTGTTCAAGCAATTCTTCCAACAGGCTCTAGTAACTATGGAAGAAAAATAAAATAAATTTGTAAACTGCTTTATTTTATATCCTGTGTTTGCAAAATTAAATCAACATATTTTTTTTGGTCAATACATTTTTATAAATGTAAAATTATTAATTAAACTAGCTTTTTAGATTGTTTTACAACAAGAATTATGGCAGATTTGTATTCATCGCACCAAAAAAGCTTTAGATTTCAATTGTCTAGACCAGCCTAGACATGAGAATCACTAGTTTTAAAAACCAACAAAAATCAGAACTGTTTCATACATATCTTCCTTTGAAAGTTCTCAAATTAACATTTTTTTTTTATTTATGATATTTACAACTATATTAATATAAATACATCAAGTAAATGTAATCACATGAAAACGCTTGTTCAGAAACTACTCACTGATAGCATTCTAATTATTAATAATATTAAAACAAGGTTATCAATTATACATAATTGATTATCGATTATTATAATTGGCAAGGATAACAATACAAGATAATTTTCAGATATAACTGACCACTACTGTTTGGCCAACATGAGAAATTAATTTATAGAAAGCACATGTGTAACCTCTCTGTCTCACTGTTAATTATAAAAAAACAACATTAATAATAAAAATGGGCAAATTCATTATTAACAACACATATTGTAGATCTCTTCGGAACTACAATCTGGAACTATTTTAGATGTTTTACTTCCAGATGAATCTACTAGATGAACTTAAATTTAAAGTGTGGTATTAACTGAATCTCTTCAAGATATCAATAGTGTTTTGAAGGTTCATAAAATAACTTTTGTTGTTTGTTTCAGTGCCTATTTTATTTTATTATCTATTGTATATACTTTTGATTATTATTTTGTTTTTATTTATTTTACGTTTTTTGTACATATAGTGTGAATGTCATCCTACCTCACTATAACCAATGTCCAAGAGACAGATTGTTGTATTACTCAATAAAGAAATTTAAAAAAAAAAAAAATAAATAAATAATAATTAATAATTTTTTTTTTTCAAATCTGCTAAGTATCATTAGCAAGACTTTCATAGTACAGGAACTTCATAACTTTAGTAATGATTACTTCCTGGTTTCTCAGGGATGCTGATATATCCTGGGGTATTCCAAGATCCTTTAACCTTGCGGTAACTTTTATTTAATAACTATTAGATGTTAATTGTTTATTTTATTAAAATATATTGTCACTGTTGTTCGGAATACTTATTTTTTTTATGATCGTCTAAAGGCAATGTCCTCCATTACAAGGGAACTTAGGCCCTTACAACTACTATGTAGTACATTAATGTAGTCAAATAAATAGAACTAAAAGGTTCAGACTGTTTGATAATAATAATATAATTTAAAATGATACTCACCATAATAATAACATAAACCAAGACCGGAATCAAATCATCAGCAGCTGGTATACAGGCTAAAGAGAGGAGATTCATGATTGTACTTATAGTACGGAGTATACATTGCAATTTATCTCTGGGACTTCTATAAGCAGCTAACTCACTGATTTCAGCTTGAGCGCTCATCCAAGGAACTTCACAATGGAATATCTGTCAAACAAGGTTCAAGTCAGTTCATTCTCAAGTTTGAAACACCGCATCAGAATGTATCACACCGAGCTAACTTTAATGATTAGTTGCCTATAAACCATATCCTATATATGTGCATAAGAAATGAAATATAAATATAAATTTCGATGTTTCTTCTATATCTCATATTTTTAATACAATGACCAAAAATATAGAAAAAAATGAATTTTAGTTCTTTTTTTTTTTGTCATTTTGTTATATATTTTACAATCAAATTAAAGTGTTATTTACTTTCAATGTTCTAATAAAAAAATTGATTCAGCAAACATAATACTCGTAATAGGTACTACTACAAGATCGATTCAGAAGTATTTAACATGTCATAGATGGCAAACACAACACGTATTTACAACAGAATTTAATGCCACACCATCAGAACAGAAAATAATTTAGACACATAGACATAAAGTTGATTGTATCCATGACTTTTTTAAACAAAATATTGTCCAGTGATGATGTCCAACAAAATGCCCTACAGTGATGAAACCATTAAGGACCTAACTTCAAGTGAAGCACTTTAATGCACAAACCATCAGATTGAAAAATATACACAAGATACAAAGGCCATAAGTATGGAATGTATAGTAAATAAATATAATCAAATAATTTCTAAATTAAAACTTACTTTAGGAATACGAAGATCTTTGTGGTTAGGCGTAATTACTTTAGCCAACTTAGCAATATGCTCTCGGAGAACTCTGTGGAATAAAAAAAAAAAGTTAATAAAAACATAATTTAAAACGTTAGCTGCTGAACATAATATTTCTTGAAAGTCTTTCCTGACAAAGTGACATTAGTTATGAAGTTCATCAGTTTCAGCTTTATATCAGGTATAATGATTATTTACATTTGTATCTTTACAACTATCCAACTCCCATTCAAATATTTTTAAAAATGACCATTTTAGAGACTTCGTAAGATAGACTAAATTCGAAACAACCCTGGCCGCTTGACAGTCAAGACGAATATCGGAAACCAGGGACCGCAACCACAGCTAACCTGTTAAACTCGTATACTAATATTTGACTATGGTTAACTAATTTTTACCATGTTATAAACAGTGAAATGTTAACTGAAATCATGAATATTTAAAATAATATCAGTAATAAGGAACTAAATCCTAGTTCTTACATTTAATTTTATTGATTTTACAAGACTATTTAATACTTCCACTCCTAGCAAAGGAATTTGACTTAAAAAAATTATTAGTACTCAAATAAATATGGATCTGTAAAAGTACATAGATAAAATCCAATATGATCTTGCATTTGGAGGTTGAAATTAAATCAGTGAATTGAAGATGATAGGGTGCTTTAGACTCGGATGTTCAAATTGGAAAGTTTATAAAAATGAATTAATGAGTCAGTATAGATAAATAAAATAGCACAAAGCAAACAATGGTGTTAACTAATATACCGATGACTCTCTTGCTGCTTAAGGCTAATGATCATGCACTAGAAAAAAGTCAAACAATTACTAAATGGAATAAACAACTGCATACTGGTCATTGTAATCTTAATCCTCTCGATGGTTCGAACGCAGGCTTGTAGTATTCTCGAATGACGAGGGTAGCTTCAATATGATATAAATATATTATACTGATTGATGAAATAATGCGACAGATCAATCTTAATCTAAATTAACTCTGATTCTGGTATATATTTGTTTTATATGTGAAATAGCTTTCAGATCTGATTGAAAGGAAGTTAAAGGTTTTAGGCATTCCTAAGAGCAATTGGTGTGATAGGTTTATAAATTTAAGATTTACAATTTTGGTATTGATTACAGATCGAACCCTAAGCATTGTGAACTAATCAGTCAATTGAGCCTATCTTTCTAATGAGTCTACTTATGGATGTTCTACTAAACTTATGCTTTGAAAATAAACCAAATGGTTATAATGGGCCTGAATAGGTTGCTTTGCACTAGGCCGAAAAAACAAAACAAATCTAATAACTTACTGATCTCTTGATAAATCTCCATCTCCATTAGGATACATGCCATGAACGTACACTCGGCTGCACAATGATCTTTCAAAGGCTCTTCTAACCTTCTTTATGTCATCCCTGCTGCCGCCTGGGGGAATTGTAATATATATATATATCATATTAGTAGGATGAAAAACTCTGATACCCACTAATAGAAATAGATTGAAATTAGACTTAAGTAAGAGAGAAATTATAATTTTTACTGAATAATTATTAGTTTTGAACTGATACTAGACATAACAAATTGAGAAAAAAAAACTAAAAGGAAAAATACAAGAAAGAATTTAGGAGTTTTCATAACCAAAATAATATTAAATAGATTATCTTACATTGCCAATTAGGATCCTTCTCCATGTCACTACATAATGTTTCGAGAAATGATTCTAAGAGATAGCTTTTCTCATCGGCCAAGCTAAGGGCTTGGAACTCTGAAATGAAAGCAGATATTTGTGTTTCTCTTTTTTCCAAGAAAAGTCGAACACATAACGATATCAGATAGTCAGACACAACTCGTTTATCATTATTTACTCGAGCAAGTAACCTGAAATAAAGAGTATTATTTTGTAATTTAGAAAAGACTTTAATATACTTAGATAATTCTTAGATATTTCATACAATTGTAAACAAACATTCTAAAAGTGTTTTGAAACAAATACAAAATTAACCTAAAAAGGCTTCACTTGATTTTATGGAGTCCTTTTAATGAATTAAATATAATAATAGATTCTTTAAAATCACAAAAAAATATTTATTTATATTTTTTTTAAAGGTTTTTACAATTGAAAGCATCTTTTCCATTAATAAATATTTGTTTATAATCCTCTAGTTTGATGTTTTCGATTTATGACCCACCATCGAGGAAATTTATTCTGTTGTTAAAACATTTCACTCATTTTATTATTTAATTAAAAATAATTCTTGGGTTATAAATACTCAGGACGCAGTCTATTTAAAAAAAAATTTTTTTATTCGTGCCAACGTTTCAAATCAAACTTGTGGGTCATCTTCAGGGCTGAACATTTTAAAATATAATCAGGGATATAATATTATACAACCGATAATGGTAAAAAAATAAACTATAGTGATTGATGGTACATGAGTCTTATCTAATATTACAACACACATATTAAAAATGAAATATGTAAAAAGTTATACAAACTAAAAATAATGTATATAATCCATTTATACAAATTTGTAATATTTTCTCTTAGTAACCGTGGTTTGAGCACTGAGGGTGTTAAAGTACTGACACATTTGATAGGTATTTTGGTATTTTTGGTGTATTTGGCAGTCGGTATTTTTTTAAAAAGACTGCGTCCTGAATATTTATCACCTATGATATGCAGAACAGTCGACTAACTTCCTTCAATAAGAATAATTCTATTTATACATACACTATTTATATATTATAATACACCTGGTAGTTGCTATCTATTTATCACACAAAATAAACAAATTTTCTCAACAACTATCTCATTGTCATAATCGTGCATGATAAACATTTTTTGCTGTTTCGTTAAATTTAAGTTTAAAATTGAAATAATTGAGATGAGTGTCGCTTTCACTGTCACATTGCCAATGGATATCTAAGTTTGAACTTTGTGATAATTACTATTTTTATATGTTTATATTTACATTCATTTTTATTGCTTTTTAAATAAAATGTATATAAAAAGACAATAAAGCCCAATTAGAAAAATAAGAAAAAAAAAATCCAAAATGAGCAAACAATCTTACAAATAAATCTACTTCAAATAAACTATTAAAGTAAAAATATTAATATTTTACTACCTCTCAAAGTGGGCTAAAGTAGACAAAAGGGACTGTTGACATTTGACTAAATAGGAAATATAAGGCACTCTACTTTTATAATCCTCCTTCAAAGACTCAAAAACCTTCTGACACCTGAAAATAATTTTAAAAAGTTACAACATAACAAAGATCACTGAGCCCCAAAAGCAACTATGTGAGTTAAAAATCTCTTCTATATCACTCCAAACTGGACTAAGTTAATAAAAGTAAAGTTACTTATTCTTATATTAAATATATTTAATAATCTAATAGACCAATAATAAAAATATTCATAGCTAATATCACAATATCACTTACTGCCTAGCATCTAGCATTTTAACGCATCTTAGAGTTTCGTATAATTGAGGTACAAGATTTCGATCTTGAAGATTTATTGCTTCTGCTAACTGCAACTGGAGATATGCTACTAGTTCATTTTCTTTTTGTACCCAGGCTTGGCGCTAAAAATAAAAATTTATTTTTCAAGAGAACTTATAACATGCATCTAACATATTTTATTTATTTAATTTTTTTTAATTACTTCTGAAAGATAAGGTAAAAATCTTAAAATTAATATTCTCAGTTTGTAAATTAAAAAGAAAAAAATTAATATAAATGTCGCTGCTAGAGCTAGACTATCCTAAATACATTTGTAATGAATAACTGATGGTTGATTATATTATATGTAAATTCAGATAGACATTTTTAATATTTAATGTCATTACCAGGGCAAGAATATAGTTGAAGTGAACCACACTACGTACATTGATAATGATCTTATATCTCCTATATAATGATCCTTACGATACAAAATTTTGTTTATGAGGTTAGTAATTTGAATAAGATTAAAATAAAAAATCTGGTGCGCGCAACACACAACTTTCACTTACCGCTCTACTTTGAATAGAAATTATTTTCTGGTAATGTTGGGCTATTATAAAATTTTTGAAGTGCATTTTAAATGGAGTTGAAGCTTAAAGCTTACAGACAACAAATCATTAAGACCATTAAAATTATAGAAAGTCTATTCATTACATCGGCGGTAGGCAATAAAAATATAGTAAATACATCTGTTTTATAAACCATCAAAACTTTAATCTCTGAGCCTTTCAGTTGACAGAATGACAAACTACAATTTCAACATTTTTGAGTAATGTCATTTTAGTGATATTTCTATTAGGAAAAGTTATATCTATACAAACAGTGAGTAAGTTGATTCCAGAGTAAGTGATTGCAGTGTTGAAATATGGAACTGTGAATAAAAATAAAGGTATACATTTTGCCACTAGAAACACCACTAAAATTAATAATAAAGAATGATGAAATTGGAGTTAGTCATTCTGTCAACCGAAAGGATCATATATGCCTTGAGAGATTTGAAAATAAATCTGAATATTTAACCTATAAATGATTATCAATTGTAGGACTATAAGGTATTAAACTGTTATTTTCCATTGTCCAGTTTACTAAAATTAAATTATGAGATTTTCATAGCCTGCCATGGATAGGTTAAAAGTTGTCATCCTAATTGTAAGTGGATAATGTTGAGATTTCAGAAAGGGAAAATTCATCAAATTATTCACTAATTTAATTTTCTAAAAGGTTACTTGATTTTTTGGAATAATCAGTACTTAATACTAGTATTAATACTTAGTATCAGTTTTGTATGACTTGTCGTTTTTGAGCTATACTGTTCACATACACACAGACCATTTTTCGGGACTTGGTTATTTGGATTCAGGGGACCTCAAAACATGTATTTCTATTGAAAACTCAGATTCAAAAATTTTCACAATCGCAATACCTTCCCTTACTATATATTACATATATAAGTAAGTGAAAGTAAAATTAATGTGAAAATCTCAGATTATGTTCCATTCACACACTAATCTAATATTCCACTAAATTCATGTTCATTATAAATACTCCTATAGCGATGAAAAAGCTGAATCAACGGTTATAAAAACTAGAACACATTCAACCTAACATATTGGGACTTCATATGAAATTGCTTTTAATGAAGTAAATATTAAAAGGATCATTCATTTACCATAGGAAGAGATTCCAGAAGTTGGTGAATTTCACTATTGCTAAGCACAAGGCGAAGTTTTTTCTTAGCATCTTCAAATATATCACAAGCTGAAACAGACTGCCTTCGTGCTCCACACCTAGAACCTTCTCTTAAAGAAACATTTTCCTTTTCTTTTAATTCGTTTGAAACACCTTTACCACGATACTTAGCTAGGATATCTTCAGAAGAATCTGCAAAGAATATTATTTAAATAAATATGTAATCACTAAAAATAAAAAATCTGGTGTGTCCACTCACACGACTTTCCTACCTATTTCAGAAAAGTTTTTATATCTTTACATATGTTCATGAAGAAACAAAAAAGAATTGAACTAGATAAATTTTCCTGAAAATTGATGTAACATAAGATTTGAGTACGATTTAATTGATAAACTAAAGCAATGTAAACCGGCTTAAGATAGTTAATTTCTGTTAAATGTAGAGGAAATAAGTGAAGATTGTGTGATGTGGGCAACAGATTTTCTTACATTCACTTAGTCATCTTTATTCTCTCATTCACCCCTTTCTGATATGAAACCGTAATCTTACATTGGAAATTGAATAGCCGTAACTTCGTTAATAGTTGTCCAAAATGAACGATTTTTATATGGCTTTATAGGGAATTTCATTACCTTTCAAACGTTTCGAACAAAAGTTTTATTATAAATTTTACCGTATAACATATATTTAGGGAGTTAGGCCCCATAACATTTTTCTTTTCTTTATAACTTTTTTTCCTGAATTTTTTCGGGAATTTAGTCTATATACGAAAATTGAAAGGACAATGATTAGAAAATTATAGGAAAGTTTCATCAAAATCGTTAGAGCCGTGTTTGCGCTACAGTCTATAGAAAAACATGTTTTTCATTTATTGCGCGCAAGCTATTGCGCATGGAGCACCGAATTTCTGTCACAGGCATCGGTAGTCAAAACCCTACAAAATAAAAAAAGAAGCCACAAAATCGGTTCAGTAGTTCTCGAGAAAATCTTGGCACAGACAGACAGACCAATGGCTAAAAATGTGTTTTTCGGACTCAGGGTGCTCTGAAACGTATAGATCTGTCGAAAACCGCATGTCGGAAATTTGACCCGATTGCAATACTTTCCTTACCTAGTAAAGGTAGGAAAGTAATAAAGATTAATGAATTAGACATTTAATTTATGGTTATGATAATAAAATCAATTATTGAACGATTGAAGACAGGTTTTGACGTAAAAATGCTAAGACGGTTCCTTAAAACACTTGAACTATGATTATACTACATAAGATCATGTTTATTATTAAACTTATTTTAAAATATTGTAATTTAATATTAATCTAACCTATTTTTGAAGTCCTTGTTTCCTCAACCAGCCCCCTCCTCAGCCTCAAGGAAGCAACTGAATCCAAGTCACCCACTGCTCCTGAATCGTAGCTGCAATACCATGTACTATCGATAAACAAACTCCTTAATAAATTATTAATAGCACTTATCACATTTTTAATAACTTTAAATGATCATACTACCTTAAAACATATTATAGAAATAATTAATAAGTTTATACACAATAATCAAACACTAAATTTATACCCCTATCAACTTATGCATTTTTCGCTCCTATTTATCCATAGTGAATATTGTTCAAAATCAATCAGCTAATAGCAGCTGTGAATGAGGAACAACATAAAAAAAAAAAATTAAGAACAAAACAAAAACAAACAAACCAACATGAACTATTTTTTTTTCTGTTTTGTTTCTTTTTAAACGAAATTGATGTAAATATTTTTTAATATCAACTGGTGCCATGTAAGAGGGGTGAGTGATTGCTGTGCCAATGGTGGAAGACACATAAACAAATTAAATTAAAAAACTTTTCCTATAACGATATATATCGCCATTAATTAATATAAATAAAAAAACAACCTATCATAAAAGCAAAACGAATAATAAGAAACATTTATTTTTTAAAAAATTAGATCAATGTCAGATCAGAATCCACAATTTCATGAAATGTTGGTGACTGCAGGTTGGAACGTTTGAGCATAATTTTAGCCACTTTCAAAATCAATAACAAATTTTCAACAATAATGCGAAATCCAATGAATGTGTCAATAATGGTTAATTTAATAAATATATCCTTTAATTCATGAAAATTGAAAGTTGACTTACCAATCAGTACGAAAAGATTTTCCTCTCCTGTTTTTGAAAGGTAACTTAAAATTTCTAAAAAAGCTTCTTTTATGTTTTCCATCTTCATCTAATGCCTCCTTAAATAAATACATAATTTTTCAATAATTAGTAACGATATAGGTCAAATACTAGAGTATACTGTAAAACTACATAATAAAGTAGAAGAAATGATAACGCATAGAATAAAAAAACAAATAAAATGTGCTAATAATTAAAATATATTTACTTTGTCACCCCTTTCCGCAGTCTTATCAAAACTGATACTCTTTGGTATTGCACCAGTAGGCTTGCTAGTAGAACCTTCCGTTACAACAGATCCATTTGGAACAACAATAGGAGGAGCAGATGAAAGAGGAATTTCTAAATAATCAAAGTAAAATACAATTAAAAGACTAATAGTTTAAACAATTAGAAACATAATTTTAAAACAACATACCAGTTGAATTATGCCTGGCTTCGACACTACTACCACTCGTTGAAGAAGAAGCACTGAAGCAGCCTCCGGACAGTACTACAGATTCCCTATCATTCCGTTCATCCTCAATGGATATCTAAGAAAATATAAGAAAATCAAATCACATATTAAACTACTAACAATGAACATATCTAAGAAAATAATATAAATATCCAAAGAACATTACAGTTAGAACCAGGACATTTTGCATTGGTCTTTCCATATCTGCAACTAACTACAATCAAATGTTTTTACATAGGTGAAATTCAGTATTATTTAGTACCAATGTTATTACAAATGAACTATAAGCTCCTATGAACATGTTTTACAATCAGTCATGTAGGATTTTGATAGTTTAAATAACTACAATATTAAACTTTGAAAATTTACTGGGGCATGATGCATAATACTTTGGTAATTGAAATTTCTGACTTTTTCACAAAATTAAGCATCAATACAAAAACACCGTAATTGCATGCAAATGACACACCTTTTTATTCATCGTACATAGTTACACTAAGTGCACAATTTTCGAATTTCACAAAGAGAAAGTTCATCGAAGTTCTTAATTATTTGAGGTTAAGAAATATCATATAATGACCTTTTTTGCAATAAACCGATGACATTATCTTCAGCTAATCAGGTTGCCGGGCAACATGTGTTTTGCACATGTGTTAATCCAATCTGCCATCCTGCCTTCAAGTTATTATTTCCAAATAAATAACCATAACAATATCATTCTAAGGCTTGGTATAAAGATTTCAAAAAACTTTATATTTGTTTCATATTTTAACAAATGACCAAAATATAAGCTTATGGAATTTCTGCACCATCTTATGAGACAGTAGTATATAATAATAAAAAAATATTCAATGGAACAAAGTATGACTAACAGGTGGTACCTAAAAAATAATTACAGAGTAAAAAGAAAACTGTCAATACCTTTCTTTTACACCAGTATGGTCAAAGATGTCATCTTTATTTAAAATATTAACATGGAACCAATTTAAAAAAAAATTAGAAATGTATTCCATATGAATTCGTAAGTACCTCCTGGCTAGAAGTTTGTTGAGATGAAGATCTGAAGTGGATTTTGGTAGACAGCCCAGTAGGTAGCAAAGCAGGGGAAGGATAGTTAACAGGCTCAGACGTGCTATGTGCTGGCGAGCTGACAGAACTGCTACTTTTTCTCAATGACGCACCCTCTTCACCTTCTTCTAATATACCAATGACTAAATCTAATGGAAAAAATAATAATAAATAAAAGTGGTATAAAAAATGTTTAAATAAACAATTTAACGAAGTTATAAAATGAAGTACCTTGTTTCGAATAAAGATTTCTATTGGTATCAACATACTCTATTGTCCTCCTTCGATAATCTGCTTCATCTCCTCCTTTACCCGTAACGTTTCCAACTGTGGGTTGACTCTGTAAATCCTGCCTAGGAGTCATTTCTTCTCTGTTACCACTTCGCAAGACAACAACTGTGAATGAAAAGTTTTGTTTGATTACATATATGATAGAAAATAAAATGTAAATGAATAGAAAATTTATAAAGAGCCAAAAATATCTCTAATCTTTCAAAATGATCACAACCATAAATAGAGCCATATTTCAAATAAATTTAAATGTTTTACTTATCGAATATGACCCTGAGAAATAATTTAACATGAAAATTCAGGAAAAGAAGTTGTAACACTAGTTATGCAAAAAATTAAAAAAAATAAAAATAAGAAAAATAATACAGCCCATATCTTAACAACAAAACCAATAAAACTTCAAAAGTAGCATATTATTGGTTTTAGTTCACTTGAGTTACCATCGAAAAAATGGTGATTGGACTTAGATTTTCTACTAAAAAGCTATGGAAGATTTTTTTTTTTTTAGTTTGTTTTGTCTCTCACAATCTTAAACTAATTGTTAAACAAAAACCTTTTTATTTGTTATCGCCTCTATCCTAGAGGGTCATTGGTGGTTAGTTTTTTATACTCTATTGTAATATTGGGTTTCTATTAAGAATCGGAATAGAGTGGTGACTCCATCTTCGTTGTCTCTTAATATCTCCTTCATTGCTATTGGTAGTTTCAGTTTTTGTCGAATGTTGTTGAACTTGTGGCACTCTACTAATAGACAGCGGTTTATGCCACACTTTTGGCACGTGGGTGCTTCCAGTCCTCTGAGAAGGTACCCGTGAGTAAACAGGCAGTGACCAATTCGTATTCTGCACAATATGGTTTCTTCTCTTCTGGATTTTCTTGTGCTCGTAGCCCATTTGTTGCACTCTGTTTTTATTTCTAATAGTTTTGACTGTTTAGTTTTCCATTTGTTTTCCCAATCTTCTAAGAACTTTTATTTTGTTTTGTGTACCCAGTCTTCTACTGTGGTACAGTTTATTGAAACAATGGTTGATACCTCACACTTTCTTACTAAATTAGCTGCTTTGGTCTGCTCTTTCATTGCTTGAGATACCACTATGAGATGGAGCCCCGGACAAATACTACACTGGCCGTTCTTTTTTTCAATCCCCACCATAGATTCAATATATCCCTTATCAGGGAGTTGCTTGGCCACGGGTTACCTATTGCTGCCATGATGCTTTTGGAGTCTGATACTATTATCATATTTATTGTCATTGGAATTTGATATCCAATGGAGGGCCTTCATGATTGAAGTAGCTTCCCCAATAAATATGGAGCTTTCTCCTGGTAAGCTAAACAGAAGCTGATACTGATTTTCATTGATAAATCAGCGCAGCCAACACTATTTTCCATTTTGGAAGCATTGGTATATATGACATTAAAATCTTTGTACTTCTGCAGTAATTAAAAAAAAAAATAGTTTTGGATGTTTAGTAGGTACTCTTTGTTACATCTTGTCATTGATATATCTATAGTAGGTCGGTCTGGTCTACTATTCTTCCAGTAAGGGATTTCGAGATTAGGGATCGGTCTATTTTTTATCAAATTTTTATCAAAAACTTTATTATTATTATTATTAACAGTATTTTATCAGAACAGGAACGGTGTCAGAATATGACAATTACAGAACATTTGTCAATTTTCACAAAAGTAAACAGAAGGGCTATACAACAAGTGAATATTTCTTTTAGTAAAATCAAATTAAGAAGAACCAAATCAGTATAACAAAAAAATAAACAAGGTAGTGGAATCAATTTTTTCCAATTTAATAGTGGAATAAAATATAATTACAGAACATTTGTCAATTTTCACAAAAGTAAACAGAAGGGTTATACAATAAGTGAATATTTCTTTTAGTAAAATCAAATTAAGAAGAACCAAATCAGTATAACAAAAAAATAAACAAGGTAGTGGAATCAATTTTTTCCAATTTAATAGTGGAATAAAATATAATTACAGAACATTTGTCAATTTTCACAAAAGTAAACAGAAGGGCTATACAATAAGTGAATATTTCTTTTAGTAAAATCAAATTAAGAAGAACCAAATCAGTATAACAAAAAAATAAACAAGGTAGTGGAATCAATTTTTTCCAATTTAATAGTGGAATAAAATATAATTACAGAACATTTGTCAATTTTCACAAAAGTAAACAGAAGGGCTATACAATAAGTGAATATTTCTTTTAGTAAAATCAAATTAAGAAGAACCAAATCAGTATAACAAAAAAATAAACAAGGTAGTGGAATCAATTTTTTCCAATTTAATAGTGGAATAAAATATAGTGGAAATAAATTTTTTCACCGCTACTAGGTAAGGAAGGTATTGCGATCGGGTCAAATTTCCGATGTGCAGTTTTCAACGAACCTTTACTTTTCTGAACCCCTGAGTCCGAAAAACATTTTTTTAGTAAAGTTACAGTATATTGAATTTTATACAATAATTTTAATCATGGTTCAGATATCCATTTACACTGCTGTACTTCATCAAATCAATCATACTCTAATCATTTCTCTGATTGGTTTTTAGAACATTAATCAAATTCAATAGTTTCTTTTTAATGATTAAATTTGTCTAATATCAGTAGGACAGCGGTGTGAGTGGACAAACGAGATTTTTTTTTTAATGGATTCATTGGTTTAAACAGATTCAAAATGAAAATTTTAGTTCTTCCAAGGAGTTAGAATTCAAACAAATAAATTCAATAAACAATATCTAATGTTCATTTTTGTATTTGTATTCCTTGAAATAATACAGCTTTTCATTCTGAATCTATTTATACCAATAAAACAATTTAAAAAAAAAAATTACAGGTTTTTTCCTCTCACCTTCTGCTTGTTAATGATCAAATATAAAATCTTTTTTTTTTTTAACATTCTGTAAACAATAGAAACCATTATATAATTTAGAAAATGTACCTTGCTGGGCAATTACAGGTTCTTCTACAGCCTCAGATTCACCTCTACTCTCTGCTTCTGACCTACCAGTGTCGTCAGACCTATTAAAAAAATTAATTAGCAATATCAAAAAAATAAAACGAATTAAGTTAAAATTAAATTAAAATAAATAAGCACAATTTAACAAATCAGTTTTGATTTAAGCAATAGCTTATGTTCACCCTGGGTCAAGCTTCTTGGTTTTAATTCTATATTGAATGAAGCCTCTGGAAGCATAGGGGTAGAAAGCGATAGAAACTAAATTTAATAAAGTCGAACATGTCTAATAATTGTAAAAAAAAATTCTACATTACCTTGCTTTGTTTTTTGTAAGGCTTTCAGTATTGCTAAAGTTATTCTTATAATTGAAACTGATTTTTACTCTATAAAAACAGAATGAAAAATTATAGAAATATGGTAAAGCCGAATTAAAGAACACCTCCCTGGATCAGGCCATGCATCACACTTTAAGGATCATTTCGTAAATTATTCAAACCCACAAAAAAGTAATACGGTAAAACTTTTGCATACCATTTCTAAAGGGAAAAGAATGAACTTTTTGAAAAAATTAAAAATTAAGAAAAAACCTTTGAACTATGATGTACTATGCCTAAATGGGCAAAGTATTCAATTTGAGGATTCAGCCATCATAAAATTAATGACAGCTAATGAGAACAAGACGTGTGTTGTGTCAATTGTTAAATTTTGATTTATTTTTAGATTGTTTTGTAAAAAAAAAAATTATTGTTATTAATTTTATTATTTCATATTCTCTAAACTAATGAAGGTCTGATCAAAGACTGAAACCGGTTGCGCAGAAAGAAAGAAAAAAGTTATACAGGAACATGTCTTTTTTATTGAATTAAGAAAACCTATCTTTTTCAGCCTTTAGAAACTACATTATTTTGAACAAATTGTGCTTAATGATTTACAATAATTGAGAAAAATGCACATTTGACAAAAACAAAAAAGTAATGCAACAAATTAAAACAGAAAATGTATAACATGAATATGTATAATAAATTCTGGAAAAAGAAATTATAATGGGAAACTAAAATATATGTAACTACTTTACATATGAGCCAATACGAAAAAATTGTTACTGCTGATAACTTTCGGTTGCCTTATTTTCTATTTGGCGACCAAGTTGTTTTTTGGGGGATATAAGTATGCGTAAGTGGAAACTAAATGTGTTTAAATTTATTCATAAAAAATTACCTGGCAACACTGGCTGTATCATCAGTATCCACTTCAGTTAGCCTGTCCGAATCTGATATAACAACATCGGTGCTCCATGCTTCAGAAGCGGTTTCCAAAGCATCGCCTAACTAAAAATAAAGTGAATCTTTTAGTAACGTTATTTCAATTCGATTGATTTTATCAAATAGATACCTGATAGAAATAAAATTAAACCTATTATTATTAACATAAAAATGAAATAAAATTATTAACCTGAGGACTTGGAATAATTTATAACATGTCCTCTTGCCACACTAACTATTACTTCATTCATAAATAGTTGAGATTTTGGTAAATGAATAACACCTAATGAAATCAATTTATCAACTGCATACAGGCACTGTTTTTAAGCAACATAAAAAGATTGATAACCACCTGAGAATTCCATATTTAATTAACATAACTACTTATGAAATATTAACAGAAAAAAAAATTGATTTTTTTATTTTAGAAACAACTTAAAAACCAAAAAAGGACAACTTGAAAAAAACTAAATAAAAATCTCGTTTCATAATGTATGAATGCTTGAAATTTCCAAAACAAAATACTGTATATTCTTTGAGAAATATATTAAAAATACACCATAAATAACCATTCAATTATTAGTGACCGAAACTTTAAAAAAAAGGGTACAAGTTTTGTACTTATTAACTCTCAAAAATAATAGTTATTTAATTTAGGATAGTAAATTAAATACGGTTAGCTGATTCCTTAGGTAAGTAAAATTGAATACTTCTAATGCCGATCTAATCGGGCAATTCAAACATGCATCCTGAAGATATTTAAATAAATGAATAATAAAAAAAAATTAAATTTAAAAAAAGGACTCACCAATGGATTATTTGTGGTAAATTCGTGTAAAACGGGTTGAAGAGGACGCTGAGGTTGCTGTTCTACAGTTTCACTATCACTAGCAAGAACGTCGGTACTCCAAGTATCACTGACTAGAGAGAACGTTTCATCTATGGGAATATATAGATAACGATTATAATTAAAAATAAGGACTAAAATTAAATAAGATTCAGACATGTGCATTTTTAATATATCAGTTTAAAGTTCTTCATACAGAAAAGCAGAGTGGAACCTCTATTACTTAGAATAATGGTAGTGGAAGAGTAAAAGGAAAATTGAATGACACTGAAATAATTTTTTTTTTTCAGTAAATTATTTAAAAAATAATTATAAGTGTTAAAAAACTTCACTTTTAATAATCAACAGAAATATTTATGTAAAGATATTTTTTATTTGAAGAAAATAAAAATAAAAAATAAAACACCCAACCTCTATAAAGTGGGTACTCTTGATTTATAGGAGGAAACTAAGCATTAAGGCATGATCTCGATCACCTACTTCCACAACCACAGACCAAGAAACAGTACTTACTTGCAAAGTACTGAACTTAAGACTGTATGATTTTATACACACCACAGCATAATTAATTGAGCATATCATTACAGCTTTTATAAATATGGAAAAAATTAGAATTCATCAAATAGCAAAAATTAAACATAAATTCTAGAAGCCAAAACCATACCAAGAAGAGGCACTTCTGGAATGAGTTTGTCAATTTCAAACTTCCCAAATTTATCATTGATATCAAATTTCGTCTGTGTTGAAGCTTTTGAAGGAGGTGGAGGGGTGAAATCCAACGGCTGTCTAACAGAAGCTGCTTCTTCTCCTTCGGTCATTTGAGAAGAAGGAGTATCCCTGCCTAAAAAAAACAAATTCAATAATAGACTATTTTTTTTCTATATTTAAATATTATCTTATATTTATTAATATTCATACAAGATTAAGTCCAATTAATTTTAAATCATTAATGATTAAAATTATGATTACACAAATAGATAATTTTCATTGTAAATTATTGTTATTGTATATTACCAATATTTTTCAAAATTCGAACATCAATAATAAAAAGACTTTAATTACAATGTTTTAAGAATCCTACCAGAAATATTTGGAGAACCTCGTCCTGAAACATTAGCCGAGACCATATCGGAAAGGTTATCGTTTTGATCTTCAGTTTCAAGTTCAAGAGATGAAGCAACACTATGATTCGATGGAGCTTCAGAAACAACGTCTAAATTATCACTAGTATTCCCTGAAATAAATGACTAAATATACTGCAAATAATGATATCGTAATATTTGTAATGCATGATAAATAATATCAATCATAAGCAACATTGATAATAAATAAAAAGTTTAGCTCCAATGAGGGACAACCATATCTAATTAAACAGTATGATGCAATCACTTGCATTGAGGAAAGAAATTAAAAAAGAATTAAGGGCATCCAATTTTATAATGCATTACCCACAAAAACTGAGTCTTTAAGATAACTATAAAATGTCACAGCGAGAAAATTAAATGAAAAAAGATTTGATCAGCTTTGATAGATGTCATGAAAAATAGAAATTATAAAGAACCAACAGAAGCTTCTTTTATGAGAAAATAAAATACAACAAATACATTCGTTTATCTTTCTTTATGTATCTAATAGTTAATTTTCAATTCGTTGCTAAAAAATAAGTTACATAAAACAGAATTAAATATTTCGTAATTTTTTATGAGATGATTTTAGAAATCACGGTCAACAAAGAACTTTAAAATAAATTTATATTACATGATCAACATTGTAAGTTCTATTAAGTGATCATCAGTGCTCTACTTTTATATTTTTATTGTTTGTTTTTTCAATTTTTTACATATCAGAATAAAAAAATATTAACATAAAATATCAAAACAAATAGTATTTAAAAAGTGTTTCATGTATCCTTAAATAAACTTCTAAGAAAGGTACCTATAGATCCATCATCGTGTGATAAAGAGAATCTCGTTCGTTTTTCTTGACCATCTTGTCTTTCATGAGATTCACTGTCATTCCTCCTCTCATTTTTATCATTTTCCGTTTCTTTCTCCAAAGCCAATAGCTGAAAAAAAATAATAACCTTAATGACTGATTTGAGGGAAGGTGGATGGAAAGAGGAATCAATAGAATTTATGGAATGTTGAATAAAAGAGGTGGAGAAGGTACACACGATAATATCTAAAATAAGAATTTGAAAATTGTATATAAATGTACACATAACTTTTGGCACTAGTCTATATTCAACAGTTTAAGTAAAATAACTGTTACAGAGTAATCACTTCAGTTTAATAACTGTGTCACGTAGAATTAAGAAAGAATCCAAGATTGAAGAATAAATCAAGATGCAAGATCGAGAAGGGACGGTTTTTAGGGAATTAGCAAAAATATAATTACAGATGTAGTGAGAGGTTACAAAGTGGAAAAATCTTTTTAAAAAATTTATTATTTGTTAAAAATATAAAACTAACACAATAAACTAATGACAACAGGATCAAGAAGTTATGTGAGTTACTAAGTTTATTATATGTGATGTCTAAAATTAATAAAATAAAATAAAAGTTTATAAAAAAGTTATTATTTAAACTGTTTAGTATAAGTCATTTTATTACTACGTTCAGGTAATAATAATTAACCAAATAATAAATAAATAAAGTAAAACATACTTTCTGTTCCGGAATCAAAGCCTGAGAAGAGTCAGAGCAAGCATCCAATGGAATGATCAGAACTTTTATTGAGTTTCCATCTTCTTCTTCTAATGACCCATTTTCTAAACTATGACTGTTCCCAACTGCTCCTCGATTTTTACCAACTATAATTCATAAAAAATAAAGATTAAATTCTGTTTTAAAGAACAGTTATACAATATATGTGAATTTTATTGAAAGAAATACGAATGAGGGAATTTTCAAATATTATACAATAAACCACTAGGTACTAAAATAGCAGCCTGTATTAAAATCATTTCATGTCATTTACATTGAGTTAGATGGCAAAGTAGACTTAAAACCATGGTATAAAATTTTAGTGTGTTTGCTAAGAGAGTTTGAGATGGTTATGGCGTAACAAGAATTCAAGCCTTATTTCTAGAAACCTAGAAACCACAATTTATTTGAAAACTGATATTAACATTTTTTTTTTATACTTATTCTGCCAAACCTCATAACCATATATTTGTAGCTATGAAAAATGATATTTTTGCTAAAATAGAGTAGTTTGAAATAGCTCAAAATTTATTTTATCACAAAAGTGTAGAATAAACCTCAAACTTCTTCCTCCACCAAGGCTGGGAACCAATAGATCACCCAACCTTTTATTAAGAAACAATTTGTTTTGTGTATATTTAAAAAAAAAAAAAAAAAAGGTGATAGTGAAAATTTTAAAAAAAGCATTTTATAAAATGCATACAAATTAAAAACAAACCTTTTGATAAAATACTTGATTTTCTAGAATTCTCTGCTATGGGGATATTTGTTGTTTTACTATGACCATTCACTATTTGTGGTGGAATTTGACTAAGAAGAGGAATTAGTTCTTTATGCATTTTCAGATCTTCACAGGTGCTTTCATTCATCAACGTTCTCAGAAATGTGACCTAAACAAAATAAATAAAGAGATTAATATTATAATGGTGATAACAAATATTTTGATTAACTATATCAAACTTCAATTTTCATCAAACAAGCATTGCCAAATTTATTTATTTTATTTTTTTTTACTTCTCCAAAAGATCTCCTGCATAGCAACCATCAAATAACCACTAGCTTTGATTGAAGTTAAAACATTGTGAAAATTGATTATACAGGACATTGAATATAGAAACCATATCATACAATATAATATATTAAAAAAGTACTTGTCTATTTTTTTACCAGCTTACAGTAATAAAGCTAAAACTGATTAATAAGATAATCCTCACGATTAGATTCAATTTAAGTGTAAATAAACTAATCATCTAATATTAGAGATAATTTAAAAAAAAGAAACTTACTAATGTATGAAGTTCAGACTCAGTAAACAGAGATACAAGCCTTGAGAGTCCTTCACATTTCGTAGTTTCTTCCTGGTGAGGTTCTTCAATACTTGGATTTCCTTCTATCATAGTAACAACAATAGAAGAAACACAATCCTGGAAATATAGCATTTAGTAATCAGACATACAATAATAACAGTAGATAAATAATAAACATAAATTAGCATAAAATAACTAATCGAAAAACCTTTGGAAACTGGGAATAAAGATCCTCTGCACGGCTATCAACTGGTTGAAATCTCCTGATAGCTAACATTTGTAAAATTTGTGCTACCTGCATCAGATTGTAACGTGCAACATCACTGATTGGCACATCCGTAATACCATATGTTTCTGGAGTAACTATGGCAGGACAAATGAAGAGAGTAAATACTAAATCCGTGCACATAGCAAACACCTGCAAAATAAGATTTAATTCAAACACATATCATATAAAAAACAATAAAAATGTTGGAATTTAGTTCTTAACTAAAATTACATACAAATATTATATAATTTGTAATGATGAAAATTAAAAAAGAAAAATCTTATTTTTGAAAATTTAGACAAATATAAACTAATATTAATATTATATCATTTGATTCTTCTTGCTCAAAGATAAACTAAGTACCAAGGAAGAAATTAAAAGATCTAAATCTAAGGTCATAGGGAATAACTTAATAAGTTGAAAAATGGTCCTGATAAGTTATGTGTACTATGATCATTTAGGAAGCATTTTATTACATACCAGGACGAAGTTGGTAAGAGCTCTACATCATTTTAAGTTTTATATGAGAACTGTGAAGTGACCGACATCTTCAGAGTACACAGAAGGCATCTCACAAGCAGGCCTTGGACAGATTAAGAGCTTTGAGCTATCAAATTCTTAATGATGTGCAAAAAGCTCCTGAGAATTATCATAATACATATATCATAATTCATGATGACAATTTTTCAACTAACCAAGTTTTTACCAGCAACAAGTTTTTACCAGTTTTAGTATTATAACAATAGGTAATACAATATTATTGAACTTTGCAATTGGTTATTAGATTGCAGCTTAACATGTTACCAAAGTAATATTAACATAACATCTAAAACTAGAACCCATAAAGGGACGTATGTTCAGTACTAGGTATTGAAAAACTATTTCTTAACCAGGTGATATAGTCGGCATCCAATCTCAATGGAAACCATTTTTCCCAATCTAATGAAGGCTTAATGTCCACAACGTTAATCTTTGTCTAATATAACTGATTTTTTTTTTTTTTTTTCTCCACAACCTGACTTCAACCAAGACCCAGAATTTAAGACCCCCACAATTCACTGCCGTATAAATTATAAATAGACTAAAATAAAAAATAAGAACTAAATAATATAAAAAAACATACCTCTTTCTCAGGGATTGTATTAGCTTTCATTAGAGAAGAATGAATTTGGCCAACAAGCCAGAAAACTGAATTTGGAAAACAATGGAAATTATCATGTAAACTATTTATAAAGCTCAGGGTGACTTTAACCAAATCTTTTAAAATTGAAAATTTGTACTTTCTTATTCCAGTCTTGTATTCTTCACTTCCTTCTACACCAAACCTTTTGATGCGCTCTTCTAAAGAGAATCTGAAATGAATTTATGTTAGCAAGATTCAAGATATTATAATATGGTGAGGATACTAATATAGAAAGGAAAAATGTTTTAATTAAAAGTAATTATACAATAATAAGAAATTTAATTGGCCATATAAATAAATATTGTCAAATTAAAACATGGCTTTTTTATAATGACAGCAGACGGTCAGACCAAATAGGACTCCTGCGAAGGCCCTAGAATTACCTAGGATACCTACAATGCCTGAGAAAATCAGTTGTGATCTGTACAGTGGTATTGGTTGAAAAACTGACAGAACTTTTAGCTGAGAAATAATGAGAAGAAAAATACCTATCATAAAACATACTTTACAAAGATCAATATAACAACAAGAATTTGCTACAGAAAACCACATTTCTGGGCTGAGGGGCTGTCTAAAGAATTTTCATGAAAGAAAACTAAGAGAAAAAATATTTTTTTAAAGGATAGAGAAAAGAAAATTAAAGGATCTATTGAAAAGAATAGATGTTCAAGACAGGTGAAGTAATATCTAGAAGTCTAAGACAATCCCTCTCTCCCCCCAGCAGAAAGTTAAAATAAGGCGCCCACATCAAAAATCTTACAGTCAATAGCAGAAAACTTGGAGGGATCACTGTCACAACTGCTAAGCAAAGAAAGTAGCATGAAAGAGGGCAGTTTGAGGGCATTTAGCAGAAAACAACGAGAAATCAGATGTCTCACTCCACAATACTCACACGTATAATTTCCATATAATTTTTATATATATGTCAGTAATCCATTAACAGATTAGTATTCCAGATACCACATCAGGTATATTTCATGAATAGTGTTATATTTATACTCATTTTATAAAATAGAGAATAAAAGAAAGTTTTAATCTTCGATAAAAGAAACTTCTATTTGTAAGGTTTTTTTAAATAAAATGAAGTCATTTCGAGATCTGGAAATCTATTGAACAGATTCTTTGTTGAAATCTACATGATTCAGTAATTGGTAAACCGGAACTTGGTGAACACCTTCAGGAAAAGTTATCCAAAGGTAAATATCATATTTATTAATAGAAGAGGGAAGATTAGCTGGGATTATAACTTTAACTTTCTTCAGCCTATTTAAGTATTGTTTGCATTTAAGGATCTATTTAGTTTAATTCTACATAATTAGAGTTTGACATCCTATTAGGTCTGTCATAAAAGAGTTTGGAATAAGCTAAACTATAAATAAAAAAGACACTTGAAGCTTTTTTTGAAATACACTTCTGAGTTGACCTACATCGCAATTTAAAAAAAAAAAATATTCCTTACTAAATATTTTAAACCTACCTTTCAGCAACTTTCTTTTCTGGATCAATATCAAGGTATTTTTCTTCCATCATTAATAACCCCATTATAGGATTATTGAGAGCAGCAGTAAGGTAAAGCTTAGCAGCAAAGAGTGTTTCATGAAAAGCAGAATAAAGTCTAGCAAAAGCACAAGAACCTTGCTGTAGTAACCTGTAAAAGAAACACCAAAGATATAAAATGAATCTTAATCACTTTTATGAGAAATGAAACAAACTCCCTATGATCCATTTACATGTTATTGTGAAGAAGAAGAAAAAGGTAGGGCAAGGGGGAAAATAGCAGTGGATAAGATATACAACAGACAAAAATCAACTTCATTAATTAAGCCTTCTTTTGAGGGAACAAATAATAGGGTTAAGAAATCAAGTTGCAAGGAAAATCATGTCATGTTTTCTCTATGCTTTGAAAAGTTTACTTATTCATATAAAGAACAAAGATCAATCAATGATATATTTCTATTCTATTCACAAAGTTTCTTCCATTTTTTAAGAACTTCTTAATTCCTTGTTCATGTAATATGTCTTTAGTGATAATAGAAAAAAGACTAGGAACTGATGTGAACACCTATGAATTGAATATCAAGAAGTTTAGAAGGAAGTGAAATGATGGGAAGTTTGATGGAACAAGAACAAAGAAGTTAATGGATGTTGCAAAATGTTTAACCCAGGCTTGAATATTTTTGGCAGGTGATCGAACTTTTGTTGAGATGGAACATTACTTTTTTATTGTAACTGAGCTCTAGAGATTTTCACATGGCAGAAGTATTCAAATTGTTTAATTGCCAACTTTTTACTTCTGATGTTAAAATAATCTAATATACCTACATAATCTACAATAGTGCAGTCGAAATGTAAGTAAATGAGGGACCAGTAGTAGGAAAGTTGACTGTAGAAAAATTTATTAATAAAGAAGACAAAGGCTTAAGGAGATGGTAGGTCTGATTATAAGATATATTCAAGTAATGAGATAATCTGAACAGGAATAATACCAAAATTCATCACAAATGGGTTCAATTTTAAACAAACAGAATCAATGGGAAAATGTGGAATTTAAGCTATATAATTTTTACTTTTACTTATCTATAAATTAAATGCATTTATCTATAAGCAAAATTATTGTGATTACAAAAAATTGTGAATCCCAAGTTTTCAATGGAAATACAGGTTTTAAGGTTCCATGAACCCAAACAACCAGCTCAAAAATTAAAAGGCAAGTATATGCTTTGGATATTATAGTAACTTTTTCATCATAATTTACTAACCAAAAATGGCACTTTATTTCGAGTTTATACCTTTCTCTCCAAAACAGCAGTAATGATTATGATTAAAATCATAATATCAATGTAAATTAATTAATCTTTAATACTAGATAATATAACTTTTAAATTAAAAAAAAATAAAAAATGATAAAATAAATGAATAGAGGCACTGCAATTGTTTTGTGAGGAAAGTGCATGGTGCTAAAAATATTTCAAGCGGTGATTACAGATAGATAAAATATATGTTTATTACCTTAAATAACTTTACTGAAGTTTAATAACTTTAAACCTGATAATAGATTAAAATACTTACATATTATCATTTCATTGTGAAAAGTAATTTATCAATATTTTAAAAATCAATTTTTTATAATTATTTATAGTACTTTTCTTTATAAAAACGGAAATCAGTAAATAAACTGTGAAATCACAACATTACACATTTAGTATGACAAAATTATTATTTATTATTTATAAGTTTTTGCCCACTCTCCGTTACCTCATACAACTTTCTAGTGTTTTTTTTTTTTAAATTCTCCGCTTTCCAACGATATATATTATATGTATACTTTCTGACTAGTATTTCCGGAGATTCATTTTCGACCTGGATAAGCATTTCTATTTTTTTCTCCATTTTTCAATTATCATATTCTTTCAAACTTTATACTGCAATACTTCCTCTTACTATATATTACATATATAGGTAAATGAAAGTAAAAAAAAAAGAATATAATATATATATATATTATATAAATATATATATATTTCACTATATATATATATAAAGTTTCATTTTATCTTGTTATTGTTTATTGAATTAATTCATGCTTTTATCAGTAAAAATCTTTTAACATTAATTCATATTACACTTTATTATGGAAATTTCTAAAAAACAATCAATGGAAGTTCTAAAAAGTTATGAATCTGTTCATTGAGTGCCTATAAAAATAATCTTTTTGTTTTGCTGAATATCCTAATTTACAAATCAAAACATAACATCAAGTAACAATTGTATACACGTAAATACACATATATATATATATATATATATATATATATATATATATATATATATATATATGTGTGTGTGTGTATAAACATGAATATTTAATAATTAAATACAATCATAAATAAAAGAGCAAAAACAATAAGTTGAATAAAACAAATAATAAAATTATTCACTGATTATTTTTTGTTTTATCTCAGTGCTCATTGTTTACATGTAATTCAACTGTGACAAAGGTTGAAAAAACTATTGATAAAAATAAGGTCCAACTCAGATTACTATGGTATAATATATAACTAAACTTCATAAGATTCACATTAGAATCAAGTATTATATTTGTAATTAGAATATCCTTGAAGATATGTCAAATTATTTTATTTTCAAGGACAAAACTGATTAGTTATCATAGTCATGTATGTCAGCAATTATATCAAAAAATATAAATAATTATTAAGTAGATTATTGTACCAGGACAAACAACCAGCACTTAACTGCCATAAAAATTATTACCAACCTTCTAGGAGATTCTGATGGAATAATTTGAAGAGTGATAAGATTTTTCAAAATCTTCAACACTATGTTTTTATGAGCTGTAAGAACACAACTGCCATAAAGACCTGAAATAAGACTCCTAATAACTTTGGGCATTTCTTCAGGAAGAGACTTATCCCCAGCAACTAGACATCTAGCAACGAGTTCAGGAGAATCCCGTAATAATGATAATAATTCTCCATAATTACCGCATTTCTAAAAACAAAATGTATTAAAGACATGTAATTTCATAGTTTGCTATGACAGATACTCATTAGGTTTTTAAGGAATATTTCCTACCTGAAAACCTAGGTACTTCTGAGCATCGATAAAATTTGCCAAATCAAGATTTCTTGCCCTTTGACAGCAAAGAGAAGGTGTCGAATTTGGACTTGACAAGACTAGTTGATTTAAATTCAACCTCTGCTGAGATGTAATCCATGAAACTTGTGCTAACTGTGAATATTTAGCAGCAACCTTGCAAAAAAAAAAAAATGAAATATCTTTTATAATTCCCTTTGTTTTGTTTTTTATTTTAAATGGTAATTTAGTTATGTCGGTCCTATGACATTCAATAAATCATTGTCTAATTGTCATGATCATCTTACTTTATCATTTAGTTCCTGTATGTATGACTGTTGGGAATTAACAAACAGCCTTTCTTCCCTTAATTGAACTGCAAGTTCCACAATCTCCCATAAAAACGGATTTGTTTCCATTTTCTCTTAAATCTCAGCACCTTTTATAAAATATAGACAAAATAGATATTTTAGGAACAAATCTTTACATTAGAAACAAACATATTCTTTACTTCGATATATATATCCATAATAATATACCTTAGATCAGGTAATATGATTAGCCAAAGACTAAATGCAAAAATTATGAAGATTATGTTCACAAATGTCAAGAACTACACTACAAACATTTTCGTAGTCTATTCAACGAGTTAAAACAAAAACATAAACTCTACTAACACCCCCTTTCATTGAGTAACAAGTTTAAAGAGTGGGGGGTTAGAAATTATCTTGCACAGCGCATGTCACCACAAATCACTTTGATAAAAGTTTACCAAAATAATTAATTTGCATTCAACGCTCGTTCATTCTTACCTTCGGAGCTGATTTAAGTGTATTAGAATAATTTCTTGACAATCAAGTTTTTATAATAAAATAATTACATTTTTTGTATCAGAAAAGCTCAAATTGCAAAGTAATCGTATTCAAATAAGTTGGTAGAATTGTTTTGATTCATACAATTCAATTTTTTTAGGTGAGTCACAATTACTTAATATATAATAATATATTTAAACCTAACTATTTAATTGGGAATAAGGTCACTTATTAATTATGTAATAAACTATTGAATGTTCATTTTCTCTATGTTTATTGACGTTTCGATCCCGGTATTTTCTTTTTTTAAGTCAACGATGGGATCCTCTTCAAAGCTAGAATTTTAAAAAATAGAGCTTCGAACAGGCCAGGGACACACCGACAGTCTCAGCACCGTCCACTAGCACATATATTAAGCTGCTTCATACTACGAGTAGCTTAATATACGTGCTAGTGGACGGTGCTGAGACTGTCGGTGTGTTCCTGGCCTGATCGAAGCTCTATTTTTTAAAATTCTAGCTTTGAAGAGGATCCCATCGTTGACTTATAAAAAGAAAATACCGGGATCGAAACGTCAATAAACATGGAGAAAATGAGCATTCAATAGTTTATTAAATAATTAATAAGTGACCTTATTCCCAATTAAATAGTTAGGTTTAAATTTAATACTCAAAGGTCGATTAAGGAAAAGTTGTAAAGATATAATAATATATATTAATTCAATGCATGCCAGGCTATTAAAAAAAACAAAAAAAACAGGCTATTAAATTGACTACAAATCTAATAACAGATCAATGGTTATAGAGTCAATAGATATAAAACAAATAATTTTAACTTGGATTAAATTGAATATTCAATCATTACAAATTGTGAATATTTTTTGTTATCATGCTTATATCTAAATATTGACATAATAAATAAACTAGTTCCACTTCAACCCTTAAATGATCTTGGGTTTGGTACAAAGATATGATGAACGGTACCGGCTTAAGATATCCGGCGCCCTCAGTCAATGACGTCTTCTCTCACCACTAAAAAAATGTAATTTATTTCTTAATTTATTTTATATTATGCAATATTTGAATTTAATTTGGTACTATTTTATTTCATTCAATATTTCTCTAATGCAGTTGCTTTATTGTTAGGCTACATTTGATTATTTTTTATTTCTAGCAAGTGGCAAGCGCCCCTGAAGAATGGTCGGCGCCCCCAAAAGGCGCCCTCCAGGTTCGTACCACTTTCCCCGCCCTAAGGCCGGCACTAATGTAGAAAGTGTATGTCCTAATACACTAGTCGCCATGTTTATCTCTCAACTGAATGAGGGAATAAATAATAATAACATTTGTTATTATGTCTGGCTACTATATACAGTTCTTTATTTATGTTCTCACTATTTTATCTTGCTCCATTATCTCTAGCCTGGACGAGCATTAAGCATCTTTTAATGATCATCCTTTTCATGTTGTTCTCCAATATAGCCAGCCATCTAATGTGTTATCTTCCTCTGCCACACCTTTCACCAGGCTCATCCATCCTATGGGCAAACGTGCCACCCAACAATCTGATTTGGTTACATTTAACAATTGAGACCAAATCCGGCCTCACGGCACAGCTCTTCGTGGTAATTACGTATACATTATACTTATTTTTCTTATGTAATTACGTAATTTTTCACTCACATCTTATTCCATGCATATACTTATCTATACATTATTATGGTACAGTTGAAAGTAATTTAAATATATAGTTGATAACTGTTATAATCAAAATTTAATCTGAGCTTGTTTGTTTTGATAATAATTCAATGACTAGCTAGATACAAGATCAATAGTATTATTAAGTGCAAAAGGAATGAGTGGAAGTGTTAAACGCTCAGATGGTTCAAAACAAGTATAGGAAATAGGATCATAGCCTCAGAAAGAAAAAAAACAACCGCTGGGCAAGATAGGCATCAGATCTTGTAAATCACATCAATTTACTCTGATATTTCCATAAATTACAGAAACGGCAAGACTTTAGTTACCAAAAGGCAAACTGCTCTATCAAATAACCAGTGTATAAAATAACTCAGATTTGAGCATGTGAGAAAAGAGAGAGTACAAAATTTCACACGTACTCCAAGTTCCAGACCTTCAAAAACTACCATATTCTCTGGAAATCCGTATAATGATTGGTTGTACGAACCAGGGGTCTCCAAGTTGCGGCCCGCAAGGCCCTTCAATAAGGCCAATATTACCCAATGAGTTATTATGTTCAAATAGTAATTTTTTTTTCTATAAAAGTTGGAATAATTGAATTTATAATTTATTTTAGCAAGCCTTTTTTAAAATTGCGCAATCGTCTATCTTGTATGTTAGTTTTTGTATTTCTTCGATATAAGGGTCCACTATTTTCTAGTCGGAGATACTTTTTATGAAAATACTGTCAGATTTGAGATCGAGTATTGAGGTTATGTAACTTTTTTGAAATCTTAGATATAAGGATCTACTATTCTAGTCGTCGGAGCTTTTTAAATGAAATTTTTATGATAATTGACGAATAATAGATGATTCAGAATATCTGTAACTAATGAATAACCAAGAGATCATCTGTAAAAATCTATCGAATAACGAATACAAGGTATCTATTAATCGTTATCTAGATAAATATTTATTCAAGTAATGTGCAATTGGATGGGGCCAAATCGGAAGCATATGGAACATTAAGGTCTTTATGGATGATTTTATTTGTGACAAAGTAAGGAGCGTTGAGGATTTTACGAGGGATTTTGGATTGTAAGGATTCGATACGAGAGGAATACGATGGTTTAGTGGAGCCCCAAAGCTCAATTCCGTAAGTCCAAATAGGTCTTATTATTGTCATATATATGAGTCGTTTGTAATTGATTGAAAGCTTAGAGCGTTTGTCTAGTAAATGCTGCAGTAGTCGAAAACGTCGGGCGATTTCTAGTCGTTTCAGTCTGGTATGGCGGTTCCAAGTGAGTCGTTTCTCCAGGTGGAGTCCTAGGTATCGGATTTGTTAGACAGGAATAAGAGGGCTATTGTTGAAGGATACTGTAGGGCAGGAAGTCATAGGTTTACGACGAAGAGTGAAGGCAATTTGATGGGATTTATTGAAATTTATTTTAATCCCCCAGTTTTAACACCATTTTTCAAGACTTGTGATGAGTGATTGAAGAGTTTGGGATGCAATAGATGGATCGTTATTAACTGATAGGAAACACGTGTCATCGGCATAGGTGGTGATGACAGTGTTGGAATGGGTTGGGATGTCAGATGTATAAACTGTGTAAAGGATAGGACCTTGGATACTACCTTGAGGAACACCGGCAAACTGAGTAAAAAAGATGAATAAGCATTGTTATGATTGACTTTGAAGTATCTATCAGTAAGATAGGAACGGATAATGAGAAAGTATGTAGGTGGTAGCAATTTACGGAGTTTGTACATCAGTCCCGAATACCAGACTATCAAACGCCTGTTCAATACAACTTTCGTTATAGCCGTAACAACAAAAACGTGACGGCCGTAACAACAAAAACGTTATAACCGTTTTATATATAATAAACTTATATATAAATATACAGAAGTGGTTATTTATTCATTCTTTAAGAGTAAGCAATTTGCATGAACTCCAAGGTCTGGTTTTTGGAATAAATAGATTGGATCAACTTGCAATTGTCATTAATGAGGGCCACATAAACACTTTGACTTCTTTGCTACCAAATTAAAACTTTATGATAAACTACATAAAATCTTAGTGTTGAACTAAAGGAACATTAATTTTTATTTTTTACTTCAATGGAAGGTACAAGTGAAGAAATATTTTATTTTATTATACCCGCCATTTGCATCAAGTAGTAGATCTAAATATTGGATGGTATAATAAGATTGTTTTTAACCTATCCTTAGTTAATCATAAATCATTTTATGATTTCCTTGGTTCAACTCTGATTTTCATCATTCTATTCTTTTAAAAACTGTTCTCAGTTTCACAATTGTTGCTCCCTTAGAGTGTAACTTGAATTGCCCTACATCCTTTCCTCTCAAATGTTCAATGCATTTGACCTTTTGAGTTTCATGCATAATAAATTTGGGTGAAATATGTCTATTATAAATGTAGGTGTGCTAGCATAATTGCATATAGTTATCAAATTGATATTTATGGGGTATTGCTTTGTTCCTGTGGGCCATAGCGGGATTTTATATAGTCTAAAGCCTATCTCGATAATGGGGCCAGTTTCTGAAATCAGCTAATTAAAAAATCTCTCCAGCTTTATTTATCAGGAAATAACTAAATTTAAATGCCATAGCCTCCTATTGAATTCACAAAATAAATATTTTGATATTACACATTATAGATTTTTTCAGAATATCGATAGTTGACTATCTATCATAAAATTCAAATTATGTTTGTCAGGAATCAATGAGTTACCTATAAATCCATTAATATTTCAGAACTGAAAATGTCTTCTATTCTGAGCATTCTTTTGCTGTTTGTTTACACATCATGAACTTACATCCTTCCTTTTTTTGTGTGTACAGTTTAGTTAAAAAATAACTTAAAAGATATTTATATGTAAAAGAAGATATTACAAGTACAAAATAAATAGATCAAAAGCACTAGTTTGAATTATTCAGCAACTTATTTCTATGCTCATAAGAAAATAGTTTTGAGTGAAGAGCGTGGTAATAAATAGATAAGAGTATAGGTGAAGCATTAAATTCATATGAAATTGTAAATATAAAATAGAAGAGAGATCATACAAAGGCAGAAACATATATTGTGTAAAAAAAAATTACAAATATACAAACAATTGCAGTTGGGAGTAGAACAAGGAATCTGGTAAGCTATATTAAGTCAGTGTTGTAAGGTTAACAGATTCATATAATTAAATATAGAGAAAGGTATGGGTAAATAAGGTTTTTAGTGGTATTGATTTGCTGGTTTAAACTGAAACCATCATCCTTTGAAAAACTGTTGTGGTTCCTGTGTAAGTGAGGTAACAAAAAACAAAAAGTTTGTTAATCTTGTTCTCCTTGATTACCTTCAAATTGATATGTAATATATTGATTATTCACTGAAATGTATTTTCGTGCAAAGTTTTCTTCATAGGAATGGTGTGGAATGAACTCTTTGGCACATTAGAACATTGTTTTATAAATAATTGCAAGAATGCAATAGTTCAAGATGAATAGATTTTTAATTCTTCATAAGTAATTGAAATTTGTTCATAAGTAAGTTAAAATTCAAAAGTTTAGTGTCATCTCTTATTATTCCTGAAGTAAAAAAATAACATTCATTTAAGTATTAAAATGAAACTTGGAAAATTTAAAGAAAATTAACATAAAATTTGAAATAAAAAATTTATTATATCAAAATAGGTTTTAAAGGGTCATTTATAAATATATTTTGTATTAAGTGCGCAGGAGACGTCAATGCAGTGGATCCAATCATAACTGTTTTATCGAATGGTTTAAAATAATCTTTTATAAACTTCACTTCCATACCGGTTATACCACCAATCACAAATATTAACACATTATCATTGTCCATAATATGGGGTCTTGAAGAGCTTAGTATCATACTGAAATTAAAATAAATAAAATAGTAGGAAGCATTTAACAATTATAATCAAGTTTTAGAAAATAAAATGTTAATCTTACCTAAATCTTGAAGCAAAATTATCTCGAAGGCTAAGATTAGGTTTATGCTTAACATCTTCAAGTTCTGGTTTACTTGGATTTGTGATATCTTCTAGTAACTGTTTCAAGACGCTCCTATATTCCAATGGTAATAACATATCTTCATAAATAGCAATATTCCTATGAAATTATTAAGTTAGTCTCTATATTGACAAACATATAATAAATTTAGTTTTTGAAATGATAGTTTTTTCATTATTATTGAAACAAGAGAGGTTTGGCAACGAGAGATGCCTAATCAACAAGATTTACTTAACATGTAATGTAATGTATTAACCATAAAGATTCATTTACATTAACCTTACTGATCTACCAGAAGGAAAATCTCAATATTTTAAGTAGCAACAAGAAATAACCAAAAAGTGACACTATGAAAGGGACATAACAAAAATTTTGTGTACCTTAAAATTTACAGTGGTCTAAATAAAGATATATAAAATCTAAATTCAAATCATATAGTTTTTGATATAACTTTTTAAAACATATAATATAGAATTGAACCATACAAAGTAAAATTTTAAATCACAACACCAAATGATACTGAAAGTGAATTATCAATACTTATCTCCCAGGATGAAAATAGAGCTAACTAAAAAAACAATTCCGGAATGATCACAAGTTTGTGTTGTGTCCCTTTTGTTCTGGATGTACAAACACATAACAATACACTTTACCAAAAATTTCAAAACTGTTACCTGAATTTCATCAAATGATTTCTACTCTTCTTTAAACTATTAAGTTTCTTGAAAACACGAGAGCAGAATTCACTATCGCTCATTTCCTCTACACTTAAACCCATATCGTGGCCATACGTTTCTCTATCTTCGGAGAAAGCCTTTTCAAATGACAGCAATAAACTATTTTCTACATCACGACTCACTAAATATTGATCACCAATAAAATTATAAAAAAATATTAAAATCAACAAAATAAACTCCATTCCCAATCCTTTGTTCCTCCTAGTTTCAATTATGTTGATGATCTAGAATAGAAAAAGGAAAGTGATGATATTTTGAGTAAAATAAGAGGAACTAATGTAAATAATTTTGTTTTTCCTGATAAATACCAACCAATTTAACAGCTTCATCTGTTTTATTATCAACTGCTAAAGCTTGCATCAATAATTTTTGAAAACTTCCAGCTAATTTCATTTTTTCTAAGGCACTGGACTTAACAGTCTGAGTGAAACCCAAGGTATACTAAAATTAAAGAATCAATAAATAATCTTCTGAAACAATAATTAGAGAGAAATCTTAAAAAGCAATTACCTGTAAAGCCGCAGAATGTTTTCTGATGAGATCATATTTTCCAGAAAACTTCTTCTGAACGACATCTTCTAATTCAGATGGAGAAACGCTCGATTTTTCTTTTAGATTACAAATCATAGATATTTCTTTCGTTAGTGCTTTTAATATATCATTTGGTGTTTTGTAAATAAGCCACTCCAACATATCAGTCTTGGGTTCATGTAAGCAACCAGGTGCAATAACATTAAATTTATTACCCCTTAAACAAATAAAATGTTTTAGATATAAATATATTTGTTTTAAAAAAGAATCCACACTCATTCAAAAATTTTAAACAGAAACCATCCAATATGCCTTCCTGAAAGATAATTATATTCAGAATAGAAAAAATTCAAGAATTGATTTAATTTGTTATTTATGAGAAAAAATATTAATTTTCAACAGTTTTAAATGCCTGTTTAAGATCCTGCATTTCTTTTACTATTTTTTTCTGATTTTGGTTTATAATATATTAATATCATCTTATGTTTTAATAGCTAATAATGAGTAATTCCTTGACATAAACTTACTTTTATTTGTCAACAATAAATTAATTATGAGCAAGAGCTATCACAGGAATTTTTAATATAATATAGTATTCTATTCATAATTATTAATATTTACCTACACTTTAGAAGAGCTTAGGGAAGACATATCAATTGCAACATCTATACTATGTGAAGGGAAAGGTGGCAGAACTGATTTCATGCAATCAAGAAATGAGTAATTTTCCAAAGCTGAGCAGCTACAAACATCCAAATTCCGATCAATTAACAGCAAACCCATAGTAGAGTTAGCAGTCTATAAACAAAATAGCAATGTTTTGTTGAACATATAACTTTTTTATTTGAGGTTTGTAATAATACCGGGAAATATTCGGTAAATAGAAAAGATAAATATATTTTTACTTGATAAACTGATTTTATCATTTGGGAAGGGGAGAGAATAAAACTATTTTAAACAAATAATCAAACCTTACTATGTATAAACAACATTGAGTACAAATTCAAAATAAATGTTAATATATTAAATAATAAGCCTTAGTTGTTTTTAAATTAACCAATCAACAATAATTTAAACAAAGAACAGGAGTCTGATTTGAAAAAATCTTTATGCTTTAGATATAACATTCATTGATGTTCTGTGTTAATATTCATTGATGAACATTCATAGAACAGTTTAAGTCGTTTGTCTAACTCATAGAAATGGAGCAATTACCATAAACGTCATACAATCTAGAAAATTTTAATCAATTTCCCTGGCACAGCTTTCCATAATTATTTATAGTAGTTACTATGCATACAACTAAGGGAAAAACTTTTCAATATGTTGGAGATGACTTAAAAGAAGACTGATTTTTTGTAAGATCAACTTTACATATGTTGTTTCATCTAGATTAATGGCAGAGAAAATCAGTAGACATTTATTTTACAGAAAGAAAGAATTAAGCCTGAAGGTGCTAAAAAGTTTCTTTAAATGGCTTAAAATGTACCATAAAATGTAGATGGCTTTATACCAAAAAACTACTTTGTTGGTATAAAGCCATCAAACTGAAAACGTTCTATTAAGTATTTATTGTAAACAGTCCTTTTATTGTTTTACATAAATTTTTATTTTTATTTAATTAATCAGATGCATTTAATGTGGTTGAAACTTCAAGGAGTATTTACAACGTGTTAAGGAAAAAAAATCTGAAAGTTACTTAAGCTTACTTTAGCCCTGAGTATGCTTGTAGACTGTTTTTGCAATTGAGAACCAATTAAAGTGCTATAAGGCCCTAAACAATAGATATCTTCTCGAACGTTTAATTGAGACAACAAGGCATTAAGGGTTGTCATAAGATACACACTAACTACTTGTAATTCCAAAGGTAGTGACTCCATAGTCCATTCTGCAGTCTGAAATTCCAAAACAAGTGAAAGTTAGCTATATATTTAAGTGAATTAATAAACATATTAAAAACAAATCAAAGGCTAAGTACAAAAAAGATACAACACAACATATCAATACATCTGTACATAAAATAAATTTAAATTCATCAACATTTCTTATATGTGTTATCTATTTTGGCATAATTAATAATCTGTAAGTTTCCATCAACAAAACAAATAAAAACTTTTTATTTCTATTTTTTTAAAGTTTATTTATTTATCTATTCTATCTTATTATATGTAGGTATCTATTATTATTTTAATTTATTGACTTCATTCTATCAATTCTTTTATTTAATTATGTTATTTGGTTATTTATTTATTTAGTTGTTTATTTAATTATGTTATTTTTATTTATTTATTTCATTCTATTAATTCTTTTATTTAATTATTTTTATTCTTATTTTTTGGACCAACCATCAGAACAGTATAAAAGTAGTGTTATTTAGTTGATCGGGCACTGATGACCTGGATGTTGGACAAACAACAAAACAAGTATCTTCCCAAAAAAGTGGTTGACACCGAGCATGCTAAGACAACACAAGTACTTATTAAATGTCTACTTAATACAGTAGTTATGTTTTTAGCCTTACTTAATTTATGGTTCCTGAAGGGGTTGATTAAATAATAAAAAAATAATTAAACAGATTGAAACTAGAATATATAAGGAACAGATAGACAACCTGCAAAAGTATGTTACTGGTATGGGTAGGGAGAATTAGTCTGGTAAGTGGGCCACATGGTCATTTTTGCAAACCCCTGACGGCTACTTTTAGTTGGTATAATGATTAATATATATCAAATAGTAAATTTTGATTCAATCAAGATTCAAGTTGATTGTGTATAACCAATTATGTATTCCATAAAGGGAACTATCACAGCTAATTGCGAATTAGTTCAGAAACAAAATCCCCATCTCTACGAACATTTCATAAGAGACCAACAGGATTATTTAATTTTTTTGGTTTTAATTTCCAGCATGAATATTCCTCAATATCACTTTATCTACTGAGCCCTGTCCTCTGTTAAAACAGAACAATAACAGGAACAGGAACAGACTTTGTATAAAAGGATCATATTTAATACAACAAAAAGATGTTATTTCAAAATTGTAATTAAAAGCTAAATTTATTGTCAAAGCAAAAATGTAACAATCGGGTTAAAAAATATTTATTATAAATTATTTTTATGAGCACAGCACCCAAAATTTTAACGTCTTGAGTTTTGCCATGAAAATATAAGGCATTAAGGTAATTAAGTACAGGTAAACTCATCAACTTCCAAGTGTATTGGATGTATGTGATTTGCTGACAACATTGATATAGCTGGCAGGTCAATAGCAACATTCATAGCATTGAAAAATATTGCTGTGAGGATGGCGCTGATTGTCAACTATAACCATACAAAGTATATTAGGGCAAACCCTTAACTGATGAACGTTGAGAACCATATTCAAGTTGATGGGCATAGTGCGGAAAGAATTGAGGAATTTGTGTACCTAGGGTCCCTGGTCAACCAACAAAATGATATTGGAGCAGTAGTCGAGAAGCAGATAATGGCAGCTAATCATTGTTAATTTGCTGTGCATATGAGTGATGGTCTCCTCTCCAAATCCTCGAAAGTTAGGCTGCACAAGACTCTCATCCAACCAGTTCTCACATATGCTTCAGAAAACTACACTCTTACCCAAGCACACGACTTTCCTCTTTTGAGATTTGAAAAAAAGAGTCCTGAGAAGGATTCAGTCCAGTTATAGTTAATGAATGGTACACTCATCAACTTCCAAGTGCAGCTCCTTGGATTTCCTGATGACATTGAGTGGAGACACCGTTCCAACAATGAACTGAGGCTGCTTTATAAGGTATTCAATGTAGTACAGTTTATAAAGGTATCGAGACTTAGGTGTAACAGAAATGTGATTAAGTTGGAGAAAGACAAAATCCTAAGGGAACGAATCTTTGGTGTGAGAAGAGCAGGACAGCCACGACTTCAATGGGAGGACTGCGTAGCTTTAGAAGCCCGGACCATAATGGATATCCGCAGTTGGAGGATAGCAGCACTTGACAGAGACAACTGACAGTCGTCACTGGAGCAGGTCAAAATTCGACTTCAAGGGTCGCAGTGCTGGATAAAAGAAAATAAGGTAATTAAATTTCATTTTCACCATGACAGAATATAAATTGTGTGACGAAATCTCTAGTCAGTATGAGATTGTACATATGATAATTTAGCTTACAGTGACCAGTATAGATTGCTGTAAGTTTTTAAAGTGCTACTCTATCCAAACCGAGTAGTAGCTTACTCATAATAGAAACATATACATTCATGTTCTAATATAAAAATCTACATTTTTAGAACAAAGTCGATCTGCTATCAGGAAGAGACAAAATCTCGGGACCAGATAAGAGTTGACTAAAACAAATTTATGCACTCTTAATAAAACAATAAAGACTCAACCTCCATTAAAATGGACCCATTGGGGTTCATATATCCCTTTTGTGTGAACAAATATCAAATCTTATGATCTAATTAAGGTCCTAGTCTCAAATTAAAAAGACCTGTTGAAGGTTTGTTTATCTTTTGGGGATAAAGGGAATTAACAATCATGAACATGGTTGTTAGTACCCAGCTATTTCCGAAATTTCATGTACAGGTCAAATTATAAAGAAAGATGTTAGACCTTGGAGTTCCTCTACCTTAGGATCAGACATTCAAAACTGACCCACCTCCACCTAATCACTAAAATTGCACCCACATTGCAATAGCTCTCATTCCCAAACATTGCCCATCTTATAGTCGTAAATTAAATGATACGGATATCACACACGGACATCATATACGGATATATCAATAGCCTTCACTTTACATATTAATAGCATCGACTGTTCTACATATCATGAGTGATAAATAGTCAGGATGCAGTTATTGTGAATGTTTTTTATTTGTGTCAACGTTTCAACCCAAGCATGTGTTAAGCACAACCAACCAACAAGAGAAAATAATTACGAGTTCACGTCCCGGTATCAAGAGAGCTTTTAACTCTTACATTAATCCACTTCCCTCTCCCTTGGCTAGGGAAAAACCCATATAGCTGAAAGGGGAGGGCAAAAAAAGTAATTTGGTAAAAAAAGAAGGGAAATAATTCAGAAGTTTGCTTCACTTTGATGGGTGGACACGAGATCTCATAACTAATAGTTTGAGATTTTGCCAGAGGGCTCGGTCGCCTTTATATATTTTCAGAATTTCTTCTATAATGTGATCATGAGTTCTTTTGCCCACCCATTATGGTGGAACAGCACCTGTGACGTAGTACCAAAACTTGTATTGTATTTCATGTAAAAAAATAAACTCTTGTTATAATAAAATAATAACTTTCATTTTTATATTATTTCGAATTTAATTTATAAAAAACAAACTGAATCAATAAATAAAAGCTTACCCCATAGTTTTGGGAAGATTTGATGCCCAGATCATCTTCAAAACAAGGAAATAGATTTGAAAATGCTGGTATAATAAAAAAATATTCTGTGACTGATATGAAACCATAAGGAAAATGAAATATTTCTGCAGTATAAGCCTGAAATAGAAATACAATTTATCATAATTAAAACATACAATTATACAGGGGATGATAGCCAAAAGGAAGGTTAGTTAGCAGTGAGCTAACTAGCAATAAAATAGTCTTCATTGTGAGATTGAAGGTAAAAGTGACCAGATGTTGAATATGCAAAGATCTCTAACCAAATCTATTCTACAATATTACATAAAATAATAAATATTAGCTAACTGATGATAATTTCACAATTGTTTTAGTAATGATAACTTAGATTTGGGCCATACACAGGTAGATAACAAACTCATCTCTACAAGAATGTTAGTTTACCATTTTTAACTCCAATCTAACAAAATGATTACAACTGTTGAAAGTACAAAATAACTGTGAAAATGTGCTATTTTATAATTATAATTATAAAAGAAATTATAATTAAAAAATATAACAGTATTTTTAATAAATAACAGAATCAAATTAAAAGCGCATATATATACACTGACAGGCAAAAAAAAAAATTCCACCCACTTGATTTTTTCATGTTTTCATCTAAAAATATTTCTGTCACCGGTAAAAAAAGTTGTATTTGTATATAATACATGGTATTTGTAGATAAAAACTTTTAACCTTTAATAATCAAAATGTGATTGGGTAAGAAAGATTAGAGAAAAAAAAATTGAAAAATGAACCATTATTATTCTAAAAGAAATTAATTACATCATCGTTTAGTAGCACGTGTTTCCTCCTCTTGCCTTCACTACTTCTTGAAGACGCCTCGGCCTACTTTCCACCAGTCAGGAAATGTCCCTTTGCTGGAGGATAGCCCTTCCTTCCGAAGACCCCTTTCAAGGTCCTGCAGTGTATCAGGAAGTGTTGCATGAGCTCTTATTCGTCTTCCGAGGTTATCCCATAAATGGTCAATGGGGTTCAAATCTGGAGAACGTGCTGGCCAGAATAAAACCTCAATATTGTTCTGTTGAAGGAACTTCTGCACTATGCGGGCGACAAGTGGGCGTGCATTAGAATAGAACGATCGCCGATTTCGTTGAGGATAGGCAACACAGGAGGTTCCAAAATCTCATCTACATAGCGAATGGCCGTCAAAGACCCTCCACGAACAACTACCAATTCTGTGCGGCGCTCCATTGAAATCCCAGCCCACACCATTAAGGAACCAAGTTGGAAAGGTTGGCTCTGGGAAAAATTACAGGCTGCATATCTTCTGTTTCTTCTTCTCCACACCCTTTCACGCCCATCTGGTGATCGATGAGCGAATCTTGATTCATCTGTAAAAAGTACAGCACTCCATTCGTCCATAGTCCAATGGCTGTGTTCTCGAGCAAAAGCCAGCCGTGTTACTCTGAGTTCTGGTCAACTCTGATCCTCTTACTGGACGAAAAGCCATTAATCCATACTCATTTAATCTTCTCCGAGCGGTACGTTCAGAAATTGGCACAACTCGAACTTCTTCGAACTGATGAATCGCTTGAACAACGGTAAAGTGCCGGTTTCGTAAAATTCTCAAAGTCAAAAACCGGTCATCCCGTGGTTCTGTTACCCTAGGCCGTCCAGAACCGGGCCTTCTATTGTAAGAACCAGTTTTCCAAAAACGCCTGATGGCGTCTCGTAAAGTTTCATATGGAACTCCGATGGCATTAGCTGCATACCTAATGGAACGTCCATCATCAATAAGTGCTACACCACGCGCAACATCCTCAGCACTAAGAGGCATTTTTAAACTTAATATTGAAAAAATTAAGAGCCGGAGACTAAGAAATGTTCTGCAAGAAACGGCACTGAACTAATGATAATAAACATTTTGATTCCATAGAAAGTAAACATTGGAATCTAAAATCACTTCATTGAATTAAGGATTAAGGGTTATTGTCCTCTATATTAACATTCCTAATTGAAAACAAACAAAAAGATTACCTATTTATTCATTAAAAACAATAGAGCAATCCAAAGCAGAAATATTTTCAGATGAAAACATGAAAAAATCAAGTGGGTGGAATTTTTTGCCTGTCAGTGTATATATACATGTGTATAAATTTACGGTTTTTGGTCCCAATATTATACCAACGCATGATATAATATCAGTAACCACCATAACCATTCATTCAGAATTTTAGTTGGTTTTGAGATAAAAACTAATAACCACAGCATTGTAATACCAAATATTGTGTAAAAAAAAAAAAAAAAAATATATATATATATATATATATATCAGTAAAATAAAAGAAACCGGTGCTATTTATAGCAAATTTAATAAAATATCACAATATATTGTTAAAAAAACTGTAAATTTATTATAAATGGAAAAAGAAATAAATTAGATGAAACTACCTATTTAGCTCACTGAAATAACTATGTAAACTACCTCAGATTTCATCCAATGTAAAATGTCACGTTCAAGTTTGTGAAGAGCTGTTAATTCATGACTTCCTTCTGGTACATTTCCAGTAGTTGCCAAAGTTAAGGCAATCGGACTACATGACGTTATCACAATGCAATGTTCAAAGTTACTCTTTGATATAATATCTCTAAGGATCATACGAGGAGGACCAGTTAAAGGATCCTTAATGAGAAATACTGCCTTCTTCTGTTGACTGTTTTCACTCTAAAATAAATTAACAATGCTTAATAGAAGATTTAATTTCGCAATTCACTGAGTTTTTATTCATAATTCTTACCACTGAGGAAGAAAAACCTTTAACACCCAGGGCTCCAGCCCTAAGAAGTCTAACAAGTCCTCCATTCCAATGTAAACATTCTGCAGAACATTCATCCAGAAAAACAATAGCATCTTTCACTTTTTTACAAACTTCTGTCCAGCAGTTATCACTACCATATTCCACACTTAAAACCATAGCTTTAAACACATATCAATACAGAAATAAGTTATTGTACTTTATTAAAATGATACGACTTGAGTGTAAAAAATAAATATTTGTTGGCATTCACAGGTTGATTTTCGAATAATAAATAACATTTAAAAATCTACTCCAATATAAATAGGCTGACTAATTCCAAATAACAAATATTTAATATCCGAATTCGTTCCATAATCATCGATCAAATAAACTTCCAACAAGGACTTGTCATATTGCAAAGAGGTACGTGGATGTTGACATAAAGTAGAATGAATTGAGTGATAAATATAATCTTGATGCTAATAATAAGAATTATTCATAAGAACGGTATAATTTTTTTTCGGTCTGTACCTTATTTAAGTGAAGAGGCACGATCCGAAATAACCATGATTTAAAAAACCTAAATAATTAAAAATGGGCGAAATTTATACTTTTAGCGATTTAAATCGGCTACTCCTAATTTAAAATAAAAGCTACAACTTTTAATAAGCCAATTTATGATATATGTATTAAAGAACATTATTTTAAAAAGTTAAATGTAAATAACTATATGTTTTCTTCCTTCTTTTTTTATTAAAGTATATTATTGTAACCACTAGCGGATCCAGGATTTAATTTTGGGGGGCTTCAGCCCGAAAGATTTTTTTTCATATATATAACGATAATTAATTTGAAAAAAAAAGAAGAAAGAAGTGAACTACCTATATGAAATGTTGTTTAAGTGATTCTTGAAGTCCTATTAAATGTAATTACCCCAACAAGAATACTTTAAGAGATAGTTTTTAATATTTGTTTCTATAAAACATAGTTATATTTCACCGTTTTGGGGGGGGAGTTCAGCCCGAAAGCCTGGCAAATAATAATTACATTTAAAAGGACTTAAGGAATCACTTAAACACCATTTCATATAGATAGTTAGCGACTTTCTTATTTTCCAAAGTAATTTTCGTCATTTTTATGAAAAAAAAAAGCTTTTGGGCTGAAGCCCCCCCCCCAAAAAAAAAATAAATCCTGGATCCACTAGTGCATTTGCCCCCATATCACAAAGAATACTCTTGGTATTACTAATTTGGGATTCAATAGTGGGAATAGTATGTTCATCACATTCAGTGATTATATGAAACTATAAAAAATTAAGGAGCTAAAAAAAAATTAGGGATGGGACCATAATTCTTCCGGAGCTGGAATTTAAGACATTTAATTTATGAATAAAAGTATTATGAATTTTTCATTTGTTAAAATAAACTATAATTTTTAAATGATTCCTAATCTAACTATGTAACCATAGTTTCCACATAATTTAATGAATCTTGATAAATACAGAATTCTATCATTTTTCTTTAACTCATCATACAAAATCCATTTTTATTTGGTAATACTGGGCTATCCTGAGTACCAAATGTTAAATAAATGATTATACCTTCCTCACATTGAACAATATAATAACATACCGCAAATTTATAAAAAATGCGAGCTTTATATTCAATTTTCGGAGGCCTCCATATACTGCATAAAATAATAAATTAAATCATGTGGTTAGATTCATGTTTCTAAGCTATTTAATTTATTCCTATAAATGATGACTAATACTCCTCATTTTTCTTTCAAAGTATTACAGATAAATCAAATTATTATCGTAACAATAATAATTTTAGTTGTTTTTTTTTAAGCACCACCATAAGTGGAATAGTTTCTCTTAAGTTTAGTGAATGAAGTTTTAACGTTTATCAGCACTATTTATCTGTCAGTGAATGAAGTGAACAATATTATCAATCATTGTTACAGCTCAAGATTGATTTTATATAATTTATAAATTCCATACGCTTGGTAGAGCTAAAATACTAATAGGAATAACATATTAGTACCGGAACTAATAGGATGTAGTTGTTAAAGTGAAATGATTTGTCACTGAATAAGTTATTCTTACAAACCCTTACTTTGATGCCAGCCATATTTGACACACACTACCTGCTTGGCTTTCTTAGTTATATCTTTCCTTCTAGTTAATTCTATCACAACTGATATAAAAACATTCTCTTAAGAAAGAAATTTCAATTTAAAATAATTTTAATTGGTCAGAAATGAATCATATGACCTAGGCCATAGCATGGACAGATTTTCACTTAAGACAGCCTTCTTTATACATATTTGTCTTAATATTTAAGTAACACCTTCATATGAAATGAATAGGATAACAAGAATTTGATTTTTGAGGGAATTTGGTTTTATTCAAAGAACAACAACATAAAACAAAAAATATTTATTCTTAATTAAATACACTCTTTGAATGGAAATATAGTTCAATCAACTAAGTAAAAATCTTGAATAATATTTATTTTATTTTAACAATATTTTCATTGTATTAGCTGCCAAAAACCAACAGGTTTTTCATCGGTAAAATTCACAAAACCTTGAAAGGAATTAAGATTTTTTTAGTGCAATCAGTGCAGGTGTTGTATTTCAATGATTATATGAGCCTTCCAGGTGACAGAATGATACAACTCCTATTTCAACATTTCTCAGTAAAATGTTTGTAGTGATTTTCATTGAAATTCTCTTGCTTTATCAGAAGTATTGGTAATTGATAATTGATGGTAAATATTTTTGATATAGTTTTGAAAAAAAAGTAAAGAATTTTCTAAAGAAGAAACAGAAATATAAGTGATACTAATTTAATGGAAAAAATTAGCCATACTATCAACTGAAAGGCTCATATGTGAATCTTAAAAAACAAATTTTTCAACACTAAATATTAGATAACATAATATTCATATGACAGTCTATCAAACTAATTATCATTAAAAAATGTATAAAATAAATAAATATAAAATACTGAAATCTTTGGAATGCTTTGTGTTATAAATTAAAAAATGTTTGGGAAAATATATTTGACACTCCAAAATGAAATAAATAATGGTTAAAAAGATGTTAAGACAGAACAACAATAGTTTTTGTTTTCCATATTTGTGTGAAATTGACCTTCTCTTTCATCTCTTAATGTTGACAAATATTGAATCATTATTTTTTAGAACCATTCAAAGTAGGAGTAACAACAGGTTTTGGAGTATAATACATGGTGTCTAAAAAGAAACGGGTGAAATCGCCGACAATAGATCTATCAGGAATGCCTTGGGACATACCATACATAGCCATCTGTAAAACAAAAAAAAACTATTTGTTAGCTCATTAGAACAAACTACAGTATAAAGAGAAAATTAATCATTAAAAAAAAATAAACAGTTATTATATTATATTGGGTTGGCTAATAAGTCCTTTTGGTTTTTCTGTTTATTTTTATGTCACTATGATACACTTCTTATCTGATGAATTAATCCCTAATGCGGATTGCTTATCCTGTTTGTAATATGCCAACAACTATATCTGTTAACTCTAGTGGAAACTAGCTTAGTATTGTGTTTGCTATTGCATTGTGAACATGGAGAAAAATAACATTCATTATTGGCATATTTTTTTTAAAAAACGTAATACAAGCAGAAGCTCATAGAAAAATTTGCAGTGTCTATACGAATGATGCCTTAATCAATGATGCTCAATAGTCTGGTCGCCCACATGAATTGATGTTAAGGCCATTGCTGATCAAAATCCCACCCAATCAGCATGAGAGATTACTATGGTCACACAAATGTAGAAAACCATTTGCACAAGCTTGGCTATGTTTCCAGGCTTAATGTTTGGATACCTCACTATCTAACCGAAGTCAACTTGGCAACATGCATTTCTTTTTGTGATTCACTACGGAAACGGCAAAAAAAAAAAAAAATTTGAAAAGGTTGGTAACAGGAGATGAAAAATGGATATTTTACAATAATGTAGTCCATAGAAAATCTAGAATGTCAAAACTCGGATTGCATCCAAAGAAGATAATGCTTTCCAAATGGTGAGATTTCAAGAGAGTTATTTTCTATAAGCTATTGACATCAGGACAAACAATTGATTCAACTCAATTCAACAATTAACGAAATTGGATCAATCAATTAAAAATAAACGCCCAGAACTGACAAATCAGAAGTGTGTTCAACCAAAACAACGCTAGGTCCCACACCTCATTGGTCACTCGTAATAAATTATTGAGCCTTGGATGGGACCTTTTGCCCCACTCTCCCTATTCACCAGACCTAGCTCCAAGTGACTACCACTTATTCCGGTCTCTACAGAACTCCATGAATGGAAAGAAATACCAAAAGGAAGAAGACAACAAAAGCCATTTGGATCAGTTTTTTAACAATGAACTCCAGACATTCTATGAACATAGCATTATGCAGTTAGTGAAAAGATGAAAAAAGTCATATTATATAATGGTCAATATATTGTAGATTAAAATAAATTTTATGCCTATAATACATTGAGTTTTATTTCACTCTGAAAAACCGAAAGAACTTATTTGCCAACCCAATATTAATATCAACATAATCTAAAAAGCTAAATGGAACTTAATTAGTCATTACCTCAATTTAATTAAAAACATTATAACAACTAAATAGTAAAATAAAATGTTTAAGAATAAGAAAATAATTAAAAACATATTTGTCTAAATTACCTTTCCTTCAACATCCATTCGGGGATCTTTCATAATTTCAGTGACAGCCTCTTTGACATCATCAACAAAGCGTTTAGCTACTCCATCTTGAGTATGCACATGAGTAAGGCAAATATGAAACCTACAAATGAAAAAAAAAACCTTCAAATATATCACTTATTAACAAATTTAAACTACAATATAATAAAATAAATATAATATACATATAAATATATTAATACAAAATGGATCACATATAAACAAGAATTTATTTATTACAAGATTAAAATGTCAAGTAGAATTTTGAATTTGATATTAACAAAAGATATCATAATAGCATTATTCTGCAATCACCATTTTTTTTTTCATTTTCTTTTAATATAATTAATAAATTATGATTATGATGAATTTTATTAATATAGGAAATTAGAAGATGGTGTTCATTCATAACCTTCATCTTATGAAGCTCTTAAAAATTTTTAGTTTGATATAAATAAATAACCTTTCTTTATTCATGTTTCTGAAAAACTACAAATAATTTATGATGTACTTAAAAGAATTCAACATACCCAGCAGGAAACTGTAGGGGGTTCACACTCCATCCTTTTTCATTTAGTTTCTCGATGAGACGGAATACATGGAAATCATTGGATCCTACAGCTATGACAGATGTAACAGGTTTTCCAAAGATAAATATACCATTTACTTTTCGTAATCTGAAAATATTAAACAAAATAACAATTTTTATATATTATTTAAAAATATGTAAATAATCTACTAAGAAAAGCTTCATATGCAAAGGATATTTAAAGTAGAAAGGGAAAAGAACAAGGCCAGAGAGGGCTTCTGATCCCAGTTTTCACTATCTGGTATTCAGACGACAGCTTGACCAAAATATTATATGATAAAAACTAGAACAGGTGATCAATTTGTGATTAGTCTTAGCTGATAAAAATCCAGGTAAGATATATTAAATATTGTTGGTATAAATATAAAACAGCAAATTCTACAAAGTGCAAATTTTTTTATTTTTTTCTAAATTAATTGTAAATATTTTCTACACAATAGTATATCACTTGCTATTACTCAATAATTTAAAAAATGTATAAACATCTCAATACATTGGAGATTTTTCAATGGTTTCACATTGATACCAATACATATACTTACTCATCTTCAATAAATCTGGCAGTTTCGATCACTTTTTTTGTAGCTTTTATGTACTCATTTTTTCCCAAGTGTATTAAAGTAGCCCAACAGGTAGCAATAACGCCTGAAATTTATTTGATACAATATAAATTTCATGAATCATAATATTAAATTCTATTGATAATGAGGAGTTGATCGGGGGGTGCGGTCAAATAAATACTATATTATAGAAATAGTATTATTTAATTATTATAACGATGTTTTGACCCACCTTGCAGGTCTTCATCAGGGCTACAAAAGATACAAAATATAATTATATTATATTTTGTAGCCCTGATGAAGACCTGCAAGGTGGGTCGAAACGTTGGCAAAATAATTAAATAATACTATTTCTATAATTTAGTATTTATTTGACTGTGCCTCCCGATCAACTCCTTCTCATATTATATCACGGTCAACCATCTCTACATCATCTATTGATAATAATTATATAAATTTATAAAAGAGTTAAATTAAATACACTAAGGGTAACCATATAGCGGAGCGACAATACTAGGTCTGGGTGTGTGTTAACAGTCTAGCTCAAAAACGAAAAGTCGTACAAAGTAATGCTGGTTAACTAAGCAACAACAATTAGGGCAGGTTGCACCAACAACCTTTATTACGGAAACTTAAATTTCTCTGTTGATTTACTCTAGTTAATAATTAATCAATGTTAAAGTTTGTAAAGTAGCTCCAAGTAATTTTTAACTTAAGTTAGTTAACAAATGGGTTAAGGTGTGACGCATTTTAAGCCCCCCAAAAAAGTAAGTCTTGTAGCATAGAGCAAGTTCCTAAAATCAGCACTGACCTCGCCAAAAGCATCAGATCTGTCTCTCATGGATGAAAAGATGCTATTCAACTGAATTTAGAAACTTTCCCATAGTACACTTCAGTTTTTTTTTTTTATACTTTCTAGTGTATATTGTAATCATTACACTATTCAGTGGTGTTATTTGTTCTGAGAAAAATAGAAAAGAAAGACAATATTTTCTGAAAATGGAAAACAATTATTGTTAAAAATTGTTTTAAAAAACTTTGGTATTAGAAAATTAAATACCAATGGATTAAGGAAAAACATCTGCTAAATTAAAAATAATGAATAAGTACCATTGTGCAACATTATGTTGGAAGAAAAAAAAGTTATATCTTGTTTCAAAACTGTTACAGTAGCTATTTCCACACACATTTTTTTTTCCCCCTTGCACAATGATTTTCTATATTTGTAATAAACAACTATTTATCTGACTAGTCCAATGTAAAATGTGAATTTGGTGTAATTTAATATTTTTATAATACCATATTTCTATTGTCATATAAGTTGCCAATTATCAATTACAAAAATGTCAATCAAATTTATAACTCATTCTTTAGTAAATCTACATTAATTTAAATTCAGAACCATTGTAAATGTCAAACAGATGGATTATTTGATAATCTTGGTGCAATAAAAATTCTGAAAACTGGTGATTAATTAATAAAATTTAAGAAAGATCAATGCAACTAACTCTAAGTGTTAATCAGTTGTTAGGGGCTCATGATTGATACATTTGAACAGTTTCTAATTATTTTTATGATTGATTGTTTAAATATATTTCAGAGTTCTGTGAATACATACATTTTTCTTAAAAAGATCTTTATAACTAACTGGCAATATCTAAAATCTATGAATATCTGAATCTATGAAAGAGAACATGGTAATAAATATTATAACATTTTAATGATTATTTTTTAACAATAAAATTTTTAAAAGCAAAGAAACAAACAAGCATACTAACACAAAAATTATACTTTATTATTAATCTTACCGCCAGCTCGGGAACCAGCCACAGTAGGAGATCCATAAATACCACCAGGCCAATCTGTTGTAATACAATATTGTTCGTGTCGGTATTTGGGATGAGAATAAAGAACGATCGATGACCCTTTGGGGCAGTAAGCGTACTGAAATAAAAAATTACTAATTACAAAGAACATTATCAAAAAATAAATCAATTCTAACTTGCGATAATTACCTTATGAGTGTCGGCTGATATACTTGTTACTCCAGGAACTCGAAAATCAAAAGGAGGAAGTTCAAATCCAGCTTCAGGCATAAATACTAATAAGAAACCACCCAGACAGCAATCAACGTGTACAGGAATATCATACTTCACACCAAGGGATGCTATGCTTTTTATATCATCCATAGCCCCATAAGGATAAGATGGTACAGATCCTACTAACTGTTATGAAAATACACCTCAGTAAATACATTACAATGATAAATACTTAATTAACTGATCAATAAGAAAATTACTGATGAGCTATGGGTTAAAAAACATTTTATAAGAAATTGGAATTTTACTTCGATTTAAATTTTCATATCATTATTATTTTTTGTTTTCATTCAAAGCATGTTCATACAACTGGAAGTAAAATTAGTTTCATATTACACTTATAATTCATGATTGATATATTTTTAAACATTTCTCATATTTTTTGTCATTTATTAAAAATTTGAATAACAAATTTTATTTTATTAAATGAAAAAAACTTTTATTTTTAACAAACTATGTTAACTTTGTTTCGCAACTCTATTCTTTATATATATTTATTTTAAAACTTAGCTCTATCTAATTCAATTCCTAAATCAAATCTTTGTACCATAATAGTGTTCCGGTTAATAGCCTTCTCCATCTCACTTATGGAAACACAGGTTGTTATTGGATCTGTAGATACATAGCAGATTGATATACCTAAATAATTTGCTGATTTTTCAAATGCTGGATGAGCTGTACGTGGTATTACCATTCGTGGTTTTTTAATACCCTTTACATTTCTTCCGTAATCTCTGAATGCTTTACAAGCCATGAGGATTGATTCAGTTCCACCAGTTGTCATCTATGATCGGAAAAACTATTAATTATAATTTTTTTTAATAGTATAACCTATTAGCAATAATATTTTACTCACAGATCCACAAGACTCAGGCCCACCATGAAATAAATTGGCTGCTATTCTGACAACTTCAGCTTCCATTTTACAAATACCAGGGAACACTTCTGGATGAAGAGGATTGGTGTAGGAAGTGGTTGCATAAACTTTACTTAAAAGATTAAGCATATTTTCTGGATCGAAATAAACTGCACCGGAAACGAACCCTTCTTTCCACTGATATTGACCTATACAGTAATGAACACACTTGCTAAGTCAGACTAATTTAAATTAATACAATTATATCTTCATGACTTCCATTATATACCTTCATATTCACTAATCCCATATCAGCTATCTTATTTTAAATAAATATATATATATATGTATATAATGTTGTCTTACATTATCCTATTGTGGGATAAAAAGCACAAGTAAGAAGAGCGACCAATCTGTTATATATTGGCATCTTTTTCCTCCAGAGTAGGAATAGGGAATAGGAAAATCACCCTATTTCCTTAAAATCATATATTATAAAACCAACAAGAGAAAATATACACCTTTTTCTTACAGACAGCAAAGATTTCCTAGAGGAGATGTGACAACGATTACAGGCTGCTAAATAATGTTCTACATAGGCAGCTAAATAATAGCACAACTTGCTTGGAAGTCCAACAGCTTATTGTTTCAACTTGGGTTCATAAGCTATACAATATAATAATAAAACATATCTCTTTTACCTTATAAAATAAGCCAATATATTGCATAACACAGGATTATAGTTCAATTATAAATAAATTATTATGTATTCATCCACAGGTGATAAAATTAAGGAGGAGGATTTTTACATCTAGTTGAAACAAAAAGCTTTAAATAATTCACAAATTTCATCAATAGATGAGACTTAAGAACCTAAATAACACACGAGTCTCAAATCAGGTCTGCCGTTGTTGATTATATGAAACAAGCAAATGAAGAAATTTATCATGTAGTAATAGCAGTCAACAGATTCAAAATGTAGAGGAGAACCCCTAATATAGACAAGCAAAAATATTTTAATCAATTAAAAAAATATGGGATATAAAAACAAATAAGTTCAAGGGCACTACACAAAACACTTCATTGATAAGGGAGAGAACATTCTAAAAAAAAAAAAAAGTGGCTATCAAATATAACATGTATTACAGAGAACTCTGCATTTAGTCATTAAAAGGTGATATTGATGACAACTGATTTATCTTCATCATTTAATTATCTTAAAATACGGACCACCTTGCCTAGTTTAGCAGGTTGATTGTGATAAAATAAATTATTAATCAATGGAAATACATAGTTTTAATGTTTAATTACACATCAGCTTCAATAGGCAGTATAGATTCACTAACTGAAAGAAGAGTCAATGAAACTTTGATACTATTACTATGAAAGTGAAGCCAGTCAGTTGAAAGTGAAGAGTCAAGATTAAACATCTGCTTAGGTACGTCTACATCCGAATGTGTTTCCATAGTTCTCTGTGGTCGGTCACTTCATTCTCCCTCAAAAAAATCTGCACATACCTACAGATAATTGACCTAACCATGTAACCCTTCTTGTGACTCAACCATTGTAGGATACAAATGAACACATAATCTCAAAAAACTGTTTTTATTTTGTCATTTAATATCTTTATTTATGGGTTACATAAGAAGAAATTGAGAGCATTGTCAAACTGATACTTCACTATAGAAAGAAAATATTCTTAGAATGTTAAAGTAACAGAGGGAATTTGTAAGAAAAAGAATCAATATTTTCCGATACTTGTTGAAGACAGTATAAGAAATTTAAGTGCCTAAACGTTGCTGAAAGTATACCAAAAACTTTTTTTTTTTTTAAATTTTATTTTATTGAGATTTACAACTGTATTACATGGAAAATACAATAAGTAAATGTGACATTTGTAACATGACATGTACAACATGAAGAGAAACTACTAATTGGTAGAACTCAATATACCAAAATCAAATTGAACTTTACCCAATAATCATTTAAACTCTTGATCGTGATAGGTTTTATTTTTTACCTTCTAATTTTTTAAAAAAGAAAACATTACAATAAATTATATAATTATTATATATTTTTGATTGCATGCATTATATAGGTAGAGGTTGGGTTTCAGTAGTGAACTTAATATTTAACAGGTCATGAGGTTTTACATAATTGTGGTGAACATTAATTTGTGTTTTGCAAAAAACATGCGAATATGTCATTTGTAACATTAATGAAAAAAAAAAATATATATATATATATAGGCTGTGGTAGTCATGCGTGCTAAGGTGCTTGCAATAGGTAACCAAGTTAAGCAACGCGTGGTTAGCACTTGGATGGGTGACCACCCAATTTGGGCAAACGTCCACCAGGGAAAGCCATGCTGCCCGAGTCTCCCCTCCCCGGGATTGTGAGACCCATCAGCCTACTGGAGGCAACTCACACCGACTGGGCATAGGACTGATGACTCTACACCCCTGTACTTAAATCAGGAATCGGGATGTGGTCTAGAAGACAAAGATCTACAAGGTCTGTAGCGCCAACCGAAAAAAAAAAAAAAAAAAAAAAAAAAAAAAAAAAAAGATATATATATAACTTGATTTCATAAAATAAAATAATGTCAAGGCAATTTCATCAGCTGTAGCTCAATCTTCCTGTCAAATCTTTCCACTCCCATAAAACATAGTTTATTTGAATAAATTATTTGAACAATGCACATCTGCATTTCAAAATAATTAAATATATACATAAACGGCTTTATTCACAACACTTAAAGGTTATATGTAGTAACCTAATCTCTGTAGCCAATAATTAAATAATAATTTTATGTTATGAAAAAAATATGTTCATTAATTAAACTTTTATGATCAACATTACCAAGGCAATTATTTAAAGTGTCCATTTTTACGTGAATGAAAGAATAAAAAGAGGACAAATAAGAATAAATATTGGAAGTATCTTATAAGATGACAACTGTAAGTACTTAAAAAACAATTCAAGAGATGGTTAAGGAACCAGGCTAAAGTCTAATCTTTTAAAATCTATGCTAAATAAGCAATTTAATAAACCTGTGAGTCAGTAAAATTAAAATTTAATAAAACAATTAATGAAACACTTTGAATACGATATCTCACTCTAGACATCAGTCATTCTATTGAAACAAATGGCAAATAGACCTTCACGTCACATTTTTCCTGCCAGGGAAGTAAGAAAATCATAAAAATTACCATTGCAAATCAACAGAAAATAAGAAAAATTATGCAAAATCATAGTAGTTATGAAATTTCATTGCAAATTCTGCCCATGAAATTAAATATAGAATATCGGAATAAATCCAAACCATAGAGCCTTGAGTATTTAATGTACAGGTGAAAGGTTAACCTGCAACATTTTAGCAATTCAGGCACCATCAGGACAGAAAAAAAGATCAAATATATGCAAGAAGAAAGATATTAAAGAACATTAACTAGTTATTATTCATTAACTAATTATGTAACTTTTTCTGTTTTTGTTATTTTATGTTTATAAATATTCAGTGTGTGAATAATTAAAAATTTGATTTATAAGAAATGGTCAGATGTAAATTATTCAAAGTAGTGTCTATTAATTAATTAATATCCACAAATATCTCAAATCTTTCAGATAACATACATATTCCACATTGAAAAAAAGAAAAGTCTTTTGAGACAATCCAGCCATTTCTTTGTTTTGTTATAAGAAAGAAAGCACTGCTCCGCCAGGCTGTCATACACCATACTCATTCATAGCTGAATGTTCAGCTATGCTGTCGATGTTGAGGTGTGTACCGGTAGTGCTCATGGTTTTTTTTTTTTTTCGCTCCAGGTTGTCATATCTTATCTACTTTTCATCACGACCTATAATATAATGTAAAAACTTTTTCATGATTGTCATTTAAGCAGTTTTTTGCCGGTGAATAAATATCATTCGACATTCCTTTCCTTCAATTGATACAGCATCCAATTTCCTTGCTTTAAAACAATTCCTAAATCTTTCAAAGGTTTAGCAAATATTGTTCAATCAACTCTTAATGATTCTTCAAATTCTTCTTATGTCTGGCATGGATCTTCACGACGTAACGCCTCGAAATTTTGATCTTAAAACTTTCTTTATTTCATCTACGGTACCACAATCATTGTTTTTAAAGATTTGAAATCATATTATACATGTTTTTTTCTGAAAAAACATGATTTCATTAAGTTCCAACAAGAATTCTAAGCCCTTCAGTAACAGTTTTCTTTTGAAAAAATAGGTGATAAATAGGCAGGACACAGTCATTTTAAAGGTTTTTATTGGTGACAATATTTCAACACAAGCATATGGGTCAATATCAGAGCATGCATCGAGCACTGAAGGTGTTCAAGTACTTCAGTGCTCAAAACATGCCCTGATGATGACCTACATGGCCCTGATGCTTGGGTTGAAACATCGGCACCAATAAAAAACTATAAAATTACTGGATCCTGAATATTTATCACCTATGATATGTAGAACAGTTGACTAACTTCCTTCAATAATTTTAAAAAATAGAGTAATAAAATTCACCATAAAAACAGTTTTGATGGTACAAAATTCACCATGTTTAAATAAATATGGATAAAATTTTAAATAAACGTTGTATACAATTTGAAGATTTAAAATAGACTGATAACCAGAATATAGAGGATTAAATCTTGAATGAAGTTGGTTTTAGTGCTGCCAGATGAATGTAGGTAAACAAAAATTCTCTAGGCAACAAACGGCAGAAACTTACTAACAAACTATTAATATAATCTTCATTAAAATAAAACAAAATGCATTGGCTTAAATAAAAAATATCTTTTCTGAGATTAATATCAAATAACAACTATACTAATTAATACTAAATAATAAATATTCATAAAAAATAAATTACCACAACTAAGGTATTCTTTAATTAGATTCATTATTTCTTCTTCCTTCATTCCTTCAGAAGGAAGTTGGGTGAAAAAAGGCAGTGATTTAAATCTCTCCTCAGCATCCTTGTCAAATTTATCAGATATCTTTCCCAACTCTTGGTCAATTTTATTGGAAATAAACGGAATTTTACGACATAATCTGAATACCATTTTTCTAGTTCTTGACATCAAACCTTAAAAATAATATATTTTTTTAAAATATAAATTAATATCATCAAAGCATTATTTACAACTTAATTTAACTAACTTTCATCTTGAGCAAGAAAATCCCAAAGCCAGATAAAAGTCAAGACTGATGTCATTGTTATAGAAACTATTTGCCATGGTTCTTTGTTCTGAAATCTGTTATTTATAAATTCTTTAAGGACATTTGGTCCATAACTTAAGGCCGACATTTTAATAAATATAGATAAGTCAAAAAATGCAGAGTAATATGTTTAAATAAAATTATATAATGTAAAACAAACACTTGGCGAACTGATAACAGCTAACGGATTCTTGATACCATCATCTTATCACATCAAAACAACAACTGAAGGATCTCGGACCAGTGTCCCAGATGTTGCGAAAATATCGATAACGATTGTTACCTATCGATAGCATCCAATTTTGTACTAAAATCGAAGATTCGATACTATCGTAATATCGAAGAAAAAATGTCATTATCGGATTAAGATAATTTCTTTTTCGATCATATTATAAAAAAAATATATCAACTTAATGATTAAAAACATAAAATGAATGTCAACAGCCACACTAATAAAACCTGTAAGAATAAAAACAAAAATTTTCGGGAGACGAAAAAAACTGGGTAATTCGATTATATTATATTTTCACTAAAGAGCATTATATTTTCAATTAATTTTTTTTTGTTTTTGGGCAGACCTAAGGCAAAGGTGTAATACTTATGTATTACAACAATGTAAATTTGTTGATCATATTTCTGCCAAATAGTCTTTTAGAATCATTACTTCGAACTTTTAGCTTTTTATTGAATACTTAATAGTTGACCGTTGTATTATAGAGGAATGAGATGGTCCGGGGTGGCATTCATAAATAGACTAAAATAGAGGAAAAACTATTTTATTAAAATCCAACGTTTCGACCCGATTTTGCAGGTCTTTTTCAGGGATAGAGCGGACAAGATACTTTTTACTTATTTTTTTTTATTTTTTTTCTTTCTTCACATCCCTTTCTGTCAATTATTTCCTATCATTTTTCCTTTTCTTCCAATCTCTCCTTGAAATATGAAGTATATTGATAATTACATATATTATATTATATATTATACTACAACAATTGTTACCAAATATTTACTTCAGTTTAGAATCTTGTTACTTAGCTTACTCTGTTTATATAGCTTATTGTTCTTAATATTTCAATGTACTTGCTGTTCATGATTTCAATAAGTTTATTCACCTTGTTTATAATTTTTATCTTGATATTATGTAACTTTCACAATTTTCTATATCCTTTTTTATCTTGTTCGTTCTAGCCCTGGAGAAGAACTGCAAAGTCGGGTCGAAACGTTGGCTTTTATTAAAATAGTTTTTCTACTATTTTAGCTTTTTAGTTACTTTGAAAAACAAGTACTAGTTAGGTAAAAACAATCAAATTTATTGTATTAACACCCATAACTTTGTTCATAATTATCAAAGCATGATAGGAACAAAGTCAGTTTCCAAAATGTAGAGAAACGATACTTAAATGACAATTCGTAAAAAAAAAGCCTAGAAAACGAGTATTTGATCACACCGGATTTTCACATTTTTGTCTCCCACTGTCTGGCTGGCTTCAATGGAGTGCATGCGCCTTATTTTGGAGTAGTCTATGAAAGCTTCGTTTTTAACGTACTCAACTTCACATGTACCGATTCAGGAATGCTTGGTAAGTTCTAGATAACCTGATAATGTGTATATCTCTTCGTTTTTAAGCTTTGAACTGATGAAACTAGTGTCCTTTTTTAAATTTTCCAATTAATGAAATCAATTCTCTGTTTCTCACTATCAGAGATTCGGCGGTATTGTAGCTTTTTCCAATCAAGCTCATTTTGCAGTGTCCAGGAGGACTTTGTTTTGAAGGACCTTTGATATTGTATTTCCACTTACCATTCTCTTCTTTACTTTGTTTAGTTTCATGTTAAGCTGTGCCGGCCTCGGAGCTTGTCCAGAGGCATCGGGCTAGAAGTGGCCGCCATTCTTAAAAAAATAATTCAAAGCGTATGAGAAAAATTAATTTTAGCCTATTAATAAAGCTAATTGATACTGAAGTCAATGCTTGAAACGCTTTATACATTCTGTATTTATATGATCACTTTTTATTAAGCATTTCATTACGTTTTTTTTCGGAAACGGCACAATCTCTATAATTCTTACTGTGACTTACAATTTGCTGGTTTTTAAATTACAGGTTTTTACAAAGGGCCATAGAGAAGAAATGAAACATCGTAGATTTCATGTGGGGTCAGAATATGCGCCAGGACAAGATTGACCAGAAAAGCTCAAAATCTCATTTTTCATTGAAATTGTCCTTACAGGTTTTGCAGTGTGGCTGTCGATGCATTAACATATACCTACTAATATTTTTTCAACCAGTCAAATGCAAACCCCTAAATATATATATACATATTATAAGATAAAGTTAGAATGATTTAAAAGTAAACAGTTCATATCGTCGGGTTATTGCAAAAAGTCATCAAGTACATATTTGACGGAATTGAACTTACTTACTTGTTTTTGTGAGTTTTCATTAAATTTTGTATGCATATCTACTGCCTGTAAATGCTAAAACTAAAATTATTGTGAAGACAAAAAAAAAATGCTTATTTTATGAATCAGATTTTCTATACTTTTTTGGGCGTCTCCTAAAAGCTTGAAAAAATAAAATTGTTCTCGTAGGCTCTTGTAGCGTGGATGTGGATATGTCATTATAACTATTGTTACATCAATATGTTTCGATATAAATTAAATAATATAGACAAAACAAAGTCTCTGATTCCGTAACAGTCCTGATTAATGACACCATACAATAATAATGTTGAAAATGTTTACACATTATATGTAACTGTTTAATTTAATAACATGAAATATATATTTTATTAATATTATTTTCATTTTTAAAGATAATTTTAGTGGGTACATAATATGAGCAAGTATTCGTCATTTTAATGAGTTTGGGAAGAATTTGGGAGAACTTATTTATCAAAGATGCAACTACAAATCCATCGTAAGTTAAATTTGTAATGTTTTGTTAGTTGAATTAATCTACACATACCCAGTGGTAAGATAGACATTTGTTGTAAGTGACTGTTTATAAATAAATGACACAGCTATAATCAAAGTTTTTTGTTTCAACATTTTTTTAAATCCACGCCTTAGTGCTTCTCCAGAACGTGCCTCTTTTGACATCATATTTCAGTAGATTGGGTTGTTGTTTTGAGAATTTTTTTGTACTTATATCACTATATGAAAGTGGTTCGCTGGTTTGAATAAGCACCTTCCTGGCCCGGGTAACAAAAACTGGAAGGTTATTAGATCTTAAAGCATATGCTGTAGTGTATGTTGAATGTCGATGCTGCGTTTGTTATTTAATTAATTTCTATAGGATTTAAGATGGTTAGCACTGTATGTGAAACAATAAATTTTCCTGCTGAAGAAGAAAAGATAATCAAGTTTTGGGTAGATATTGATGCTTTTCAACAATGCAATAAATTATCAAAAGGCAAACCTAGATATACTTTTTATGATGGACCCCCTTTTGCCACAGGCCTACCGCATTATGGTCACATTCTAGCAGGAACCATCAAGGATATAGTGACAAGGTATGCATTCCAGAATGGTTACCATGTTGAAAGGAGGTTTGGTTGGGATTGTCATGGTTTACCAGTTGAATTTGAAATTGATAAAAAGCTAGGTATTAAGGGTAAAGAAGATGTTGAAAAATTGGGTATAGCCAAGTACAATGAAGAATGTCGTAAAATAGTTATGAGATATTCTAAGGAATGGGAAGAGATTGTTACAAGAATTGGGAGGTGGATAGATTTTAAAAATGACTACAAAACACTCTATCCTACTTTTATGGAGAGTGTTTGGTGGGTATTTTCTGAGCTATGGAAAAAAGGATTAGTTTATAAGGGTGTTAAAATAATGCCTTATTCAACTGCATGCACCACTCCACTTTCTAATTTTGAATGCGGTCAAAATTATAAAGAAGTTGTTGATCCAGCAATAGTGCCAAAATTTCAACTAAAGGGCTACCCTGAAACATATTTGCTAGCATGGACTACTACACCTTGGACATTACCTAGCAACTTGGCTCTGTGTGTCAACACAGATTTACAATATGTAAAATTACAAGAAATATCTACAAAAATTTGTTACATTATGTCAGAAGCAAGAGTAGGTGACTATTTTAAAAAGATTGATGATAAGACATATTCTCTTAAAGGAGAACAGTTTGAATTAATTGAAAAATTTCCAGGCTCAAAATTGGAAGGTGAAAAGTATTATCCTTTGTTTCCTTATTTTAAACATCTAGAGGAAACTTGTTTTAGAATAGTTGTTGATCCATATGTAACAGCGGATTCTGGTACTGGAATTGTGCATCAATCTCCTTATTTTGGGGAAGATGACTTCAGAGTATGTTTAAAGTTTGGTTTGATTACTAGGGATCAAGACCCTGTATGCCCTGTTGATGCTGACGGTAGATTTACTTCAGAAATCAAACATTTTGCTGGCAAACATGTTAAAGATGCTGATAAAGATATCATAAATCACCTAAAAAATGAAAACAAAATATTTTCAGTTGCCACTGTTTCTCATAGTTATCCATTTTGTTGGAGATCAGATACACCTTTGATTTATAAAGCTGTGTCTTCTTGGTTTATTAGGGTTGAACAAATGAGCCAAGAGCTATTGCAAGCAAACAGCTGTACCTACTGGGTTCCAGAATTTGTAAAAGAAAAAAGATTTGCTAATTGGTTAAAAGAAGCACGTGACTGGGCTGTAAGTCGAAATAGATACTGGGGGACACCAATTCCCCTTTGGGTTTCGGAAGATATGAAAGAAGTGATATGTGTATCTTCTATTAATGAATTAGAACAATTGACTAATAGTAAAATTACAGATCTTCATAGAGAAAACATTGATCATTTAACAATTCCTTCAAGAAGAGAAGGATTCCCACCTCTCAAAAGAATACCTGAGGTTTTTGATTGTTGGTTTGAATCTGGAAGTATGCCGTATGCTCAGATACATTATCCTTTCGAAAATTCAAAAGATTTTAATCAACGCTTCCCTGCAGATTTTATTGCCGAAGGCATCGATCAGACTCGTGGTTGGTTCTATACATTGCTTGTGGTTTCTACTGCATTGTTTAATAAGCCACCTTTTAAAAATTTGATAGTCAATGGGCTTGTCCTTGCTTCAGATGGTCAAAAGATGTCAAAAAGTAAAAAGAACTTCCCTGATCCCATGAATGTTGTTAATAAATTTGGTGCAGATGCTCTCAGATTGTACTTAATTAATTCACCTGTAGTTAGAGGTGATAAACTTCGTTTTAGAGAGGAAGGTGTAAAAGACATATTGAAAGATGTACTTCTTCCGTGGTACAATGCTTATCGGTTTTTTATTCAAAATGTACAACTTGCAAAATTAGAAAAAAATATTACTGTTTGCTTTGATGATGAGAAAATTATACCTAATAATCTAATGGACCGTTGGATTTTATCTTTTACTCAATCATTGTGTAACTTTGTAAAGAAAGAAATGGCAGCTTACAGGCTTTATACTGTTGTACCTCAGTTAGTCAAGTTTATTGAAAACTTGACCAATTGGTATGTTCGAATGAATCGTCGCAGGTTGAAGGGAGAAACAACAATTGAGGATTGTAAGAATGCATTATGTACATTAGGCAGTGTTTTATTTGTGATGATACGTTTAATGGCACCTTATACTCCATTTCTTACTGAATTCATTTACCAAAATTTAAAACTTTTAACCAATAAAAATGAGAAGAGTATACATTTTATTCCTGTTCCTCAAGCCAGAGAAAATCTAATTGATGAAAAAATTGAGAAAGCTGTTGCATTAATGCAAGATGTAATTGATTTGGGAAGAGTGATACGTGATAGAAAAACTATACCGATTAAGTATCCATTAAAAGAAGCAGTGATTATTGTTAATAGTGAAGAAGAAATTAAAGAGATAAGTGTTTTGGAAAATTATATAATGGAAGAATTAAATGTGCGAAAAATAACTTTATCATCTGACCGAAGTTCCTATGGTGTTTCGTTAAAAGCAGAAGCTGATTTTAAGACCTTAGGACCTCGCTTGAAAGATAAATTTAAAAGCATCATGCAAAATATCAAAGATTTGACTGAAAGTGACATTCAACATTTTTCTAAAACAGGTAGTATAATGATTGATGGGGAGGAATTAACAACTGGAGACTTGAGAATAATGTTGAAATTTGCTGGGGAAAGAGCTTCAGAACTGTCTGAAAAATATGAACCTAATGGTAATAATAATGTAGTTGTTTTATTAGATGTAACACCTGATGAAGAAATGCAAGCCGAAGGTCTAGCACGTGAAATTATTAATAGGATTCAAAAACTACGGAAAAAAGCCGGTTTAGTTCCTACTGATGAAATATCAGTATTTTCCAAAATTATTCCTGATAATTGTGATGTCAGCATTGTTGCAGAAAAATATCAAGATTACATTCAAAATGCTATTAAAGCACCATTTCATTTACAAATACCAACCAACTTGACCACTCTTATAGAAGAAAAACAACACTTAAAAGGTGCCAGTAAGGAAGCAACCATCACAATAGCCATTGTTAAATCAAATGCAACTGGATGTACTCAAAATGAAAGTAAGATTCCTCATTGTCGATTTGTAATCGTGCAGTTCTTAGGTTCAGAACTAGGTTGTGGTGTGAATGGTAACATAGGAACTGTCTTGTTAGAGAATCCTGTAGGTCATAATATTTTAACATTGAAAGATTTATCAGAAGAGGTGAAAAAATTGTTCGGAATTTATGGAAAGGAGGTAGAATTGTATGATAATAATGGAGACACGTTAACTGAAGAAAAGTTAAAAGCTATTACCAAAACGCTGATATTTGCAAACCCTAAAGGTTTTAAATTGGAGCACAAAAATACAAGTTGTTTACCTATTTCACAATTTGTTGATCTTAAATTAAAGGATAAAAGAGGCGCACTTATACTAGAAAATCCATTAGGTACTAAATTTTCCTTATCTGAAGAAGAAAAAATTTTAAGGGCATCCAAAATATTTTCGATAAATGGGCATAAGGATTTATCTCTTAAAGATATTGAATTTGAATATTAAAAGATTTTTTAAAATCAAACAATGTAAAAATTTTAATTTATTCATTAAAAATTATTAATGAAAGAATCTTTTATTTAAGTTAAACTTGTAAAAAAAAATTTTTAATTTATTTTTGTTGTAATTATAATTTTTGGAATTATTTACTTTTTTTATTTATTTTCCTGCTTTCTGTCATTATCAACTAGTATGTATTAGACTAAATAAGAATACCTTTTATTTTAGGGAACAATCTTTTTTTTTAATTCGCACCATAGAAACTGGATTGCCTTTCTGAAAACAAAAAATGTTGAACCACCAAAATAATAGTTTTTATAGTAATTTTGTTAAATTATTACTATAAAGTTCAAAGTCAAATGTGTGATAAAATTTTGTTTGTAATTTATTTGTACAAAAAAGTTATCCAATTTTGAAAATTGTAGAAGCATACTGTCAATGGTTTGTAAAATTAGATTAAACCCATTCACCTATACCATAGGTTTAGAATCTTTTTATCAATAGAGGCCACAGAAAGGTTTGGAAGTGCTAATGGACGCCACAAAAAGTCTATATTTTACTGTTACTATTTGAATTTATATCTAAATACACACCCCCATATATAGTCACCATATTAAAGTAACAAATGCGAACCTTTTCAAATGTTGCACTTTTGTTACTTTAGCATGGTCGATAGGTATATTCAAGTTAATTCTATTAATTTTCAAATTTTTGTAAATTAATTCTAGTGCTAGATAAATAAATATCATGCAAAAATGTTTGTGGAGGCTGCAGCTACCTCACAGAGGCTCCAGGTTCCCCTCCTATGACCTATATTAATATATACAGATGGAGAATTAGAGTGCATTAAGTTCCAGAATAATCACTCCAATTTGAAAAATTGTCGGCATTGTATAGAACTTTTGTTAAGAGAAGGTTATAACTTTCTGGTATAACCCATAGGAGGGAAGCGGTAACTACAAATCATAAATTTGAAGAATAAGGCAATTACACTAAAACAGCTAACAGTCAATACTCTTTGCACCAACTACAAGTATAGCACAGTGACAATCTTTTTAGAGTAGATATATAATGGCATTATTGTAGTTGAATATTTCAAATTAGTTATGAAATATTAAAAAATAAATATATAAAAAACCTCTTAACCATATTAGAGTTGACTTAAGAGAAGACTGTTTTATAGATAAGGTTGCTGAGAGAACCAGTAAATAGTCCGAAATTGTGCCAAAGTGAGAAAACACTTCTTAAATTGTATAAAATACAGTTCATAATAAAAAAAAGGCAGTAAGAAGGAATTATATTCCAAATAGTCGTAGTTAAGCACATCACTGTATAAAATAAAAATAAAGTAATAAAATAAATTTTTATCACTGTTTTAGAAATACAATAAATGTTATAATTTATTTAATTGTAGAAAATCGTTAATGATGTGACTTGTGACTTCTTTTGAGTTAGTGCGTTCTTTCTGAACAGGGGAGTAAATGAATACGCTTCTGTCTAGTAAGTATTAATTTAGCCATTGGATATTTTTTTCACAATAATTTTGGATATTATTTAATCAATCACTTGATTATTTACTTATCTTTATATTTACGCATGAGTTGTATGAAACAGGACGTGCAATCCAAATTTAACACTAGTAAAACACAGGGCACAGCTAGAACTTCACAAAGTTATGATGGAAAATTTATATTTGATTTGATGAAACCAGATATTTTAAAATATTCAGGGATATTTTAAGTTATTATTTCTTACTTTTACAAATCTAAAGACATTTATAATACCAGAATTTCAATGAGTTGAAATAAAAAAGAATCTTGTATGATATTCACTGTCATGAAAGGAAGCCAGGCCAAGTAAAGTAGACCATATTCAAACAATTAAGGCCACAATAATCATATAATATAAGTAACATGAGATTGGCTTTTAATTACTTAAATTATTGTTAGGGATTTTAATTTTATTGTCTGTACTTCTACTTTGGAAGTAAGAAACCAATTAGTTATTTCTATCACTAAATATCTTAGGACAGCTCATGATCCACATAGCGAATCTCCTGTTATAATATGGTAAATGTGTTGAAAAGGCTCAAAAATAAAAAGTAAAATTTTATAATACATATGTGATGCATTTATTTTCAATTATGAAACAAATATACAAACATAACTTCGAACTAATATTTATATTATTTAAATAAAAATATTAATGTACATTTTGTTTACACCTAAAAGGTAGACAATAAAAATAAACTGACATAAGACATCTGCTCAACGAAAGTTGTGGAATATTGTTCATATTTTAACTGTCAATAACATCAGCCCATTCCAATTCTTCTCCCCACCCTTCAGGTTCTGTTTCTGAACTGTTAATCGCAAATTTGCTTTTCTCTTCATTAGAAGTAGAACTTTCATGATTTTTAGGAGCTATTTCTAAAATACTAGTTTTAGATATCACTGGTTCCATATCTCTAAAGAAATCGACATCATCAATAGATGACTTTCTAACAATTTGAGCCTTTACTTCATAAACATCTAAACTATCCGGAGGAGGAACTACCACTTTTGAGGCAAGTGGTTCAGGATTGAGTGTGATAAGTGGTTTCTCTTCTACGATATCATTCTCTAATTCCTCCACGTTTTCACTCGGAGAAACCTAGTTTAAAAACAAAACATATTACTGGAAACATAAAGACAAAAAGTCGTTGTTAAATTGCTGTGATTCAACAGGAAATAAATATTCTTACTAATTACGACTTTAACACGCTAGTTAAATAAATCATTTAAATTTAAAATGAATGTATCAAACCTCATACTGATTAGCCAGTTAAAGAGGAAATAGATTATGATGATGTTAATGATGAATATATGTAAATTTAATAAAATAGCAAAGTTATACAGTGTTAATAGTTAACTTTACAGGCCTAAAAAGTTAGGCTTGTTATGTTGTTCATAGTAATCTATCAAAACATCAATAAACATTCTTGGTAAGAAAAAGCTCTAAATCAGAACCTTAATTTAGGAAGAGGATAAATCTGATAGTTGGTAATCTGTCTTATTTTAATTTACTCAACACTAAGCCTTTCAAGAGCTATAGAAAGACAATTTAATTACATTCAATTTAAATTCTTTAGAAGAAAAAGGATGGTTGGAGTGATCAGTCAAAATAAAATAGTAAAAATAAATAATTGTATTTATTTTGACATTCGTCGACATTTCGGCCCGAAGTTCAGGCCTTCATCAGGGCTGTTCTATCAACAAGTGTAAACAGACCAAACTTTTGACTGATCACCCCAACCATCCTTCTTTTAAAAAATTATTGATGTTTTCTTGATTGATATTATGATCATATATCATTGACAGACCCTGTCTGTTTATGCTTGTTGATAGAGCACTCCTGATGAAGGCCAGAATTTATGACCGAAACTTCGACGAATGTGAAAATAAATACAATTATTTATTTTTACTATTTTATTTTGACTGATCACCCCAACCACCCTTCTCTTCAATTATTCAGTACAATCAACCATCAACCGACAATTATAAATTTTTTAAAATTTAATGATAGTGGTCAAGCGTATTGGAATAGAACCTTACAAAATGCTTATGCCAGAAGCAATGCTAGTTCGAATTTGGTCTGTGAAGGAAAAATGTAATTAATCTTGATTGTTGAACTCATGCCAGGGTCAAAGGAACATGGGAGTTAAAATGGTAATTTGCCTAGGGGTTCCAAGGCTCAAGGGATCCTCAAATCTTCAGGCTTGATTTTTTCTCTCTCTAGAAATACTTCTGAGAATTCATTAAGTACTTAAAATTATATTATTATATACTAAAACATGGTGGAGTACATAGGATGGGTTTTTTCTATGTAGGAAAACATCTCAGAAGAAAATTGAGGTAAGCACAGCATACAGCTGGAAGCATTGATCAAGTTGTGATTCATTCAAGTTGGGACCTTCTTTCCTATTGCTTTGTGTATAACTATGATCTGTGATCATTAACTAATGAATGAATTTAAGTAAATATAGTTTCCATAAGAGATAATTCTTAATAATTAGTAATATGTACTGTTATTACCTGTGGTGTTAAGGAATCCCAAGCATCCCATTGCTCTACCTCATCTTCTGATGCAATAAACTCAGACTGTGCCTCTCCTCCATCAGGAGAGGGCCTTTCAGTAAGGAAAATTTCTTTTTCTTCTGAAATATCGACATAAAATAATCTGAATGTCTTTACAGGCTATAATATACTTTTCTTATTATCTTAGAAAAAAGAGAAATAAATTTTGTATAACTTAAAAATTATACCCTTTTATTTAAGAGAAATTGAATTGAATGGTTATTAAATCCTCTAAAAAAAAATTGTTTTCATATTAGCATCCAGAAAAAGGAATAAAAAATTAAATGGGTTTCTATGGGCAGATGTGCAGAATACATTGGAAAAATTATACAAAATGTGATGTACAGAAACATAATATATGTAATGTAAATATAAAAGAATAGAGAAATAATATATGAAGGTAAATGGATATAATTGTTGTGTATGCATTTTTTCTATAAGTTTTTTTTTGTAAACAAAAATACTTGTTATTGACAGTCCTCAGATACTTTAATACATCAATAATACAGTAATCTATCTCCTTCCATATAAAACCCACCAACTCCTGGTTTACTCTCTTGTTTTCCCCCACTTCGACTATGGTTGTATGGTGTACGGTGGACTATCGGGAGAACTCGAAGTCAAACTTAAACGCCTAATGAATTGCTCAATAAGTTTTGTCTTCAGAATCTCAAAAGATACACATATTACCCAGTATTACACTGAGTTTAAGTTGCTCTATCCATCCTACAGCTATCAGTACTTTCTTGTTACCTTTCTATACCAGGCCATTAGGAGTCAGAGATCCTCCTATATTCTTTAGAGCCTACAATTCAAATCCTCCATTCAATCCTGTCCAACCAGATCCCATTCTTCTGACCTCTATCCTCCTCCTCACCGAACTGAACTGCTGTGTTTGACAAATCCTTTGTAATTCAAGCTGTCTCCTTTTGGAATACTATCCCTCACGATATCCGACATGCACAATCAGTTTCCTCATTTAAATCTCTCCTTTTTAAGTATCTAAACCTTTCCCAACCCCACTGATCATTAAACATACATAAGAGAACTTCTTAAGTTCCCCCAGAAACTATTTTGTTTACTTATTATATTATATTTTCCAATGTTTATTCCCCCCCCCCTCTCTCTCTCTCTATATATATATATATGTATCTGTATGGTTTTGTTCTTTTTTTCCCCCTATATTTTTATTTTAATAAGATATTACTTTGTAAATATTTAATTTAATATATGGCCACACAAGCATTTTCTCTGTATCTATAATTTGTTCTAAAGGGACAACAGTCCCAGGATAGTAAAAAAATATTTTCATTTACTTAGACAAACCCTAAAAACTGAATAAACAAAATACTGGCCTATTTTAGGAGGAGGGTGTTAAATAAGTAATGGTTACTTAATTTATGATATCACTAATAAGTTATTACAAACACATATAACAAGACGACTTTATAAAGTAATCTGAATAATTTTACATTGCTAAATAAAAATTTACCTGGATAAACTTCAGTATTTTTCGGTGGACTTTTGGAAGGTTTTTTAATTATCCCTTTAACTTGGCGAACCATCTAAAAAAAGAGAAAAATCAAGTCACAAAAAAAAAAAAAGATCCTAATACTATATAAAGAAAAAATGATTATGTATTCAAAGTAGCAGCACACCCCAATACTGTACAAATACAATATTTAAAGAACATAATTATGCGATTAAAATTTTGAAAAATTCACAGATTATTCATTATACAATTATATCTAATCTTTCATAATAAATTTATTTTGAGGAAGAGTCGTCTCTGAATTTCTGGCAATTCTTCTCCCTTGTTACCCACTTCTCAAGTCCATCTTTAATGTTCTTGATAGGATTTATATAATAAGTTTTATTCTCAAAATTGGTATTTTATGTGACACAAACAGAAATTTATAAATTTTCAAATGAACATACTTAGGTGCTATTTAACATTACAACAAATGAAATTGATTATTTGCGAACATTTTTAAATTTTAAAAAGACTACAAAAGAATTTACCTCAACTTATCTTTTTAAAAAAACTATTTATTTATCACCATGTATTAATTATAAAAAGTATTACTTTTGGTCGCCCATCAGCAAAATTTTTAGCCCTCTTTCCTCCAATAACCTTCGCAGCTCCCAATATAGGTACTAAGTCTGCCAATGCTTTCAAAGTTGCAGCTACAAGTTCATTGTTGGTATCTTTTACACCCACTAACAGCTAATGGAAAAAAAAAAAAAAAAAGTATTGGTATGTGATAGATAGGATTAGGAGCTAACTTCAAACAAATATAAAATTATATAAACAATACATAAGTTATCCTATTAATTAAAAAATTAATTATTTTAAATTAAAAGCATAGGAATCGGATGGGTCTCTGACTGAACATCACCAGGCAGAGCTAGAGACCAACATAAATGGGCAGATAGGACTCCTTAGCCATAGTGAAGGCAATGTATCTAAGGATCCAGATTCAAGCTAGGAACCAGTTGTTCCGAGGTAATGGAACTTCTTGGTAGCGACCACATGCTTGGCAAAAGCGTATGAAAGGATAGAAGTAGGCGAGCTGCAGGACCCTTAGAAGAGAGCTGAATATAAAGAGGAATAGGCTCCAAGAAATTTATGCAGACACAAGTCTAGATAAGTATGGGGTTTTATAAAAAGTAGTATCCTGCAGGCAGCTTACCTAGGTTGTGGAATAAAGAGTATGTACTCAAAGGGTAAGCAAACTTCATGGTGGAGTGAAGAGCTGAGGGTGCAGATCAGGGAAAAGAAAACTGCATGGAAGGACAACTGGCAAGAAAAATCACCAGATAAATGGCTAATATATGTAATGGCTCGAAATAGAACAAAGGAAGCTGTAAGAAGAGCAAAGAAAAAATCGTGGAAGGAATTCGGAGAGAAACTAGACAAAGATCATGTGGAGAATATTAAACTATTCTGGAGGAAAATTAAAGCCTTAAGAGGATGCAAAAGTTAACCCATAAGAAATGTGCAAACCAATACCAGCAAAAGTAAGGTACAAGTAGGAAGGCAAAATGATGTACACTGTAATGGAGAGCAATTAGAAGTGGCCTCAGACTTTAACTACCTAGGAACTGTCACAGAAAGATCAGGGAATGTGGACTTAGAAATATCCAACAGAATAAGCAAAGCAAATGCAATCTACTATCAGATTTGTAACACCTTTGTTGAAAAGCGAGAGGTAGACAAGAAAGTCAAGCTCCATATATTTAAATCTGTGTACCTGCCAATACTTAAATACGTAGCTGAAAGCTGGATATTGACAGACAGGCAAGGGAGCAGTGTCACGGCTGCTGAAATGAAGTTTCTGCGATGAACAATTGGTAAGACTAGGAGGGACCGAGTTCGTAATGAAAGTATATGCCAGAAGCTGGGGGTGGCCTCATTGAAGGAGGTTCTGCCAATCCACCAATTGAAATGGTTTGGCCATGTGAAATAAAAAAAATCAAGAGTGTAATGTTCAACTCAAATAAATTAAACAAAAATAGAAAGGTTTGCTTATAACTATAATCAATTACTATTATGCTATAAATTGTATACTATAAATTTATTTCTGGCTGAAAATGCAATTGATATGTACTGAAAAATTACATGAATATAACTTACTTCTGGCAATATATTAGAATGTAGTTCCGCTGTATTGAACATTGAACAATATGCACTAAAATACATTAACAGTGTAAGTCTCACTTGTATATCACGGACATAAAACATCGATAACAATTTTGGAGCAATATATTTTTGGAATGTTTTCTCAGAAAACAAGCAGTCTTTCTTATCACCTAACAGAAAGAAAAAGAAGATATGAACAAAATGAATTGTTCCAATCAATAACCCTATAATTTTTTTAAATAGGATGAAAGGGATATTTATTTATTCAGAATAATAGAGTATACCTAAAATTTGATAATAGAAGATGATTAAAACTAAAAACAGGACCAAACAATTAACTAAAACATGAAGTGAAATTGAAATTAAAATACATATATATGTATAGTTACTTCAACATCAGGTGTTTCTAAGGACACAAATGCAGTAAGCATTCTTTGCAGCTAAAGTTGTTTTAAAAAATTTATTTAATGTTAAAATGAATGCTAGTGACATGACCCCAAATCAAATAAAGTTAATCCATTATTTTAATATTGAAAATTGAGTAATTTAATTTTCTCGAAATATCATTGACAAAAAATTCAGAAATTCTGCCAGATTAATCAAACAATGGTTTTTTTCAAGCCAGGAAGTTTCAACAGAAGTCAGTCTCAGTATACCAAAATCAGACTTAGTGTTCAGTGGAATTGCATAAATATATACTGACACCGGTTTACTCTAGCTGCTCAAGATGGCTTACATATTGGTTGGTATAATATCTTATTGATTTCTTCTTACATTTTTCTCATCAATCAACCATCCATCACTTCAAATGAATAGTAAATAATTAAGAAAACTAAAGAATGATAACTTTATCAAAGAAATTTTATATATTATGTTGAAGAAATAATAATGTATATTAGAAGTTTCCAGTTTACATACCTACTCTAGGAACGAGGACATGAGGTAATAGACATTGTTGAGCAGTACTATCGAGCAGGACTATTCTAGATAATAACAAAGAACCCAGTTGGTTGGCAACAATATTTTCATTAAACCCATTTAATTTTGGGCATAAATCCCTAGAAAAAATAAATAATATGTGCTAATTTTTCAATTCAATTCAAAGAACTGCAAGGTTGAGCTTGCCAGAAAAAACATTTTTTAAATTTACATGTGTATTACAACCTCTCGACATTAAACCTAATTGAAAATTTTAAAAAAGGAAGACATGATAGTCATAAAATCTATAAAATTATCTTCAAGATGAATAGCTTTAAAAAATCCATTAATTTCATCGAACTCAGTATTTAAGAACCCTATGTTTGGTACATGAACTAAAAATCAGTTAATTAATTCCTAACTTAAAGTAAAATAATAATAACACATAATAATATAATATATAATATATATATATATATATATACATTATTATAACCATATATATATATATATATATATATATATATATATATATATATATATATATACATTATTATAACCATATAAAACACAAAGTATTTATAAGAAAATACCTAAAGAACATTTGTTTTTCACTTTCAGATTTCAATGGCAGTTCAGTTAAAAAACTATGGATAGATATAAAGTCGTGATTAAAAAAACTATGATTGAGAAATGAATCCAATGAAAGATGTCCATAAGAATCTGGTGAATTCATGTATTCTTTACAAATGTTGATGAAGTCTTGCATACCAGGTACATCATCTAGAATCATAATAGACAAACAATTCTAATTATATTGAGTAAAATTGGTGTTTTAAAGAAATTTGAAAATGATGATTTGTAGATTTTAGGTACTTAAATATTTGGGAAATGTGTAAACAACCTTAAAGGATGAAATTGAAGTTAAAACTGGTCAATCAGAAAAATAATTAATAATTATGAAACATTGGTTCATGAGAGAAAATGAAAAATACCATTCACAGACTAATAAAAAGTTCTTATCATGAGAGATAATAAACATTTTAACATTTGGTTATAGTTGGTAAAAGGAATATTTATAATGTGATTTAAACAAAAATACTGAAAAAACAAATAAACATCAACTAAATACTTATTAATGCATTTTTTTCTCGATTCATAAATTAGATTACAATGAGAAAAGCTTGGGATCAAAAATCAAGAAATATTATATATTCATATTGCATTGTTCATGATCACTGACATGCCATTTAAGGAATTAATCTTCTTTACTATGTACAATGGTAAAGACAAGCATCAACTTTTTGAAAATCAAACAGTAAAAAGATTCAATGGCAGCTAATCCAGTTTTTTTTATATTAAAGGGCTTAAATAAATGTAAAATTATCAGAAAATTTCACAACCTTCGACTTGCTTTCCAAATATTTCAGTAATGAGAACACAAAATGCATAGATATCAATAGCAGATGGAGGTTGGGGTACTCTATTTTCTTCACCAGGTAATATTCCTCTTTCATATCTCCCTTCTCTTGAATCCGCCAGGAATCTTGCACTTAAGTCACTGAAACTATAATTACAAAAATCTAAGCCAATAAAAAATAATGTACAACATAACTGTCAAATTCTCAGTTTATACAATTAATAAATAAGGGAACTGGAATAATAATTTAGTAACAATTTACAAAACAGCTGGTAGAAGCTAGGAAGTAAAAGTGATTTTTCAAAATCAGTGAAGGGTTGTGGTATATTATCAAAAATGAATGACAAATTTGAAAAAAAAAAAAAAAATTATAAATTGGTTTTTAGTTCCTGGTTTTCTGTTCTGACCTTAGAACTTTCAATATTATTTTGAAAAATGGTTTTTACCATGTTGGAGAGAAGCAATAGAACCTACAATATGAAAAAATGAATAAACCTCAACATAAAGTTTTGTACAGACAGCCTCATCATCCTTAAAAACGTATGGAAAAGAAAAGGATCCAAAAGCTGATCCAAAAAAGAACTATGACAATTCATTCCTTTGATGCAAAATAAGAAGTGCTAACTTTGAAACAAATCCAAAATTATGCATTATACTATTTTTTTCTAATGGAAGAGCAGTCATCAGAAATAAGAGTACAAAATAAGGTCTTAATATTTTCCAAATGAATACTTACCGACACAAATATTCCGTTCCACCAAGTTTCCAATGCCCTTCAGGAGTAATAAAAACTGAAGCTTGGCAAATATTGTTGTGAGAGGACAAAGCCTAAAATATAATGTAAATCAAATATATAACCTTAAAAAATTACCATAGGTCAAAATGATAAATACACATAATTATTTGATTAATAGGAACACTCTCCTTCAGTGTCAAGATCAAACCACACAAAATATAAAAACCATTCATAAAAAATAAAAGTTTCGAAAAAAATCAAAGGAAGCATTTCCTGATTTATGAACAATAATTACTATAAAATTGAAATAACCGATCTTCAATTTAAAACTTTATAGGTAAAATCTTGGTCTTCCAAGGGGTCATGTGATATTGTAGTTTATTTGGAAAAGAAAAGGATTAAATAGCAAAATGAGAAGCCAACACCTCACGGCCATTATTAGCAACATGCTCAAAAGGAATAGTTGGCATGTTTTTCATCAGAATACTGGTCACAATTATCTCTTGAGTCACATCTACAGAATAGATGTGGCTTCGAAACCAGCATGGATAATTTTCCTATCAGAGACAAAGATCATCTGGACTTGTGCTCAGTTATAATGGAAATAGGAATAAAAAAATTCAAACTTCAGAGTAGAAAAAAAAAGCTTAGCTATAAACTCTATGGATGGCATTAAACAAATGGAAATTAATCCACAACGTTTTATGTAAATGCGAGTCAAAATTAAATGATCTTGCAAAATCTGGAAGTTTGCAAAAATTTACATCTAAAATCATGTAAGTCCATTAAAACAAATTTTACAAAAGGAAACAAGAAACTAAAATAGTAAAGTATAAATTTTGAATTTTTTTTGTCAGTTGAGAAATTCCTGATATTGGTAAATATGTAACAAAACATAAAGTAAAAACTAAATCAGTGAGCATTAGTTACAAGACTCGAGAGTTTTAGAGAATGAGAATAACAAAGTGTTAGAAGTAGACAGTAGATATATATATATTTTTTTTTCACATTACTAATTTTATTCTAGATTTCATCCAATTATAAATATGGCTATTAAATCGATATTTCAATAAAAAATTAACAAAATGTTATCTTTTTTTCAAAACCGAACTTCGCTAATACTTCTTATATTTTTTTTTTTTCAATTTTGATTTTTATTGAATGCACCTGAACCAACAGGTAGGTAGTTCTTTTCTGTAGAAAATGGCAAGCACTAATCACATTAAAAAGAAACAAATAATTTTTGCATATTTTGTGTGGAGTGGTTTCTTTTTACTAATAGCTGTCCATGTATTCTCAAAGCTTTGATGATACTAGTTAACTAGTCTAATGTCAAGTTGACAGGAGAAGGAATTCAGAAAATAACCAAGTATGTTTGAAAGTAAACGAAGGCAAACAATTTTCAAAGTTTTCTAAGAAATTAATAACAATTTTCTGATCTGAACAGGACCCCTGCTCAATAAGACTCTGAAACTGAACCCTTCCTCAAATGAAAAGGAACTATTAGGAGAATGTTTATCCATTAAGCAAACATACAAAGCCCACATGTGAATGTAGTTGTCAACACTTAGCTATTTGAGTAATTTCATCAACAGCGTAATAAATGTGATCATGAACCGCCTGTCAACCAAATGTGAAACTTGAGAAGTAGTACTAATAATTAATAAAGTGTTTAAATAGCTAACACAATTATTTTTAGAACCTAAAAGTTATTGAAAACATTTTCTGTGGAGCCAGTTAAAAAATTGTCAACATTCAATTAATGAATTAGATAATATTACACATAATTAATTAATAGTCTAGTTATACTTACTTCACATTTATTATTAATTGCATATATCGAGCTCAGATCCAAAAGGTATTACATTCCAAATGATTATTTAAAGAAAATCATGCGGGATGTAAATTGTTTCATGAATTCTAATTTTTTTATTTTTTTTTTTATTCCCATACCAAGCTATTTCTGGCATTAAGGGTGGTTATCCTGTAGGTTAGAAACTTATTCTAACCAGAATAGGAAGCCCAGGATGGAATCCAACCAGGGTCCCTTTAACTCGAGGTTGCTAAAGTAACACCTTAATGTAGAAGCCTTCCCGTTCTTATCTATTCCAAAAATAAGCTCTTATCTAAATCTGATATACCTTCCTTTAAATTTTACAAGTAATAAAACTTTGATGATACACATTTTAACTTCCATTAACCATTAATAATTACATTCTCCGTATCAGATAAATTATAATACCTACCATTTAGAAAAGACATCATTAGAACATAACAAAACCAATTAGTTATAAATTCTAAATTATATTACCATAATGCAAATAAAACAAACCTAAGGGCATGCAATTTACCTTTTCATGCAAAAACTGAATTGCATTTAATATACTGTGGATACCGATACATATTTGTAAAGGGGTTTGCTGTGGTAAGGCCTGTTGTAAGGTAAAAACTTCTTCTGTAGCCAAGTGAAACTGATCATTAACTCGCCAAGAACCAATATATTTTAAAATATTTGGGTGTCTATGGATCATAAGATTCTAAAAATATATACATGTATTAATGTTAATTAAATCTTATAGAATTTTCAAGAATATAAAAGAGAAAAAATTCTTGCCTTTGCAAACTTTTCCAATGCACTTTGCTTATTTTTGTGACATAAAATTCCTTGAAACACAGTTACCCTTTTGACTAGGTCAGAACCATAAGTTGCAGAGTGAATAGTCCAAAAGTTATCACTGGTGATTGCTTTCTCTTCAATGATCAAGCCAGAGGGCTGGCTATTTTCATTTCCCATTATAATGAAAAATAATTATGTCCTTGGTCACAGAATATATCTGACAGGATTCATATTGTGGTCAGACCATAAATAACAGTAGTCTTTTCTTAGTATTCATATTCTCAAAGTGTCAATTAATTTTGTTCTTTGAAAAAATACTCGCGAAAGTCAACTGAAAACATTTTTAAATTAACGATTATCAATTTCAATTACATTTTACGAATTATCTTTTATGGTGAAAGGTTATTAATGTCAAGTATGAAGTAACAAACATGTTTACCTTCTTATCAGCAGAGCAACGATAAGAACAAAGAGGTAGTACATGAAATAATAAAAAAATCTGGTGTGGTGAGAGTAAAACATAACTATTACTTACTACTCTTCTTAGCAGAAATGAGTATTTTCAGACCAAGGGGAAATAAAAGTTAAAATTATAAACGCTATATTTATTTATATTTCATTGTGGGTACTTTTATTTGTTTGAGTATCCCTACATAAACAAATTTTGGGTGATAAATATTCAAGACGCAGTATTTTTTAAATTTTTTATTTTTGCCAACGTTTCAACCCAAACATGTGGGTCATCTTCAGGACGTGGTTTGAGCACTGAGGTTGTTCATATATTGTACAGAGTACAGTGTAAGTACAGAGTACATGAACAACCTCAGTGCTCAAACCACGCCCTAAAGATGACCCACATGTTTGGGTTGAAACGTTTGCACTAATAAAAATTTTAAAAAAGACTGCGTCCTGAATATTTATCACCCATGATATGTAGAACAGTCGACTAACTTCCTTCAAGAATGCACAAATTTTGATTTTTATATCACTTTAATCTATATAATTAAATACTAAATAATACCAACTATGGCATTTATGAAAACTGCGTATGTATACATAGTACATACATAAATATTGTCGGAGTCCGTATTATATTAAGCTTAGGTTAGGTATGGAAGACTATTCTAATCTTTTGGGTGAGCTCGGAGACGCTCGTATTCCTTTGGTTCCTCCATTACAACTTTTCTCCGTTATGATCTTTTATTTCTTCTTTAGTTAAGTATAAAATTCTTTAATATTTTATATTTAACTCTTTTTTATATTTGAGGTCAATGTGAAATGGATAATTATTAAAAAAAAAATTAAATGTACTTTAAATGTAGAGGAAGCTAATATTGAAAAACAGCCATTTAAGCCGGGTTAGAGAATATCAATGGCAATAAAACCTACATTATATTAAAAACTGCTTTTCCGTTTTCAAGAAAATCGTAAAAATGTTTTAAATTTATTGCTACTTCCGGTAAGCCGATTTTGATGAAAAAGTTGCTTTAACATCTCAGGCATATAAAAATCTTAAATATGCAATTTCACTTATGTACGACTTTTCGTTTATGAGGTAGACTTACACCTATAGAGATAAGTGGAAGTAAAAATAGGGTAAATAATTACCGATTATAACAAAATAAATAAAATTTCCAACTGAGAAAAAAAAAGTGGCTACATAAAAATAATAAAAGATAAGTTCTGGAAAACCATACATATTTTTTTCCCCCCATCCTCCACTGTCGTGGCAGCCAATAAAGATGACGGTTGTGGTAAGTCATCTGCTGTGCTATGTAGATTCTTTCGTCGCTATCACATCCGAGGTGCTTGGTGGAGAAGTCTCTTTTTATTCTTCTTAGGTGTAACGGCTCGTCCTAGGTCATCTGTTATAGTCATCTGGCGAGCGAAACGCTCGATGATTGAAGGTGGCCGAGTGTCTTCTCTAAGACGCCTTCTTTCCACCAAATCCAGGTCTTCGGAATTGTGCTTTACACAGGGTCGCCCCAACGGATAGAAGTATACCACATTCGGGCGTTTCTCCGGTCTTCATGTGAATCTCTCTTAACTCCAGGGAATGTCATAGTTGCGCCTGCTCTACATGGTTTGGCATATTTTCCTAATTTTTTATCTCCATTTTAAGGCTATTATTTTCTGTTAATAATTTTGTAATCATTCCTTCCTGTCTTTTAGAACGTTCCTCCATAGACTTAAGCCGTTTCAAATTTTCAAAGGACCAACTCGTTTCGTAAACGTAAACCTAGGGACAAACCGGTGACGGGGTTAAATTTTTTTATCAAGATAAGTTTCTGTTTTGATTTTAATTAAGAAATTTAACCACGAAAACACGCTTATAAGGGAAACGAAAATGCAGCACAATCCTCAAATAAATTCTCAATAATGTATGCCTTTAAAATAGAGAAAGTCAGATAAGCTCCAGTATTACATCATAACTATTTTTGGTGTTACGAACTAATTTTAGCAGTACTAAAAATAAAGATATTGTAAATACACTAAACTAGCAGAGAGGTCCCTCTCAATTCAATGATTGTTACAGGACCTTGCGCCACAATTTTCAAACCAATTCCCATCCCATTTCCTTAAAATGCCACAGAGCAGTATAAGAATAAAGCTTGACAAAGACATATATGAATATTATTGTATGTACTTATATATGTAATTAGTAAACAATAAAATGGAGGACAAGAAAAAAAAATTAAATTCGTTATAATTTGGTTTTTGATATTACATTTTTTTTCCTTTTTGCCTCTTTGACATAGCATCGCGTCAAGATATAGTATGGAGGTCCGATTTTTAGTGTCTAAGATATTTTAAATCAAATGCAATAGTTAGTCGAATCGAGTCGACTTTATCCGAATTAGCGTTACATAGCCCAGTGTGATGGATCAGTCTCATTCCCTATTGACAAAAAAGTGCTAAGTTGACCAAAGAAATTTTCATTAAAAAAAAATCAGTTAGTATCACTTTAACATGGAATAGGAGAACACTGTTAATATAAATAATTTTATGGTGTAAGTAATGTGCATGTGTCATTAAGCCAAAACTGGAACAGTGTGTGCTAATGAAGTTTTTTCCCTGTAATTTAACAAAACGGGCATATGCTTATTTTATGACCGTATAGATTGCAACCTGTCCCCTAATGCATTTAAATGAACCTGAAACAGTAATGAAAAGGATATATTATTTTGTACTCTGACCTATAGGACATAAAACCCAATAAAAAGTAAAACAAATTATAGTTTTATTACCAAATTTCCTTCCTCTTCTCACCTACCTGTTCCATTCCTTTTCATTCGTTAACGAATCCAAATATTTTACAATATTCAAATTCCTTCTCCGAAATCAAGCAACAATATCCTTGTTGCTTCATTTACATAAATTCTCAATCTAGACCACGGGCTCTCAACTTTGCTGTGGCGCGGGCGTATTCGACATTCCAAAAAATAATGACAGGCACAATTGGATTAATCTTAGGAAATAACTTAGCTAAAGCACACAAACAATTAAAACTATAACTATGTATATAGCATCAAACAACATTATGTAGTAACAGCAATAGGAATTAACAACTAATAATAAACTCTTAATACAACAAAGACGCCAGTTAGTGTATTAAGTTTGCGAATATCTGACTAGCTATTTTTAAAAACTAAAGTAAATTTTTATTTATATTATATAATGTTAAAATTAAATTATTTTTTAGTATTGCATTTGAATTGTAATGATAAATTGAGCTTCTCTCCATATCAAATTGTTGCAGTAATACCTACCTCTCTGGGAATTTCTCATTTTCAAAGCCATTACGATCCGCAACGTGTTCCTGTTGGGGCCTTGTTAGGTTGCTTGAGTGTTTAAGGGAAATATTTCTTTTAGCAGTCGGGCTGTTGGTGTTTTAATATGGTAAGTAATGTATGAATTTGTTAGTCAGTATCTTAAGTTTTGTTTAGTATACTAATAGGATATTTATTTTCTACGATGTTCAAGATAATTTGAGATACAACGTCCAGTTTGTTACTGATTCGTGTGGACTTTTATTTACAGGGTTTCGTTAAAGTCGTGAAAAACAAACAATACTATAAAAGGTTTCAAGTTAAATTCAAGAGGCGACAACTAGGTAAAACTGACTATTATGCCAGGAAAAGGTTAATTGTTCAAGATAAAAATAAGTACAATACACCAAAATATCGTTTAATCGTCCGTTTTTCCAACAAAGACATCACTTGTCAGGTATGAATTATTTTATTGTAATTATATCTGTAATTATATTATTTGAAGTTAGTTAATTCTGAATCTGATTGTTATTTTACTAGGTTGCTTATTCACGCATTGAAGGTGACAAAATATTATGTGCTGCATACAGCCATGAACTTCCTCATTTTGGAATTAAAGTAGGATTAACTAACTATGCTGCTGCCTACTGCACTGGTCTTCTTTTGGCAAGGAGGGTAAGTTGCAAGAGATAATTATGTGTTCTTACTGGATTGCTTGGTGATAATAATGTTTTAAATAATGTAACTTATCTGTTGTTTTACAAAATTAAGATGTTGATGCATTCAGTCACATTTTAAATCACGTAACATATTATTACATCTCTTTAGGGCTGCTTGAATAGATGATCATAATGTACTGAGCTTGTTTTTAGTAATTTTATATGTTCTGTTCTTGTGTAAGCATAATTGTCTTACTTGTGCACAATAGAAATCCACAGGTTTCATGGATTTTTATTTTTCATCCAGAAAATTGCCTAATTGTCTGAATGTTTTACTAATTAAGGTGTTGATGACTGTAGACTCAATATTTTGATGTTAGCTAGGCTTAGGCTGTTTTCATTTCTTACTAAGAATTGGTTTCTGTTGAACCACTTGTTCTTCACTATTCATTAACTTCCATTTCTATTTAATTTAGTTATGTGTAAATCTATGCTCACTTCTCTCCATGTCTTGTTTTTATTTTTATTAATCAATTTTACAGTTATTCTCTACTCCTAATTGTAAATTATATTTTTATAAATTAAATATTTAGGCACCTGTCTGACTAGCTCAGTTTACCATTTTAGGTTTATTTATTCACTTAAGGCCTCTAAAATTGCCTGCTGTTTAAAGTACGGAATAGTACCTAAATCATTATTGATTCATTATGGAGGTTTTACGGTAATCATTATTCTTTTTTTTTTTCCCCTCATATAAACGGTATCCCATGGAGGAAAGGCATGAGAGTTATTTCAACATATATCTTAACATTGACCAGCAAGCTTTATTAATAATTTATTCGCTCACATTTACATAGGAAAAGAAGTATTTAATTTGAGTTCTTAAATATGGTCAAGAATGATCTGAAGAGGTAACGTTATCCTGTTGCTGGTGACCTTAAAGATCATGATTGAAGATAACGGTCATGAAACTGTTAGGATCAGGGCTGTTAATGGTTGAAAAATATGTCCTAAACACTACTGGACGGTAATGGTTGGCCTGACAATCTCACATATGTGAGCGGCTACTAAGGTGGTAAAACAGTCCTTCTTAATCTTGCTCTTCTCTATTGCGGAGTAATGTGTATCAGGAAAGTATGAGAGTAGTAGTGGTTAAACAGTCCTTAATAATAATTTATATTTTATCTGGTTAGTGCTTTATTGTATTATTTAGAAATTTATGAATTTATTTTTTTTCATGTTTTAATATTTTTAGTTCTTGTTCTTAAAAAGTTTGTTTTTTAGTTTATTGCAATTGTTCATTTATTATAAGATTTAGAATTGTGTCAACAACAGGAGCATATTTTCGTATTACATGATTTTTTTTTCCCTGTTTTTTTATCATAGTTTAGAATCACTGTAGTATTTCAAGCAATATGCTGTCTAGCTAAAGAATGGCGCTGTGTATTAAATTTGAAGTATATGGAGCTGATCAAATTAGGTGATAATAAGGATTGTTGCCATCCCAGAATCTGCCCTTGATTGAGTAGAAGTCTGTAATCTCAATCTAATTGGAGTTATTAAAGCCCCAAATTCAACTAAAAGAATCATTTAGGGTTTGTTAATCTCTTTTGGGTGAGCGCACATTTGAAGTTAAAAGTCGCAATGTAATTTTATGTGATTATAGGAGGTTACAACTGTTTTATGGTTGTAAAGTCTTAGCTATTTTCCGAATTCCATCCAGAGTTTTATCTGTATGTTCTTGGACTGGCTGCCATGTTGGAATGACGTATGTGAAGTTTTACTGTTAAATTAAGAAAATATTGTCTTTTGTTTTTTAGTTACTTCAGAAATTGAAGTTGGATGCACTATATGAAGGTACAACTGAAGTAACTGGTGATGAATACAATGTAGAGAACTTGGATGAAGGCCCAGGAGCTTTCCGTTGTTATTTGGATGTTGGTTTAATGAAGACCAGTGCTGGAGCCCGAGTTTTTGGGGCATTGAAAGGTGCTGTTGATGGAGGTCTCAACATCCCTCACAGGTTTGTTGATTTGCTCTTTAGTAATTAGGGATGAAAGAGGAAGTAATTAGGTTTCTTAAGTTATTCTTAGTATTATGATATTCATTAATTCTGATATTAGTACACATTAATTTCCTGAGAAAGGAATTGAAAATATGTATTATATATCTGTGGCACCTGTGCTTAGTGTGTTAAGTATAAAAATCATATTTATATAAAAACGATTGAAACTATGGAATTTTCACAATTGCAGCAAGTTTAAGTTTAAGCCCATGATTGACAAAGGAATATTCATCTCTGTAATAGCCACATAACAGCCCATCAGACACAAAGAAAGACAGAAAAAATAGCTTTGCGGTAGGACCCCTCAAAATACATAAAATTGCACTGGACAAACATTTCAGATGCCACAGATAAATACTTGATATGTTTGGTTCTGGATCAAAGTCTGCTATGAAAGAAACAGATGGTTTTTATGAAACATAATTTTTTTTTGTTACTCACAATCTGACGGATTCATGCCCTAAAATCCTTATCTTCCTACTCATTTTCTTTTTTTCTCAATTATTATCCTGTTTATTTACATGTCTCTTAAGTTCTCTGTTCCTGATTTATTTTTATAATTTAACCCTATTTTTGTTACAGCATGAAAAGATTTCCTGGTTATGATTCTGAAAGTAAGGAGTTCAATGCTGAAGTTCACCGAAAACATATTTTTGGAATTCACGTTGCTGATTACATGAGGCAGTTGGCCGAATCTGATGAAGATGCTTACAAGAAACAGTTCAGCATTTACATCAAAAATGGGATTGTTCCTGATGCTGTAATTAACCTTTATTGTATTTATATATTTTTTTAATGAAGTCTTTCTGGTTACACCCTGTTCATGTTTTAGTTACAAACATGAATATAGCTACTTTTCAGAAAAAGGCTCAAGCTAAAAGAAAATAATTTAATTTCCTAATTGCAAATAATTTTTTTTTATTTCTGGGCCTTATTTTTTTTTTTTTATTTCGAGTTCTAAATTTGTGTATGCAACACATTATTTTGGAAAAAATACTACTGGTAAAATAATGAAAAATAAATAGTTCCCATATGCCATTATTCACATTTGTTACTTCAATGTGGTTGTGACGGTACAATTTTCGTCTTGGTTAGGTCAATTATTGACCTATATACATCCCATGACATTTAATTATTTTGCTTAGTAATGATCAAAACTTGTATTGATAATTGCAATATTTAAGGAGTATGGTTTTGATGCCCACCAGGGTTAGTTGAAAAATTTTAATTTTTGGTGAGTCTCCAACTGTTCAGATTTATTGAATTTAATTTGGTCCCAACAATATTTTAATTTATATTTCGATTACCTAATGGGGTAACTCAATGGTAGGGAGCTGACTTCTAACGCTCAACATCCGTCCCAGGTTTGAATCTGGCTGATGACAGATGAATTATTTATTCTGTTTCGTTGGCCGTGAATAGATCATGGGGCCATGAGACCCTCCTGGGGCTCATCCAGGCTCTATAAATGGGTACCCTCATTCAGATCATCATGCACAACCCAGAAACAGTACTTCCTTATTAAATATTGATCCTAAGACCCTTCAACGGTTTTAGTGGTGTAGGATTTTTGTTACCTAATAGTTTCTAAAAGAATTGTTAGTTTGTTTAAAAGTTTCTGACTTAGTTCTTTTTTGTATTAATATGAATTTATTTTTTAATGTGTATTAATATGCTTTGTTTAGATTGAAGACATTTATAAGAAGGCACATGCAGCAATCAGAGAAAATCCTGCTCATAGACCACAAGTAAGGACTAAGGAAGCCATCAAGAAGAGATGGAATCGTGCTAAACTTACCCTTGCCGAAAGGAAGAATTGTATTGCCCAAAAGAAAGCAGCATTTTTAAAAAAGATGAAGGCCGGTGATGTTGATGCCTAAATTTTATTTGTTGCTTTTACTTTTGATAATATAACAATTCTTCAAACAGTTTTTATTTTATTTATTCCCTCAAAAACTCCAACTTCAAATAAAATTTCATTTATTCAAATGTCTATAAAATTCTTATCTGAAGTATGCAGCCTTTTTATTTTTAAATCATTAGTTTTTTTATGTAAGTAGCTAAATTAGTTTAGGTTAATTTATCGTTTGTGCATTAAATTCTAGTTGGGATGTTCGTAAATTTCGATTGATTTTGTTTAAATTGGAAATACTTAATTTACCTTGGTCACTCAGGTAATAATGATGTGTAATGTTAAAAATATATGAGTATTGAAACCATTAAAAGTTATAATCAATATATTACGATAATTTATAACAAAGCCTCTTTGATTAATAACGGGTGCTTACTACAAATATTAATACATCCATGCATCATCAAGATTCATCATCATAATATAATCCTCTTTACCATTTATGCACTACAGCTTGGACTAGGTGGACTTTTCCCGTAGCAGCTCTTGTCTCCTGTTCCATCCTAAACCTCGCTTCTAGAATGCATCTTTGTACGTTTTCTTCCCAGGAGATTCGGGATCTTCCTCCCCGGCACACGAGTCTTATAAGTGTTCCATGCGACTGCTCCTGTCCATACGGAGAAGGCGCCTAAACCATTTTAGCTTATATTTCTCTATAATGGTTTTGACTTCGAGACTGGCTCTGATGGTTGTATTACGAATCCTGTTTCGCCTAGTCTTTTCACCCACCTTCCACAGGTATCTCATCTCAGCCTGAAGGTGGCGGCTTTGCTTTAAAGTGTGTGTCGAGGACTAAGAAGAATATGTCAGTATTGAAAGGAATACTGATCTGTAGACCGTCGTTATCGTTTTCTTGGTTACCTCCTTTCGGTATGGGATGCCTGTTCCAACTGAGCAAAACCTCCTGCAGCCCCCATTCTTTTCCTCAACTCATCAATATATCCATTTTTGTTAAGCGGAGCACCCAAAACTTTCTACCTGCTTCAAACTCTCGCCATATATCCATAATAACTCCTGAGGTTTTCTTCTCATGTGGGTGCATTTCCTCTTCTCAGGGTTTATTTCCGTATTAATCCGTCCTAATTCTTCGTTTAGGGCATTATCAAGATTTCAAACAAAAAAAAAATTTGATTTTTCTGTAATGTATTACTTTAGTTTAAAAAAATTTAAGGTTCCTTAATAGACAAATATTGGATATTGGTCACTGGCATAGAATGATGTTTTTCTATTCTAATGTGACACACAACCTGCTATGTTATTATGAACAGCATTTATTGGTCACTTTAGTTTTTTCTGTGTTAGGTTTAGTCAGCTGATTAGTTTTTGATTATTTTATTTATTTTTTTTTGAAGGATAACATTTTTTAATTGATTGAAAATGACTAAAAGTATGTCAGTTTTGTCAGATTCAGAAAAAAATATTAAAATAAAATTCAATTCAACCAACATGTTTTACTAATTTTTTTTTAATTCATAATAATACCTGAAATTCGTCAAACAATACATTAACTAATGTTCAAAAGTATTGATTTCACATACTGATATAGTGATTTGAATCAAAATGATTACTAAAACCTGGGAGTAATGAGAATTTGTGGAGGAAAAATGTGTGTCTGAATACTAACAATAAGATTTATTTTATTGTTAAATTTTAAGATTATTACTAAGACATTATTTTATTTCCATTTTAAAGCAGGTTAGTTTTATCATGTTACTGCACTATTTAAAAATTAACCAGAATAATATAACCCAAAACAAACTGATTTTCGATTCAACCACTGGTTCTTACCTATATTTATACCTACATGGTTCACTTCGGCATTTCTACTATCACTTCACTGATTCTCATTGTCGAAAATGTAAGAATTGTACATCCATGGATCATGATGGGGGGGGGGGGGTTGTCTTTGGGACTGTTTGTTATTGAGCATCTACATAGAAGGCAATCTGGAGGTTTCAAAATTGATAAATGTTTAAAATTTTCTTCAAATGTATTTTGAACCAATTAATATAAAGTTTATATTTTCAGTTTTAAAAATGACATGGTAGTTTCATCGAATAGGCAAACTGGCTACAGTATATGTCGTAGCATATTCTGGAAAGTAAACCGGGGTACCGGTTTTGTCCAACTACATTAGATAAATAATCTTGTTACAAAAGGAATGTCGAATTCCCAATAACTACATCTGTTTACTCTGTCTTAAGATGGGATGGATATAGTCAATTTATTTATTATTTTATAATCCAAAATTATTCTTTTCTAGAATTTCTGTGTCCCTACCAGATTTAAAATACTTGAGAAATGTAAGGTGATTTATAATATAGAGGCCACAAATGTCAATTTGCTCTTATAGTCAGAATTATTATTGCTTACAATGAGTTAACATAATAGTTATGTATAGATATGAAGTTAACTTTAATGTTAACTTTTTTTTATTATATTCTTAAAACTATTTGTCCAGAAGCCATTTTAAGGCTAATCATAACAATTGTTTTTATGCCGAAAAATTTGTATGTTAATTTTAAAAATTTACAGATTTTTTTTAGAATCAGAGACTGGTTTGGTAGTTTTCTTTGTATGCTAAAGAGAAGCTGTTTAATTTTTTTAAATTAATTTATTATGACTGAATATGATACAAGTAGTCTTGAGTCTGCTTCAGTGTTGGAATTTTTTATTCCATATCTCAATAATTTTATAATTGCAAATTTTAATGGATTAAAAAACAAGACCAGATCTCGGTGAAGGTTAATAAAATAACAAAACTAAGCTTCTACTGTGGTACCTGATAAATAATATTATTGATTTCTCAATGGCAATTTTATATGGACCCTTACAGCTTCATGAACCTAGATAATGTGACTTTTGGGAGGAAGAAGTCTTATCATACTTTACTGTTAAACTTATAAATATTTATATGAGAAGGAGTTAGTCGGCGGTGCGGTCAGATAAATACTAAATTAAAATTAGTAATTATTTTATTTTAATTTTGCCGACATTTCGACCCACTTAGCAGGTCGTCTTCAGGGCTACAAAAGATACAAAACATGTTGAGAATAAAAATTAAATATAAGTAGATATAAAATAAGAAGTTGTGAGATACAGAAATAAAAGATGATATCAGAGATATAGTGGGTGACAATGTAGTAAATTATGAAGTATTATATATGTAGAAGATACAAATAAATGAAAAATAAGTATGAATAAAAATAAAAATAAAGGAGAATATAGCATGTAAGTTGATATAAATATTTATATCATAAATGATTATCTTTCCTATATATTCTAACAATATTCTGTCAAAGTATATGTATTGATATAAATATAAATTATTTAATATTCATTATATTCAATGATGAATATGTTAATGTAAATTTTATGATATCTGGATATTGCTGTTTAATATACTGTAAATCATATACAAGTATTTCCTATAAATTGAGTTGAATACATCATCAATTGCTATAAAACTGTTGTTTATTAATGAATAAATAATCAATTTTTAATCTTAGTAGAATTTATTCTTAATTTCACTATCGTTTGTTTAATTTTTGAGGTATTTATTCACTCTATACTATGGGATATTTTGGTCCTTTTCTTCTGCTAATATGTTGTATGTATGAAATATTGAATTATCAAAATATTTTGAAATTCAAAAAGAAATAGTTGACATCAAATCACTTCACAGGCAATGATGATAAAATTGACATATTCAATATAACTAAAATATTAAAAAGAATATGCCAGATTGTAAACAATGTAATGACATCAAAATTGACGTAAACAGGAAAATTTTAATAAGATACAGTTATTCTTAAATAGGTGTTGCCAATGAAGGATTACAGAGTTCGCTGGCGCGTGTGTTTCGGGAGCATTGATCGTAGGGCACTACACTTCGATCAGCTAGATGGCGCAGCGACGTTTCCCTCGCCATTTTGTATTGCCACCCTCCAGCTTGTGTCACGAAACAGTGGTAGCTTAGGGTGGACGTAAGATAATAGAAATGGCTGGGAATCCGGGGTTGGAGCAGCTAATCCCCGTCGTAAATAAACTCCAAGATGCATTCACGCAACTTGGAGTTCATATGCAACTTGATTTACCTCAAATTGCCGTTGTTGGAGGACAAAGTGCTGGAAAAAGTTCTGTATTGGAAAACTTTGTCGGAAGGTAAGTTGGTTATCTATTTGCTCCCGTGTCATTATTTTGGTATAATATTATCAGCCATGAGATTTATGGATTGAATTTCGTTGATAGCCTAGCCTATTATTACCTTGTCTATTATAGTTGACCTAAAAGATTCAGGTCAATAATTCTCGTTAGGTACAACTCATGACAAGTACGTGTGTTATTTATATTTTTATATATTGGTGAATTTATCCTTTGAGTGTCATCTTTTATATTTTTTGGGTTGTCAATAGCACTTCCCTGCCTCACTGTTATCTAATCTCAATTTCCAAGTATTTTTTATTTACATCCTTTTCTAATTTTTATTATTTATCATCTATTTAATTTTATCAAAAGTAATTGAATTTTCAATTTAACCACTGTAGTCAATTACTAATTAATGTCCTATACATAAAATTAATTCGGTACAAATTTTTAATTTTGTATTTCTGTTTTTTAATAGTGTTGTTCCAATATCTTTATTAAACCTGTTCATTTATGTTGTATTTTTTGTGCCATGAGTACATTTTGATGTTCCTTTTTTGCAAATTCATATATGTTATTGCTTTAATTCTCTAGTATTGGTGCTGATAGTTAATATTTAGAGTTATTTCATTGATATCTCTAAGTTCGAGCTCGATAAAGTTGTAATACATCGGTTATATAGCATTTAATGAATATTCTTACTGTTCATAATTTAATTCTAGCATGTTTTTTTATAATATTGATAATTTTTAAATTACATCTGTTGAGTAAATGGAGAATTATTATTAATCAATATTATTCAATTTATTTTAATGTTTTTATTAGGGATTTTTTACCAAGAGGTTCTGGAATAGTTACACGTAGACCACTTATACTTCAGCTTATCAACAGCATAACTGGTAATAATTTTTTATGACTATTCCTTAACTAAATGACTAGTGATATATGAAAAATATAATAAAATACGTTTTTAACAGAACATGGCGAGTTTCTTCATTGTAAAGGAAAAAAGTTCACAGACTTCGATGAAATACGCAGAGAAATTGAGGCTGAGACAGACAGGGTTACTGGTTCAAATAAAGGGATTTCAAATATTCCTATTAATCTGAGGGTTTATTCTCCCAATGGTATTGATCATATTTATTTCTTATTCATTTGTGTTATTTTGAATAAATATAACAATTATTGTATCACGGTATACTAATTCACTAATATTATAAATTTGTTTTGTTAACATGACTAATATCAATAATTTATATTATCATATTAATGTTATTAAAAGTTCTAATATCATTTTGTATACATTTTAATGATTTTATGATATTGTGACTGTTTTATTTTAGTTTCTAGTTTGTTGCGATTAATTTTGAAACAGTTAAGTTTTTCAATCACTGTTAATATCAAGTGAACCATAACACTGTTTTTTGTGTTATGGGGCTGTCAAATTATCTTTCCTTTATAAATGAATTTATTTATAGCCTGAAGTGCATCATTGGAAATAATGACTATTTAGTATTTCATATGCTGAGTTGGTTGTTTGTATTTTTAATTGTTTTCATGGTTGTTACACCTCACGTACTTATTCTATTCTGTGTTGTGACTCATCTGACCTCTGAGCCATTTACCTCATTAGACAAGTCGCATTCCATCATTCTTATTCACTATTTTCAATCATATTTACGTTTTAATATGAAGTTAATTAGTTCATTCATGTCATTTGTTTAGATTCTGAATGTTTTTCTTTTGACTTCTCCATTCATAAATATGTTGTGTTGAACCTCTCTTTTTATTTGTTTTCAGAAGTAATTTTTTATGTAAACAAAAAGTTTTTAAAAATTTTAATATTACAAGTTTTTATTGAATATTGTTGAAATATTTTTTTTGAAAGTGTGATGAATAACTTTTAAATGATAAAGTATTCAATTGTGCCAATGATGAAATTCTCAGAACTATAGAGAACACTTATTCTACTGAATCACTTTTGAAAATGGGGGAGGGGATTGATTGTAGTATTTTTAAGGGAAACATTATTTCAAATAACTTGATTAATTTTCATATCTCCTGAAAAACAAAAATCAAATTGATATGAACGCCATAATACAGATTGGAGAAGTGAAACTTTCTGGAAAGAATAATTATCAAAAATTGTATGATATGAATTCACTAAAAAGGATATGGATAAGTTTGAAAAAAATAAAATTATATTCATGTATTCTTATAAATCAAAGGAGTCAAATAAAAGTAGGCATAATAAAATAAATTAATATTTTAAATTTTTTTATTGTAATAGCATTTTCACTACTATTTCAACATTTCATTACTTTTTTTTTATCACCTTATAAATGATTTTCTCATTGTTTAAAATATTTTCTTCATTAGTATCATTTCAGCCCTTCTTAATTTACTTATTATTACTAAATATTGAATAGATATCTGTAATTGATATTTTTTTTGCTTTATTTATTATGTTTATAATAACTGAGCTCTCTTATTTTCCCTGAGCATCATTATTCTTGTTGTTCATCAAATTAAAGAATACAGAGGCTATGTTTCTATGTGAAATCTTGATAGAGCATATTTATTTATTAATTTTTTTCACATGTATGTTCATAGATACATTGTTTTCTTCAATGTTACATTAAAGGGAAAAAAATCTGTAATATATATATTGTCAGGTTGTTGATAGCGTGTGAACTTCAAAATGGATTGGTTTGAATGGACTCTAATTTAATTTTCTTGCTATTCGGTTTTTCACAGTCTTAAACATCACCCTTATTGATTTACCTGGTCTAACGAAGGTCCCTGTTGGGGATCAGCCTGTGGATATTGAAATGCAAATTAAGGATATGATTTTCCAGTTCATCACTAAAGAAACCTGTCTGATATTAGCTGTTACACCAGCTAATACAGATCTGGCTACCTCAGATGCTCTCCAACTTGCAAAGCAGGTTGACCCAGACGGTAAAAACCATTATCGTGAACACTTACTACCCGCACTGGATATAGTCAATAGGAATGCTTCTTTTAATTTTTTCTATTTTTTTTTTTTTAGTTATAAATTAGAATTAGTCTAGGCTTTGCTTCTTCATAGTGTTCAATTTTTTATTCTCAGTTTTACCTGTTTACTTGTTTGAATAACAAGCAGTTAAATAGATACTTGTCGATTCTATTTTGAATTAAAAATTTTCTATTATTGTCAGACTGATCTTATTTTCTCGACATTTATTATAATAAGAGGATAATTTATCTCTAACACCTTGTAAGTATATATGGTGTGTGATGTGAATTAGACTTACAAGGATATAGAAGTAAGCCATAGAAATATTTTTATGGTTTATTACTGTGTTTTTCACTGGTACAAATAAAAAATATAATTTGTTTTTAACATTTCTCTTCATTTTATTGTAAATGTAATTGTTATCTTTAGCTACTGGTATCTGACGACAGTTTGACAATGTTGAAAATAATAATTCAGATAAACTTTGACAAGAGAAATACTTAATACATATTACAGTTTCTAATTTGCATTTTCTAACATTACATTTGTTTTCATTATTTATATATATATATATATATTTAGTAATGTGAGTATATTATTAAAAAAAGTAGCATAACTATTTATGAGGAAGCAATTATGCCAGTATTTGCTTAGTATTATTCGTTGCATGGTAGATTGCTAGAGTGGATGATGTTCCAGTATTGAACCTGACACTCATAGACTTGCCTGGAATGACAAAAGTCCCGGTAGGGGATCAGCCACCAGATATCGAACATCAAATACATAGTATGATCATGCAGTATATTAAAAGAGAATCCGCCCTTATTCTTGCCATCACCCCTGCCAACACAGACTTGGCTAACAGTGATGCGCTGAAAATGGCTAAGGAAGTAGATCCTCAAGGTTTGTATTTAGAACTTACGTAGTTTTTTTTCTTTTTTCTTCCCTAATGAAAGTCTGTATTAATTGCTAAACAGAAAATACAATAATATTTCCAGGATCTTAAAACTGAAATTGGGAAGATGTACTTTATTCTTATGTTCTTCATTTATGTTATTATTCTTCAATATAAAGCTTTACGCATTTCCCAGACACAGACAACAAACGAAATCTACAAATATGGTACTAAGCGAGATGCCAATATCCTAATTTTACGTAGTAATAATTGGATTTAAAATTTGGTTTAAACTGTTAATATTTAAAAACAAAACATAAAAATAATAAAATAAAGAAATCGGAAATGTAAATATCTGTTGAAATCTTATATGACACTTTCTGCAAGATCTTTTTTTTTTTACTTGTTTTGAAAAAATGTTCTAGCTGAAAAATTGGTTCTAACAGACAGAAACAGTAGCCTGCAGAAATACCCCTTTGACATGCTTATGTTTCCCATGGTTTGGAAAATGTGTAAATTACGGTTTTATATATCTGGGCGGATAGTGATTAGCTAATCAGTTTCTAATAATTCTTATCAAAATGGCAAGAATATTCATTCTATGATTGTACCATAAATCTATTGTGTTCCACCACTTCGACTATGGTTTTCTGGTGTACGGCGGACTCCTGGGAGAATTCAAGGCCAAACTTAAACGCCTAATGAATTGAGTTATACTTTTTGTTTTCGGAATCTCAAGAGGTATGCATATAACTCGGTATTATACCAAGTTGAAGTGGCTCTATCCATCCAACTGCCGTTGGTACTTCCTTGCTACCTTTCTATATCTAACTGTCAGAACTCAGTGACCTTCCTATATTTTCCACAGCCTACAATTTAAATATTCCATTCAATCCCGTACCTCTATCCACCTCCTCACCGAATTGCTGCGTTTGACGAATCCTTTACAATTCTAGCCTTCTTCTGGAATACCATCCCTCCCGATATCTGACATGCGCAATCAGTTTCCCCATTTAAATCTCTCCTTTTTAAGCACCTACTCCTTTTCATACTTGATTGATCACAAAATGTAGATAAGAGAACTTTTTAAGTTTCCCCAGAAATGATTTTGTTCACTTATGTTATTTCATTTTCCCATGTTTTATATGTATCAGTAACTTTTTAGTGTTTTGTTTTTTGTTTTTCTCTTCTTCCAACATTTTAACTTTAATGAGATTTGTAATTTTATGTATTGTCACACAGGCATTTTTTCTGTAACTATTATTTGTCCTAAAGGGACAACAGACCCAAGATAAAAAAAAAAAATTCATTTCATTTCATTTTCATAAAATACAATCTTTGATGGATGGAATCTTATTTCTTCATTCTAAAATTTTCATTTAATCTTATCATTTGTTCATGTTCTGCCCTGTTGTAGAGAGTAAGGTCCTTACTTATAAACCAGATAAGATTTTAATTCAAGGACCACTGCAATTTTTTTCCAAAGGGATCCTCTTTTGAGAACAACTTTGGATTTTGGAATTATTTTATTAACCTAAATTAAGATTGTGGACAATTTTAACTGACTATACCAAATACTATCATTGTAGCATCTGAATCGTATCTTTTCACCATGTGAATTAGTTTAGTCATTAGACTAATTGTATTTTAGGCCTTCATATTTTAATCCAATACTGAATAATTCTTAACATTGCTTTTTTATCCCTTGTGTCGATGCTGGCTCCAAAAACATTTCATACATTAACATTTTAAAGTAATTTTGGGGATTTATAAATTGACGTTATACTTATTATTTCTCTTTGTTAAACTAAACACAACTATATTATCATGTTATCAGATTTAGATTTTTTTTCTTTACTAGTGATTCTAGGAAAGAAAAGTATCGCAATTAGGTGAACATTCCTATGTTTAATTTTTGCTTCTGAATTATTCCAGATGCTTATTTGAAAGAATATTTTTTTATATATATTCCTGATTTCCAGATCGTCTTATTGAGCCATACATGGGTATATTAATAATAAGTAATTTTAAATATTTTGCTAAGTGGAAGTATAGTCTCATAAAAAAACCCCCCTAACAATACACGATCCTGTAATTATGGACTAGTAAAGAAAGATTATTCCTAAGTAATCATTCATTATTATTCAAACTTTTAATTTTATAGTATACTTTATTACAATATTGTTTATCCTTGGATTTGTTTTTATTTCTTCAAACCACTAATGGTAGTTTGATAAAAAAAATGTATTACTTGGAACTCGGTGAGTTGTCACTTGATTGATCATACTTGAGTTTGTTTATTCAGTAAGAGATAAGACTTAATTACCGAACAAGCCATTGAGATAAATTTAATTGCCAATTTTGAGAAATAAATAAAATAAAAGTCGGCCCATTACAAGTATAATAATTAAATATGCTTATTTATTCTAGGCTATTATTTTTATTTCATATTTCTGGGCACTTAATCCTTTATGCAGTCTAAATATATTGAATTTAGAAGTTACATTGAAAAAAATATATATATATATATATATAGTGTGTATGTTTGCGTTTACATTTATTTTGTCCCATTACAATTTATTTTAATAATATAGAAACGTCGGGGAATTCCATTAGAGCACCCAGACTGTATATAAACTATTTGTTGCCAATCTTCTTCTCTGAATTATTACAAATATATTTAAGATAAGAATTTTCACAAGGATCTAAAAAAAATAAGCCCCCATGACATTTTTGTATGAAATTTTAATTGGATTGTTTTTAAGGAGTAATTTCTCTATGTGTTATTTCCAGCCATGTTAATCAGCTATTTTCTTGTACTTTAAGCACACCTGTAAATTCCAATTAAAAGAAATTAATAAAGCACTACGAAGTATTCAACTTTTAAACATTCTTTTTTTATTAGGTGATCCTAAATTTAATGTTTTAGACTATGAATTTTATTATTAATACATCTTCCCAATATTTCTCTAGTCTATAATACATGTTGAATTATTTTTCATGTATTTAATAGATCAAAACTTTTGAAATTGATTTAATAATCACTGTTATATTATTGTATTTAACTGTTTAGAGGTAAGTAGTTCACATATTTTCTTACATTTAAATTTTTTTCATTTTTAAAAATATTTATTTGCATGTTTAATATAAGTAATTTTTTTTAAACACTGGAAATGCTTTAGACATTATAGAAGTCACTATTTAATACCATGTACATTCCTTTAATTTATATTGTTGATTTATTAAAAAAAAATATTTCTAAAAATTAATAAATTAACTGTTTTAGAAAGATATTGCATCACTATTAGATGTTCACAGTTTTGGGGTTGCCAATCCGTACAAAGAGACTGGGAATTATTCTTAGAAGGTTGGCCGAAATTCGGAACCTCTTGTTTTAAAAATTTTATTTTCTCTGAAAATCAGGATTTAAGTCCACTTTTTTAATTTTGAAATGCCCAAGTATTAAATAAAACAGAATACTTCATGAACTACTAACTGACATCCAACAAAACTTATTTTATGGTGCCCTCTTCTTACAAGATAACTCTTAACTTTCTCGCCGATCTTTGCTCAACTACCTGTAGAATTAATGACAAATAATTGTATGTGATTATATTTCCAAAAGAGTTTGTATTCACTCTTAATTCACAGGTGGAAGGGATAATAATTCATTGAATAATGAAAAAGTGATGAAGGGTTAATTTGATTTTTGAAATATATTTATATGTCTGAGTGATGCAATACTTTTGCTCAGCAGTTTATAGCTTATTTCTTTAATTTTACTTCTAATGAACATTTGCTTTGTAAAAGCCGTAGTATGATCCAACACTTGTTTATTTATTTTTTTTTTGTTTAAATCTGGAAACAATTAATCTAAGATTAATACATTCTAATCCAGGACTATGGACTATTTGAAGGTTAGACTACCTGTTAATTAGGTAAATAATGAAAATAACATTTGTAAGTACATAAAGAATTTAGCTATTAGAATGGATTGCATGAGAGCCTCTCTTATTTATTTATTTTTTTCTTAAAACTCAAAGCTTTATTATTCTCCATTTACACTATAATTAGAATTATTAAATTATGACAAGTGAAACCAAAGTTTATATATTAAGTATAAGCTATAACAAAGTATTTTTGTTTATATGTAGTCTTAAACAAATGTCTGCAATTGGGATGTTTTCTGGAATAAGATGAGGTGTCAAAATTTTACAAACACAATTTTGAAGTTTTGAAATTTTATTTAATATTATTAGTGAAATGGAATAGTATAATTAGTTTGATTATCGAATCAATTTTTATATTTACACTTAAATCGAACACTTTTTTATGCTTTCTTCATTGCACTATACTTGTAATATACAATATTTGTGAATCACTCTGAAGTATATTAATTTTTTTTATTTTTGTATTTACTTACCTCAAACCAATTATGTGTATTTTGATAATATTTAACGGATATCTTCATTAATTTCATACAAAACTTCTTGTGATAAATTGTATGAAGTTATATTCATGTTTTATTCTCTAATGAAGAATTGAATAAAATAGCCCAGTCAAATTTTGTATAATTCTCTTGTCTTTTTAGTGTTTTGTACTATGTGGTTGTATTTAAAGATTTTTTGGAGGGGGGAGGGGAGGTTGGCGTGAGGCAAAATTAATAATATATGAACAAATTAAATAATTGATTAAATGTGGGTAAAATGGTTGACTGTTGTGAATAATGAAGAGAAGAATAGTTGGGGTGATCTGTCAAATAAGAAGGCAAAAATAAATCAATAAATATTCTAAGATTCCCATGTTAATATTTATGTCACCTTTTTTGATCATGTTTACTTCATCATTCCACACTTTGTAACGGTTATTATTATTTATCACTTAGTTTTTACTATTGTCATTATTCTAACAACTTCATTTTACTTTAATTTTTTTACCTACACTACTTATGTTTCTCATACCTTGTTAGCTGGTTCTTTTCTTAGACCTGATGAAAGCCTGAACTTCAGGTCGAAACGTCGGCAAATGTCAAAATAAATATTATCATTTATTTTTGCCTTCTTATTTGACTGATCACCCCAACTATTCTTCTCTTCATAATTTATTAAATGATGTTTAGAATATGACTCTAATTTTGAAGTGCAAGCATAGACCTAAATTTATAAATAAAATTGCAGTAGTTAAAATTGATATGATTTTAAATAAATTATAAGTAAAATTAAAGAAATAAGATTAAATCATTAGTTTCTTTCAATTTATATTACAAATCAATGTGGAGTTTGAGCCAGAAATAAAAATTCATCATCTTAATCATCTCATTTTTTGTTGAATAAAATTTTATCATAACTTTAACTAAGCAAATTGCTTAAATGATTGGATTATGAATATCCTTAAGTTAACGAGATAAAATAGTGGTGATTTTTTTTTGTTTTACTCTGAAAATATTATACGTTAATTTGAGTTATTTTTTTACAAATTTTTCTACATTATTTCATCTGATTATAGGTGTTCGAACTATTGGTGTGATTACTAAACTAGATTTAATGGACGAGGGTACTGATGCCCGTGATATTCTAGAAAATAAACTTCTTCCCCTTCGAAGAGGTTATATAGGTGTAGTAAATAGAAGTCAAAAAGATATCGATGGCAGGAAAGATATCAAAGCAGCGTTATCAGCTGAAAGAAAATTCTTTCTGAGGTAAAAACTTGTGAAATAATTTAGTCATATTTTAAGTAATAATTGTCATGCAACTGAAATCATAACACTTTTGTAATTGATTTTATTTGGGAAAGTTGTAAGGGATGTATTTACCACTGCTATGTGAAGCGATAAAGGTGAAAAGGATTATATTTTATACTGACAGCCAAAAAGCAATTAGGACATTTAAAAATTTATTATACCTGGGTACCAGGCAGCAAAAATGCTGATAAGTTAGTCATGAAAGGTTCTGAGAACGCTCCCATAACCACTATGTGGCATAAGCCTTATCCTTATCAATGGAGGGTGAGGGAAATTTATGGCGCTAAAGCCAATCAAAACCTGTCATGACAAGGAGCACCGTCAGTCAAAGATGTTCCTTGGCCGTCGCTGTCCTAGAAGAAGCATATTTTTCAAACTGGACAGGTCATCCCTTAATATAGTACAATGACAGCGCTCTATATGGATGATTGTAAACTAAATTGTTATATAGGAAGGAGATGGTCATAAAGGGTGGCGATCATAAATAGGCTAAATAGTGGTAAAACTATTTTATTAAAAGCCAACGTTTCGACCCGACTTTGCAGGTCTTCAGTGAGGTGTGTTCAGCTAGGAGTTTCACTTAGAACTCTCTCTCCTAGCTGAACACACCTCCCTGAAGAACACCTGCAAAGCCGGGTTGAAACGTTGGCTTTTAATAAAATAGTTTTACCGCTATTTTTTAACCTATTTATGACTGCCACCCCGGACCATCTCCTTCCTTTATAATGCAACGGTTAACTATTAAATATTCAATTTAAATTTTTATATGTTCAAACTCAGAGTGACAAAGTCATCTTTGTGTAGGTTGTGCCATGATGAAGATGAAACATTTTATCATAATATAATATGCTAGTGTGACAGGTTTTCTCTGGATTCAGGTTTGAGTTGTTCCGAAAGGATCGCCTTGTTGAGACTAAGTGTTGTGAGCTAGTCAATCTTGAAAGTTAAGCTCTTAAAACAGTTCAAACTTTGGTGCCCATCAAGCCTGATGACGCCACTAAGAAAAAAAAAAAGTATCGCTTTAAAATAAACTATGATATTTCTGGACAGATTCGACCAATTAACCCAGTTTATGAGCAAACATGGAAGAAGGATTTGAGTGCTAAATACAGAGGCTACACATGTGAAATAATGAATACTCTCTATTGGCCTTTTCTTCTCAAAACTTGGCACTTTTTTAAAATGGTTTCCTTATTCTGGCTTCAGATGCAGTTACTTTGTTGCTAAGTCTTCTGATTAATTGAGCTTCTAAGTAATTAAATTAGATCCCTACTTTGGTTGATAATTGTCTTCATTGGTACCGGGGACGGTCATCGTCTCGAACCCTTAGGTTTGAGTCGTGTCCCTCATTGACTGCGGAGGTGCAGGCATCCTCCTGTACATCGGCAGTCAATGTAAAGCCGTAGCGATCGTAAGATTGCGGAGCCTGAGACCAATCATGCTCTGAGGTCAGGGAAGCAGTGCTTCCCGACCGAATTGGTACTACGGGGCGTCGCCGGAGCCCTGGAGGCGCTATGGGTGAACGGCGAGAGTGCTTGCACTGTTCGGCCGTGGCGGTCGTTGTGTTTACGACTACTCGCTGCACGAAACCGGTGTTCAGCTAGTCTTGGCGTTGTTCAGGTTAGCCATCTGGTATAGTGTGCGGACGAGTGGACGGAAGTTATGGTAGTAGAGAAAAGTCCTTTTCGTGGGCGCCGGTTGTGTGCCCGCATACTATCCTGGTTTACCTGGTCCAGGGAGTTAGGTAGAAGGCTGGTTAAGGCTCGTCGCTAGGAACGGCTTCCAACCGATGCTCCCTTGGAGCATTGAGTAGCTGCTTTCATGATGTCTTCATTAGTATTAATATTATTTTAATTTTTTTAAAATGAAAAAAAAACTAATTAGTTAAGTGACTGTAGCAAAGTCCATTATTTAAATGTAGTAATCCTTAAGCGTTATTGGTTTTTATTTTATTCATTGAGGACATACAGTAGATTTCATTTTTTCTTGGTTTGAGTATTTTATGAATGGCCTCTATATAGAGATTTGTTAGCCACTCCTGAGTCTCATCGTGCTTGACATTTTTTATATGTTTGTTCTAGAGATATTTATCTATTTGTATGTGTGCTATAGTAGATTGTCTTTGTATTTGCTACTACTTTCATACATATCCTCTTGGTATGGTAATGAGATTTTTTAACTATTTTGTAAGAGTACTAGTACTGGTATTGGTACTTGGGAGCACTATGTTGGCCAGTGAAGACCTTATAGTGGTTGGAATCGATCTGATACTTCTCTGAATCACATGCTTTGGAACCCTCTTCCCGATGAGCTTGTAATCACAATATTTTTGTTAACACTTAGGTTTGGGTCATTGTATCATATTTAGAAATTTTCAACGCAGTAATTTTTATTTCAAATGTTGGCAATTTTTCAAACTTTTTAGTTTATTTTTCCAGAAAATCACTTTGACGGTGGTTTAATAACCAACGTCCAGAAAAAAAAGTTAATATGTTTTGAGTTATGAACTGAATCATTTACTTTTTTCCATTATTGTGAGAATAAACAGATAACTTATATTATTTATGTTTATGGAAACATTTTTAGAGATTCATTTTCGTATTCGTATTTCTTTCCAAATATTTTATTTTTATTCTAATGTTTCTTATTTGCAGTCATCAAGCTTACCGTCATATGGCAGATAGATTAGGAACTCCTTACCTTCAGAGGGTTTTGAATCAACAACTTACCAATCATATCAGGGATACACTTCCAGGGTTGCGTGATAAACTACAAGTAATCTAAAATGTCTTATAAACTTTTTCAAATGATTTTTTTTTAAATTTATTAATATTTTTTTTTTTTTATGTTTATTTTCCAGAAACAAATGCTTGCCTTAGAAAAAGACGTCGAACAGTACAAATATTTCAGACCTGATGATCCTTCAATCAAAACCAAAGCAATGTTACAGTAAGTGTCATACTAACAATTTTGTTTACCTAAAAATAAAAAAATAAAAATCTGTTTTGTATATTTTGTTTATTTGGTGAAAAATTAAAAACTATTTGCAGGATGATACAACAGTTACAGTCGGATTTTGAAAGAACCATCGAAGGAAGTGGTTCAGCCCAAATTAACACTATGGAGTTGTCAGGTGGTGCTAAGATTAACAGGCTATTTCATGAGAGGTTTCCTTTTGAACTAGTCAAAATGGAATTTGATGAAAAGGAACTAAGAAGGGAAATTGCTTTTGCTATTAGAAATATTCATGGTAAAGAAATGCATATACTTCTTTTATTGTATTATCTTTGAAAGTATTAAGAGTATGATGTGGATAAGTTAAAAATTAATCTCTAAAATTTTAATATTTACTTAATTACATTGAAAAAATATAATATGGATTAGAGTAATGCCGTCAAAGGAGTTCGATAAATAATATGCATTTGAAAAGGGAATGGGAATCAAAATTGCCCTTTAAACAAATCTAAACAAAGAGTGGGCTGTCAATGGGTAGGACGTGGTTTTTACCTTTTAGCGATGATAAGCGGGAAAGGTAGAGCATCCTTGAGGACGGAATGCTTTTCATCATCTCTACTGACCTTTTACATGTTTTTATTTATGGCATCATTCAAAAATGCTCATAATCAGTCATAGAAGAATTGCCTACTGCCTCATGGGAAGGCTGTGAGGCAAAAAAAAGAGTGACATGTTTCCTATTCACATATGAGCCCATCGTCACCTGGACGCGAGTCACCATCATTGAAGGGTTAAGAATTTTTGATTAGTTTTAACTGAAAATTTAATTTTTGTCCACTTAGCTGTTATGAGTTAGCCTTTGGGATATTTAGGGTACACTGAGCTTCTGGTAACTGGGAGGATATTTGATAATTAGATTGAAGGAAAAATCTTCCAGTTGTACATTATCCTGACCAATCTCTGTCTTGTGTTACTATCGGTTAAAAAGTAGTTCTTCATTATAAGTACTGACTAACAACTTTGAGGGGCTTTTGATATAAAGGGTTTTTATTTAATTTAGATTGATTTGTGTTAAAATACATCCTTAAAACGATAGCTATTAGTACCAGCACTTCTAATGCCGCCTACAACTCATAGTGGCTATTGCTTCGAGTATTATTTCTTTCTTAAGGCTGTTAGTCTCAAATTTTAATTTTTCATATGAACTTTTAGTAGTATTGTTTTAATGATCTCATTGATCTCTGGCATAAACTGGTTTTGCTTTTGCATTAAGTAGCATATTTTTAAAAACAAAAGGGCCTTGTTAGTAATGGTTTATTAATGGTATTCTGTTTTAGACATAAATGAATTGAAAAAAATTTCTGCAGAATTTGCCATTATGTATTTATTTTTTTCAATACAAATAATTGTTAGCCATTTGTCTTGTGACTGTTGTTCCCACTGTATAGTGACATTTTGTACCATCTTGTCCATTGTCAAGCTGTCAGTAACCATGCTTTTGGCCGTGTGAATAATTCACAGAATATATTGTTTAGTGAAGAAACAGCAATATAATACGGAAATAAGTAAATCTTATGTATTATGTGAGAAAGGAATTACTTGCGTTTTCCTAGGTCGAATACAATATTTCATTATTTAACATAGACCAAAATGTTTGTAAAAGTTATTTTTCAAGGGCCTATTTCTAAACGCTGAATATTACCAAACATATTCATAATAAGGCCTCAATAATAGGACTTTCCATATTATTAAAAAATATAAAATCTACCAACAAAAAAATATACCTTTAAGAAATAATGTAGTATATATACATTAGCCAGGAAAAAAAGGTTATAGAATAGTAAAAGCAGTATCATCAAAGAGGAAGAAATGTTTATTTTTATTAAATATAATGGACTCTATTTTTGGTAATAATGGTCCGATTTTTGTTTGTCTTGTAGAGAATTAGTAATCTGTCAATTGATCATGGATTCAATCATGAAAAATGCGTACTTTTTAATTTATTCACAAATAAAGTTTTTTTTTTCTGAAATTTCGTGGAGATGTGTCTATTTTTCCCACCTGGAGGAGATCTTCAAAATGAGAGCTCAATCATTAGATTTGATGAAGTTATGGCATTGCGACAAAAAAACATCTTTGAGAAATAATATATAAAGATAGTGCTGTATTGAGCTTCGTTATCATAGCACTGACTTCTCTTTTCATTATAATGTTTTTCCTTACCGTTAACTAAAATATCCATAACTCCTCAGGATTTTATCCTAATTCAATGTTTCTATAACTGTTGGAATGCTGAATTATTGCTCTTAAAACCGTATAAATAACTTTTTGATTTAACACGTCCATAAGAAATAATTAAGTAAAAACTCCCAACAAGTTTTTAATTTATATGTCCAGTTGTAAAAAGTTTATAAGAGTCGGGTTTATGTCATTTCGTGTAGTCAATATGGTTCTAAATCCCTGCTGATTTTCATGTTGATAAGTTGAAGTTACCACACTTTTTGTGATTTACAAAAAAAAATCCAAAGAGCCTTGGCTTCAATTTGTATTAAAAAAAAAAATATTTTTCAATTGCTATGAAAATTCGTATTTGAGGGTTTTATGAGGTGCCAAATACAAATCTCAACTATGTTTCTCCTTCCAAAAATATTTTAATCCACTTTGCTCTTTCAGTCAGAACACATTGTTTAAAATTTACGATAGGTTTCTATGATTTTTTTCGGTCATTTATGGAATTTAATAATTTGCCAATTAATCATATGTGTAATCATGAAAAAAATGCACACTTTTTGAGTTATTCCCAAATAAAGATTCTTTTCCTTCATAACTTTTTTTTCTCTGAGATTTCGGAGGAAGGTAACTATTTTTCCCATCTGGAAGAGGAGATCTTCAAAATGAGAGTTCAATCGTTAGATTTGATGAAGAATTGACAAAGTTGGCGTTGCTACAAAAAAACACCTTTGAGAAATAATATATAAAGATTTTATTTATTAGTTACTATTACTGATTCATTCATTCTGTTTAGTGGATGTTTCTTGAGCTTTAAGTAGTGTAGATATTTGACAATATGGTCTGAAACATCACTGAATAGTGGGGAATAAATGTTAAAAGGTTTTCATATTGAATTCCAGAGTATGTTGTATCTTCCAGTGCCAGTAATCATGTCCATTACTCGTCCCTAGCCTCCTTTAATAATATCTGCCAGTTTGCATGACAGCAGTCCTCCATTCTCTGACCCCCAGGATCCTCTGGACATCATCTGTTAGACCATCTGTCCATCTAAGACACAGGAGCATTAATTTTACCCACAGATAATGAGAGAAAAAATAATTATATTTATAATAAAAGTTCAAGATTTTTTAAATTTTGAAGAGAATCAGTGTTATTTGTCTTTAATTTAATTAATTATAAATTTTATTTTTCTACTGATTTTTTTCCTCCCCCCAGGTATAAGAGTTGGATTATTTACACCTGATATGGCATTTGAAGCGATTGTAAAAAAGCAAATTGAGAGACTCAAGGAACCATGTCTTAAGTGTGTGGACCTGGTCGTTGCTGAGCTCTGTAATGTTGTTCGTATTTGTACTGACAAGGTGAGTTAATATTTAAAAATTGTTTTAATAAATAAAAGTTTTAGCTTTTTAAATTAATGGTTGTATCTTTAAAATTATGATTTTCTAGAGGATCTTATCTTTTAGTCTTGTAATCTAGCAACCTTGTACAAGTTAAGAAGGACTTATGTATTATTAGTTGACCATACAGTAAAAATATTAGCATCAAATAGTGAATATTTGTTAAACCCCAATGTTTGTTGGTCTTCTACTTGGCTAAAAATAAAAGGAAAGAGAAATTATTATTGTAGTATCAATATGACAGAATTGCTGACGCAAATATGAAAATAGAGAAAATGGAAATAGTATCTGATATAATATTTGACAAAAGAAATCAATTTAGAAAGTTGATAAACCAATATACTTATAAAGCAAAAACTGATAAGAAATTAATAATAATTATTCAATTTGGTTAATGAGGACTTAGCATTGAAAAAGGTATTGTACTCCTTACTTCTGTACCGAGGTTTAAGTCTGGTTGATTGCAGGAAATTTATTTTCTCTATATCAGCTCTTGGATTGACAGAGGTGGGAAGACCCTATAGAATGGGGTTAAACATGGCAATAGGATGATGATCTGATCATTTTGTGTGTTAACTGTCAGTCAAGAATCAATATGTCCTTACCAAGTACTAAAGTGTTAAGTCTTGATCCTGAGTTTTGTTTATTATATTGTTTTGGAAGAATTATTGAAATCAATCTTAATTCTAGATACTCAAGGACAAATATTTTTAACATATTTTACTCAGAAATTTATAACCAATTCAATGTCCAAAAATAAATATTAGTTTTGATATACTTATTATCAAATCTAAAAACCTGGTGCTGTGCTTTCATCACACAATTTTCCTTTACCACCCTGTTAGCAGTAATAAGTATTTTCAGGCAAAGGGGAAGTGAAAATAAAGGGGGAAATGCTATATTGATTTATATTTCATTGTGGATATTTTTATTTTTATAACTACTCTTATGTATACAAATTTTAATATTTATATCGCCGTAATCTATACAATTAAGTATTAATTAATACCAACAATAGCATCTATGAAAACCGCATATGTATATTTACATAATATTGCTGGAGTCCTTATTATTTTAAGCTCATGTTACTTATGGAAGCGTGTTTTAATCTTTCGGGTGTGCTCGTATTGCTTTGGTTCCTCAATTACAACTATTCTTCGTTACGATCTCTTATTTCTCCTTTAGTTAATTATCAAATTCTTTCATATTTATGATGTAGAGATGGTTGACCGTTGATATGATATGAGAAGGAGTTAGTCGAGGGTGCGGTCAAATAAATAAAAAATTAAAATATATAAATAATTTTAATTTTTAAATAAAAAAATTAAAATATATAAATAATTTTAATTTTGAGTGTTTCAACTGCCTCCCGCAGTGCCACATCCTACGCCCTGAAGACGACCTGCAAAGTGGGTCGAAACGTCGGCAAAAATTAAAATTATTTATATATTTTAATTTTTTTATTTATTTGACCGCACCCTCGACTAACTCCTTCTCCTTTCATATTTATATTAAACTATCTTTTATATTAGAGATTAATGTGAAATGGTTGATTGTTTCAAATAAAAAAAATTAAAGGTACCTAAGGGGGAGCAAATATTGATAATTAGCTATTTAGGACCTATTATAGAACATCAATCAGAATAAAAACTATATTTTATTTAAATCCGCTTAATTTTACACTAATACAATGAATTCAATCAAAATCGTTAGAGCCATTATATGAAGTGTCACTTCTGGTTAGCCGATTTTTTTTATTATTTATTTATATGATATTTACAACTGTATACAAAAAATACATCTGGTAAATTCGCACATGGATATAATGACATGGAACACATGTTGAGAAACTACCCATTGGTAGCACTCTAATAATATGTCTATATTAGAACATCACGTGGTCATCTTCTTTTCAGACGCCTCGGAGGGTTATCAGGAATCGAATAGGAAGCAAGGTTAGAGACAAGAGGGTTGGGATGGTTATGAAGTTTATTATGGAAGGACAGATATCTGGATTGGGCCAAATCTGATACATAAGGAACATACAGGTCATTATAGATAATTTTATTTGTAACTAAGTAAGGAGCATTGAGGATTTTACGAATGATTTTGGATTGTAAGGATTGGATGCGAGAGGAATTTGAAGGTTTGGTGGAGCCCCATAGCTCAACTCCGTAAGTCCAAATAGGCCTTATTATAGTCATGTAAATGATTCTTTTATAATTGATTGGAAGGTTAGAGCGTTTGTCTAGTAATTGTTGAAGTAGTTGGAAATGTCGAGCTGTTTCTTGTCGTTTCAGTCTGGTATGAGGATTCCAAGTTAGACGTTTGTCCAGATGGAGTCCTAGGGAACGGGTTTGTTCAACAGGAATAAGTGAGGTGTTGTTAAAGGATACTGAAGGAAAGGAAGTCATTGGTTTACGACGAAGGGTGAAGGTAATTTGATGGGATTTATTGGAATTTATGGTTAGCCGATTATGTCGAAAAAGTTGCTGTAATATCCCTAGCATATAAATACCTTAAATATGCAATTTCATTTTCGTAAGACTTTTAGTTTTTGAGCTAGACTGTTAACACACAGACCATCTTGCGGGACTTGGTTATTTGGACTAAGGGGAACTCAAAATGTGTATTTCCGTTGAAAACTCAGATTCGAACATTTTCACGACCGCAATACTTTCCTTTACTATACATTTCATATATTGGTAAGTGAAAGTAAAAACAAAAATATATTCTGTAACTATTGAACCTATACAAATTAATGGATTCTATATATAAAACATTTAAAGCCTTTCCGATGGAATGGCATTCCGATTGTATTCTGATGGCTGTATTAATAAATTAAATTTCTATGAACTTTCTTAGTTCTGGACAAAACATAAGGAAATATTTTAAAATGCAAAAAATATTTGATAATGAAAAGTAACTAGTATGATAGCATGTTGTTGGATTTTAAGAAGGAGGGAATCTCAGAAAGTAATGAAACAGTAGAAAGTAAGGAACAGACAATGAAGGTTGTAATATTGAAATAAAGCAGATCTGTGAAAAGGGAGATAAAGGTCAGAAGAATGAGATTTTGTATGTATGAGGGCGGGGTGGCCGAATGGGCTAACGCGTGTGCACTGCACCGCCGTTTCCCGGCAACCGGATTTATGATTCTATGATATGAAAATAATCACGAGTTCGCGTCCCGGTGCCAGAGGGGATTTTAAATTCCCCGCCCTCACCCTCTGGTCCGGGAAAATCCCGTATAGCCTAAAAGGCGAGGTAGGAAACAACAGAAAAAAAAAAAAAAAAATCAACAAAAATTGTATACTTTTTTAAGGGCAGGGTGGCCGAATGGGCTAAAGCGTGTGCACCCGGCAACCTGACATATGAATCAAAGATAAAAAAATAGTCACGAGTTCGCGTCCCGGCGCCGGGGGAGTCAAAAAAAAGAGATTTTGTGAAAAAAGATTATATATAGAGATACACCACTTAAATTGGAGGACATTGTTGGCATAGGTTGTATTTGGTAAAGTGTCCAAGAATAGTATCTTTATCTTTGGAAGGAGAGAAACCGTCGCAACTCACCATAGTAGTCATAGTAGTGGAAAACATGGAAATGTTTATGGTATCTTTAAGAAACCTTATAAAGCTATTTATAACACTCCTATACCTGCCATGAAGCCATCGTTAATATATTATAATATAAATTAAATAGTTTTTGAATTGATTTGGTAGAATTTAATTATTATTTATTTACTATTTTTAAGATGGCCAGATATCCTCGTCTTCGAGAAGAGACAGAAAGAATCATTACCACCTACGTAAGGGAAAGGGAACAACTGTGCAAGAAACAGTTGACAATGTTAGTCGATTGTGAACTCGCTTACATGAATACAAATCATGAAGACTTTATCGGTTTTGCCAAGTAAGCATTATCCTATACATTCTGTCTTTTACTAATAGTGATATCCAAGTTATTTTAGTACTTAGGTTATTAAATAATGGTCTACTTTTAATTATTTCCAAGGTTTTATTTTTCTTAGTGCCCAGAATCAGTCAGAAAACTCTAATAAAGCTGGTCGTAAACTCGGTAACCAAGTTATAAGAAAAGGTTGGATGTGCATTCATAACTTGGGAATAATGAAGGGTGGAAGTCGTGATTATTGGTTTGTCTTGGCATCTGAAAGCATTTCTTGGTTTAAGGATGAGGAGGTATTATAATGATTTGATAATGTAATGTAGTTGATAGGATAATTTTAATATGATATTTATGTGTTTCATTTTTAGGAAAGAGAGAAAAAATATATGCTACCTCTTGACGGCCTGAAGCTGAGAGATATCGAACAAGGTTTTATGTCCAGACGCCACATGTTCGCTTTATTTAATCCTGATGGCCGAAACGTTTATAAGGTATATTTTAGTAAATTTATAAAATTATTTTGAAATAGAACAATAGGATTTATAAATTAACTTATTCAATTCTACAATATCCAGTGTTGTTTTTTGTTTTCTTTACTTATTCGTCTGTAAACAGATAGTGTTGATTTTAACATTCCTTGTCAGTATACACCAAAATTCTTTATAAATGTTTGTTAGGTGATAAAGTAAGCAATGGTCATTGTCATTTGTTAGGTGATAAAGTAAGCAATGGTCATTGTCAATATCCCGGGTATAATATGACTTTATTATTGACTGCATTGGAGTTTTTCTAATCAAATAGAATATTAATCTGAGTAAGTGATGTTTAGTTATATGAATAGATAGTTAAGGTTATATCAACATAACCTAGGTATATGAATATTATCTTAAATGTTATATCTCTACTACAATTAGTTGGCAGCCTGAGGGTGAACGGAGTTGAAATTTGAAATTTTCTGTTTTCTATCACTCTCTGATGTTATTTACAAATTTATTCATATATAATGTGATTATAATAACCTTGTAATATCTATCAGAGTTTATTTTATGAAGATTACATATATCAAAATAAATTTTAAAATACAAGATAAAAATAAATTAAAAATAACATCCAATTACTAAATAAAATAAATGATTCATAAAAATGTTCATATCCCGCAAAATATGATTGGTAAAGAAACATTAAGGTTTATTAAATAATTTCTTCTCTAGGTATTGTTTCAATAAACATTTCGGAGGGTAAAAAAAAAAAAAAAATTCTAGGCAAACTACGTTTTCCAAAATAAAGATATTATTTGTAAGATAAATATTTCGTTATTGATATCAGAATTAAAAAAGGGATAAACAAAATAAATTAAATGAGATAGAATAGAATTAAAATTTTAATGTCATACCACATGTATTCGTCCTCAGGAATCCAACCAATTGTGTTTGAGCTATAGTTTAACATTTGATCACCATTATTTATTTTTCTGTGGATGCTGTTTTCTGATCATTAGCTTGAATATGGGCGTCTTACTTGTAAGATATTTTTAGTTTTTTATTTATTTTAAAAATAAATAATTAATTTATAATATTTCTTTTGATAGGACTTCAAGCAACTCGAATTAAGCTGTGAAACTCAAGATGATGTCGATTCTTGGAAAGCCTCATTCCTTAGAGCTGGAGTCTATCCAGAAAAATCCACTGATGCAGCTAATGGAGACGAGGTATGTTTCTATGATCATGTTTATTTCAAGTTTTTACATTCAGTTGTTTTTATATATTTGTTAATTCAGTGACTATGTTTACTGGGAATGTTGAGAGGAGGGAGAATCAGTCCAGCAATTGGGCCTAGTGGTTGCCACCCCATACTAATCAAAGAGGGATTGTCAAGATTCATATCTTGGGGCAGCTGAAGAATAAATATTAACTGACCCAAGTTGGAATCGAACACACTATGTTCCCAAGCCCTCCAGAACCCTCGTCCCAATGTGTTTGGACCATCACATCCTTGAAATTGTTTCAATTTACTACTGGAGTGATAACAATGAGCACTGTTTATAACCTCTTAGTGACGATGAGCAGGATGATGGGAGTGGTCTTGAAGACATTAGTTAACAGTTCTCCATGCCCCTGTGACTGAATACTTTTCACCTCTACTCACCACTTAAGCTTTTTTATTCAGGGTATCATTCCAAATTTTTTTATTTATCTTTTATATAAGTGATAGAAAGGCCACGAGATAGTTTGAAAATAGAGTTCCTCCACGAGCACCCCCTCATTTAAAGAGAAAGAGCCCAACAGACTCTCAACTCATATATTAGTCCGCCATCTCCTGAGTCCGACTCTTATATGAGTCCACTGTCGTTAAAGAGTTAACATTACCCAAGAATTAATGAGGGTTCTTTTTTATATAAATACTTACAAATAATGGATTAATTTTAGTATTTCTTTTCTATGTTTTATAACTTTAATAATTTTCAGCCTCTTTTTTATTTATTTGGTTCGCTTTCTCAGATATCTGGAATATGTACATCCCAGAAAAAAAAACCTTCAAGAGAGTGTAGATGGACAATTTTATTTATTTAAAACTTAGAATCCTAGAAATATTGAGCAGGACTACTTTTTGAGCTGTTTTTAAATATGTTGAGTCAAGTCAAAGATTTTTGATACTTTCTATTGTTCTTTGTTATACTAGACCTTTCGAAGATATTATTATGGGAGTAAATCGTACTTTTTCTATGTCGTCTAGGATTTTAATATCGAAAGGAAGTTTTTAGGGTTTTTTTTTCAGCCAAGGTTGGAAGCACTTGTTTCTGCTAATAATTTTACTATTGTTACTTTTTTTTTTTTTTTGGTTTTTCTTGTGAAACTGTCATAAAATTAGTCGGTCAGAACAATAAAAATGTATTTATTATTTTATTGATAAGGTGATTGTATATGTCCTTCTGGATCTAAATCTCATCGTATTTATTTTATTAATTTAAATTTAAATTGTTAAACAGTCCAGCCTCATGAAGATTCCCTAAGGAAGATTTGATACTTAAAAAGATTATCTTTATTATTACTGAACTATTCAATAATGATCACTTAGAAAAGTGATATCATTCATTGTTTTGATGCTCTTATTTTCATTTTCATTTGTTGGAAACCAAGCACTTATCTTTAGGATTAATAACTTAATAATTAGTCTATTTTAATGATTAGAAAATTCAGTTTCGTTTTCTGTTTGAGTTGTCAGTTGAAAATAATTTTTAACAGCACTTATTAATATCCTGTTTATATAGTTTTTACAGTTAAAATCGTTAAGAAATCTCGAATGTTTTAAAAATTAATTTAAGAGTTTGATCGGTTGTATGAAAATGATGCCTCGATCAATGGCTTGGCTAATTATATTTTTTGTAAGTGTTACATATGACAGGATAATGATGTGTTGATAAGTAAATTTAAAAGTATATATAACTATTTCAACCTTATAGTGTATCTGCTTATTTAACATGTTCAAAAATAATTTTTCTATTCTAGTCTTTGCCATTCATCTCATAAAAAATCTATTTGAAAATTACAAGAAACTTGAATTAAGTTCTCATAGAAAGTGCAGATTTACCGCTTTGTTGTTTTTTTTAGTATAGGGAATGTGGTCATAATAATGGAGTTGAAATTAAATTATAAATTTTCATTAATAAATAATAGCCAAATTTTTAAACATGAGGAAGAGGGCTCACCAACTCCAATCAAATGTTTACGTATTTTAGTTATTGAGGTGGTATTTGCAAAGACCACTTTCTTATCCACGATGAATTGATTTTTCATAAGGTTTGAAGTTAAATTTTACCAAAAAAATGAGGTTCCCAATGACTGTTTCATTGGTAATAAAAATATGTTTAAGTTTGAGATTTTATTCCAGTAATTTTTAAAAAAATTAAAGGAAATTGTTAAGTCCTAAATTATGGCAATAACTTGCCATAGGTCTTTCTCAGTTTCTGGGAGTTTTGGAAAATATATCTCTATTATTATTATTATCATTATCATTTGTTTACCTTTTCAATAGATTTTTTTTTTTTGTCATAGACTATAATAAATAGCAATGTTTAAATTTTATAAAATCTGAAGAACATTTGGTTTAGATACCTCGGTACCTAAATTCCTATTAGCTAGAATTATGGGTTATCTTAAAAATTAGGGCTTTAAAACACAGGACCCAGTGCATTCTGCTGTAACATCCACCTCACAGTTTTTAAAATATACCTTATTATCCTGTCTTGAACAACTAATTTATACCCTCAGGAGTATTGATACCACTTAAATTTTCCCAATTACTTTTTTAAAAGTTGTTTTGAATTGGAATTAGGATTTATCACTTATCTGCGAAATTCTCTTTTTTTTTAAACAGCTAGTTTGTCAAAATCTATTGCGTCTGACGGCTGGAACTACATATTACCAAATTATTTATATACTAGATTTCGTAACTTTTTTTATAGAAAGCATTGTTCATTTAGGGATCTTGGCTACATATCTAATACCAAAGATTGACGAGTTTGCAACAAAAAGTTTGTACGTCAATCCTATATTTTTTTTTTGTGAGAACTTATTGTTAGGGGTGTGGGTGGTCCACAGACTTCTGGGAATTACTGGTATAAAGATGCATGCGCTGTTGTGAAGACAGAAAAGTATGAATCATATTTGAGGTTAGAAATTAGAAGGACTTTATCGTCAATTTATTGCAAAAAGTCATTGAGCAACATTTCATAAATTTAAATCAACAATTTGAAAGAATTATCCCTCTGTGAAATCAGAATACATAGTGTGGGCACGTTTGATGTATAATAGGGTCTTTGACGTTTTAAAGCACTTTAAGTGTTTTAACATCGATGTGCAGAGTGCAAAGTTTGCAAAAAAGTTAAGCATCATCAAAAATGTACTTGCTGTCTTTTTACAATAAACTGACGATATATATTACAACTATTGCTTTAATTTATGTATTATTTATTTTCTGATATAGCTCAAAAGTAAGTACAAGGAATTTTGATGTTATCTTAACATTTATATGGGTTATAAACATGAAGTTTTTATAAAACACTGCTGTAAATCATGGATAGCATCTTAATCATCTATTTGGTTGTAATATCATAGTTTCATTTCTATTTATTCACTACTGCTTATTAACTAATCCATTTAAATCATATCGAGCCATAATAGTTCCTTACTTTAATAGAATGCTAAAGTATTTCTCAAAACTGTATTTTAAAGCAAATTAATTTAATTAATTAAGATCTTCAAACATTATGTTTTATATTAGCTAGAGTGAATTTTTCAACTCTTGTTGGTTAAATAGTTTTTTTTTTTTGCCATATTCTCAAAAGAAATTATATAGACATTTAGTTATGGCAGTAATAAAGTTTAATGAAGATTATTTAATGATTTACTATTCTATTGGTGCGTGTTGTTTATAGGTCAGGGTAAGTGAGAGCTGAGGAGTTTTTCCCGATCAAGTCATCTAGTTTGGTGCCTTTTCTTAATTTATTTGCTCTATGTTGAAGTTTGCTTATTTTATTTTTTCTCAATTGCTTTTGAAATCATAAATTCCTTTTTATAAAGGCTTTATATGATTACTTTAATGCTTTTTTATTTAATTTTGAATATTAACACCTTATTTTTAGTTAGTACACGAGTGATATTATTGCTTTAGGGTATCTCCTCAATTTGGTGATTATTTAATATATATTTTTGCTTATTGATTTAATCCTTTCATATTTTGTCATTTTTCATATTTTTTTTTTCATTATGGTCTGGTTTGTTTTTTGATTAAATTAGTGTAGAATTTACTTATTTTTCCTTATAAGTAATAAAGGTATTGTGATTTTTGTAAATAGCTGTCAGACTTATTACAAGCTTTTCTTGAAATCAAACAAGTTATGATAGGCTTTTTTGTTTTTACTTTTTTAATCAAGTTGGTGATGTTTTTGCTTTGGACTTCCTTTTGTAACAGGTTTTCAGGTTGTTGGTTTATTTTAATTTTTATTTCTTATATTGTTCACTAATACCCTAACTATAAAAATATTTGGTTGGTTGAGCTATTCTGCCGTGTATACTTATTCCTTAGTTTGACTAAAATAAATATTTATTAGCTTAACAGTAGTTATTTTTTTTAATTATAATTTTTAGGTTTAAATTCAATATTTTTTCTTTTCTATTTATGTAAGATGGTAATATTTTGTATTAAATGTAAAAAAAAAAAAAAAAAATTCTCTTAAAATAACAAAATTTGAATGGTCTTTAATGCAAATTTGTTTTTATGTTTTAATCTAACAGGACGGTTACGAGGTTGGTTGACAATTTGTGAAAATTTTATTGTAATCACTTTGATCTCAGTAGATTTTTTTTCTTTTTATTTGATATGATAGATAAATTAAACTAAAATAAAAGCACTGTAATTATGATGGCATTTAACTATATGAACATTAAGATTCTGCAATGTTTACTGCATGAATATTTCAAAAATACTGTCATGTCAAACATTTGTTTTAAGCTTGTCCGAAAAGTCGTTAAGAAGCAATCATACTGTTAGCATGTAGCATGTTAATGTTACCCATATTGTGGGAGATGCCTCGTTTTGTGGGAGTAATATATTCGTTTATTGAAACGATAATTTTTTTTTTTAGTAATTATTTTAATCTAGTACAAAATTTATGTTCCATCTATATGTATTATTGATATTTTATTCCTTTGAAAGGGCGCAAGTGAAGGAACTGCTTCGATGGATCCTATGCTGGAAAGACAGGTGGAAACCATCCGAAATCTTGTCGATTCCTACATGAAGATTGTTACGAAAACAACTCGTGATTTAGTACCAAAGACAATTATGTTCTTAATTATTAATGAGGCAAAAGAGTTTATTAATGGGGAACTACTAGCTCATCTGTATGCTTCTGGTGATCAGGTTTGTTACATTTATTTAAGAAAAAATTATTTTTCATGCCCTTAGTTTATAGAACTATTACCATGAATTTATTATTAAATGTCAATGATTATATTAATCCGTATCAAATAAAAACTATTTTTGTAAGGTTGATTAGGTTATGGAGTATTTTATTAACTAAATTTAATATTAACCAGAAAGTAATTAGTAAACTACTATGATTCGCACCTTGAAAAAAACTATTGCATGCATAGTTTTAATGCTTTATTGTATCATAAATCCTGTAAATGAATTTTACACACTCATGCCCTTTTTTATTCAAATAATTATTCATTAAGTTATTTGTTTTAGTTTTTTTAATGTTTTTGCACTAATATATATTAGTGCAAAACTGTTATTATCTCTAAAAATTAAGAATATATTTTAACTTCATAATTTTTTGCAGACCTCGATGATGGAAGAAAGTCAAGAAGAAGCTATGAAGAGAGAGGAAATGCTGAGAATGTATCAAGCCTGCAAAGAAGCTCTAAGAATAATCGGTGACGTTTCAATGGCCACAGTGTCAACACCCGTGCCTCCTCCTGTTAAAAATGATTGGCTGGCCTCAGGCATGGATAATCCTAGGTAAATGATTTAAACCTATTTTATTGCTTAATTGTTTACTAAATCCTCAACCACTTCAATTAATTACTATCTAATCAATTACTCATTCCCCAATCAATTCCTCCTCAGAGGTCCTAACGTGCCTCTATGTCATACGTTTTTATCTTATATCCCTTATAACTAAACAGCTTCCATCAAAGGTAGAGGATTAAATAAGAAAGGGTTAGATAATGATTCAAGAAGTGGGCAGTTATAGGGCCGTGGAGGGGATTTTCTAACATTAAGAGTTGTTTAAGGATTGTATTAATTTGTATATAACATAAAATAATTTAAGGAGATATTTTTATGAAACAAAAACATAGATTAGCACAGCATCTATATATAGAAAAATTAATATATGTCTGTCTGTTTCTCCTTTATGCATTACTAAATCATTCATCTGATTGCGATGAAACTTCAGAAAGTTGTTGCGTACATTCCTGTGAAGGCTTCTGCCATAGTATTTCTGTCTTATGATAATTTTATATGTGTAAAAAAAATGAAAATGTAAATGTTTTTTTGTTCAAAGCTGCTATTCTCTGAAAGTTCTTCACCGACTGCTTTGAAATTTTGACACAGCTTTGCAATCGAATTCAGGAATGTTTTTTTTAACATTTTATTACCATATGGCCTATTGTTTCGAAATGGCGGCCAAAAAAACGTGTTGCTATTAACTGTAGTGTCAAAACGGCTTTAACGATTTTATTGAAATTTGGCTAAAGTCTTCCCCTTGAATTCCTTTTAATTTATGTGGATGACATACTTTCCCGAAAACAAGCTGAAAAAATGTTAAGATGAATTCAAAATTTTATTTGTGGATAACTAAAAAAGTACAAAATTTTTGATTGATAATACCTTTATTTATTTGAAAGCTTCCTGAATTCCCTACAAAATAAAAAAAAAAAAATCATCGAAATCGGACAATTTGTTGCAGAGTTATTGAGTTATAGTACCGAAAGCAGAACACCAAAATCTTCTAAACATAAATATATGAGACTATAAAAAGAAGGGTGGTCTTTTCTTACCTTCAATACAAAGGTTATTGAGATGGTATAAAGTAGAGAAAAGAAGTATTTGGAATTAATGTGGTTGGCCATTTTTTCATTTTTTTGGATGGAATTTTAAAAATTTTAATGACTCCTTAAGCCTTTAAATAATACTAGCTGTCCCGTGCGAATACTTCGCACAAATCGACTAAAACAACTATTACATCAATAGACTTAAAGTTTTTGATTAAGCCAAAACTGAATATATTGAAAGCAAAAATTCTTTAAAGTAGGATTAATACTAAATGTTTAGAACGCTATATCTTTGCATCACATGGTCCAATTTCGATGATTTCTTTTATGTTTCGTAGGGAATTTAGTAAGCTTTCAAATACTCTGCATAATGCAAAATGGGTCAAAAATTGTGTCCTTTTCGAGTTATTCCCAAATTATGAATTAGTTTGTATCGTCTCGATTCATTAAAAGGGCACCATCATATTTTTTGAAACCTCCCACTTATACATTCATTTTTATTCAAGTCCAGGTATAAAATTAGGAATCAAAATTACAATTCGCGCATTCTATGTGATATTCCCCTTCTGTTGATACCTCATTCGTCAAAATCCATCACTCCTGAGAGCTGGAAAAGGGATATATATTTGAGAAATAATATATAAGATTGGATAAGAAAAGGTGTTTAATATGTTTATACAGATGTGTACCATTGGTTAGTGGTTCACACAAAGACTGCCTCACCATGCGGTGCCTAATGTCAAATATTTAGATCATTAAATAACTATAAAAAATTGAGTGAGAAGGTGTGAGAGAAGACGCGTGCTATTCAACTTTACTTAGGAATGGCCATCGATAGTCTGTATTAATGAAATATCGATATTTTCCTCTACTACGCACTTCATTCTATATGAAGCAGGCAAGATGAATATAATTTTTTTTTTCTAATGATCAGATTCATTTATAGTTCTTTGAACTTTCCGAAAACTATAGTTTTAATTTTAATCTTTAAATTAAAATATCGAAGGGACGATATCAATAGTAGATAGTATCGATGTAGATTGATTGTAAAATATCGATATTTTATTAGGTCATCCTTAGTGGCTACCAAAAAAAGGCTACCCTTACTCTTGTTCGAACCTGTTCGATAAAATGAAGAGCTTGAAGTAAGTGTGGCTGCCCATGGGAAAGAAATTTGAATTGTATTACTGGCATCAATGTGTTAAAGAATTTTCTCTTTGTTTCATGATGAAGTGCATTAATTAAAATTTCTTGAGTAAAAAAAGTGATTAATGAGAGGAAAGCTTGTTCTCAAAAGAATAATTCCCAGACACTCCTATATCTCTTTCTGGAGCATCAAATATCTCCTTATACTTCTGAGGCCATCATCATTCTTTTGCCTTTGTATATTTGTCCTTAGAACATTTCTAATACTGAAATTAATACCTTCCTTACTTATAAGCAAAGCCTATTCTATAATAATCATTATAGTTATAAATACAGTAATTAGAAATTATTTGTAAAACTATTAATTTTTATTTTTCATTAAAATGATTATTATTTCAGGCTCTCTCCACCTTCACCTGGTGGCCCTCGGCGAGGTGTACCCTCACAAGGAAGCGGAGGAGGTGGAGGAGGAGGATCAAGAGCCCCACCTCCACTTCCACAATCTAACAGGCCTGCTCCGGCCATTCCCTCTCGTCCTGGTCCTGGAGCGCCTTCTGGAAGACCTGCTCAGGGTGCATTGCCGCCTCCTCTTATTCCATCGTGAGTGGTTTTTTCCTTTCGATATTACAGTTTCAGGGTATATTTGCTATTCACAATGTGTACTCTCACTGGATTTTATTGATGCTATAGCTTGCCCTCTGTAAGATGGCAGCCCGAGGGTAGACTCCTGCAGCCATCATTTAACTAATAAGGTTTTTTTTTCCCCCTTTTTCTCTAAAATTATTTACATATACTACAAGAATAAAATATAATCGTGTAACATATGTACAGATGTATATGTGTGTGCGTATTTGCAACTTTATGACAAATTGGAATATTGATATGCCTAAGGAGATACATTTTCACATCTGTAAGCAAAAGTGGAATGGAATTTGATGAAACTGATATTGGATCATTGAGGTGCCAACTTGGCAATCCTTGAAAATCAGATTTACAACAGTAGATAATATGCTCATGTCATGGATTTCACTACAGACAGACAGACGGAACCAAATTTGTTCCCTGATATGTGAAACATAAAAATTCGAGTGGAAATTTTTAACTTTGAGGACAATTATTTTTATCTCCTGCATGATTGCAAAGCTTCCTTACCTTCGGTTTTCACGTTGTTACATGCAACTCTGTCCTCGGGCTACCAACTAATTGTGGCCGAGCTATAGTAAAAGTTTTTAATTTGTTGTTGTTTGTTTCTTTCTGATTATAAGCTTAAAACCTCTAGGTCATCAACCCATATATTTTCTTTTCATAATCTCTTTTAAATCATTTAAAAACTGATTCAGGTTAAAATTAATTTTTCTAATGTTTTTGTTACGTTTTATAGGATGAATTTTTTAACTTTGAAATTATTTATTTCAATTTCTTTATTATAGATTTGTACATTTTTTTTGTTTTGTCATGTTTTTTTTTTTTTCAAAACTATTTGTTTACAATTGAGCGTAGTAATATTACTATACTCGGTAAGAATAATATTATTTCTGTTTGTGTTTATTAGGAACAAATTCTTAAAAATTTGTATTTTATTATTGTCCTCAATAAATCAATTTAAAATTTTGTATATAATTAAAACTAATATAAATATTTTAAAAGTAATATATTATGTTGAACAAAGACAGACAAGATAACTATATCTTATGCAAATATATCAAATTAAAAAAATATAATAAAAAATTGAGAAGGTGAAGACTTGTTGGAGATAAAACAAGCAATTTCATAATTAAAACTGATTAAAATTAAGATTGGTATGATCAAATATCTTTATCATTATTGTCAATTTGATAAATAGGTATTATAAAAAATATATAAACTATATTTATTAATGACAAAATTGAAGTTAAAATCAATCAAACTTATGACAAATTCTGCAAATTTGATTGTTGGCTTATTGCAAATATTCATCAAGTAATATTTGATAAAATTTAATTTCTAAGGGCTGTGATAAATTTTCTCTTTGTGAAATCAGAACATTGTGGAGCTATAATTATATTTAATACATAAAATGGTTTGTGTCATTTTGATGCACTTACTGAGTTTTATATCGTTAAATAAGGTAGAAATTCTTGAAATGTTTAGCTTCATAAAAAATTAAATTAGTTACTTTTTGCTGTATGCCAATGATACATTATATTAGCTCTACAAATGTGCTATGGCCAAAAAAAAGAAGTTGAGAACCACTGTGCTAGAGCATTACCTATGCTACCACAGGGTATGGAATATGAATTTGCAGAAGTTTCAGTGTGATTAAAGAAGAAATTTCCAAAAGCAATCAGAAATGAAATTTGGTTTTCCTAGTTATGAAGTTTGGGACTAAAAGTTTAAGTACACACTGATTAATCACGTATTCAGATATTCTACATTTGATTTCCCTCCCACCATGTTAAATAATGCACAGAAAATGAAAAAATCATCAAATGCGACTGTGATTATTCTGAGAGACATAAAGTCACTTCTAGTTGCCAACTATCCTCTTAGTAAGATGGTTAATTATTGGATTATGAGAACCTAACAATATATATATATTAATTATATTTAAAAAAAAACACAGAATACAAAAAAACATCGTTCATCAAAGAAATGATAGCATTTACTGTTATGTAAATGATTTTCTGAGTATTTGAAAAGAGAATAACTGTGAAAGTTCTGTGTAGGATGTTTAGCAGTGAATTAATTTGGACACAGAGGGAGAAAGGTTGGAAAATATGATTTGTACTTATTATAATATAATCATTCGTTGTTATGACATCTGAAAATAATTTATCCTCTACATTAAATTTTTATTGACATATTTTGACTGTTTGTGTTGTTCTTTTGTAAATGTTTTATTATTATTTGATTTTGCATGATTTTAAATTTATTGTTATGTGTTATTGTAATTGTAACTAATCAACAATAATTGGATAGCATAATGTTTTCTTAGTTGATCTTTATTAATCCTAATTCCTCAGTAGACTCACGATAATTCTCTAATTTTTTTCAAACATAAATTTTATAGTAAAACTTATAAAATATGAATATCTTCAACTTTTGTTCTTAAATCTACTTATATATGTAGACAATAGATAATGCTTTTGATTTGTCCACTTTATTCCTAACTGCGTATTTGTTTTTATATGTATATGCTAAGTAAAAATAAATCCTTAATTAAATAAATATTTATATATGTGCTATAAAAAAAAAAAAATCGAGGATCTTGTTTTTTTGTCTATTTTCTGATATAAATCTACTATTTTATTTTATTATTTATTTATTTTTCAGTACGGAATAAATGAAGCCTTTTAATTGATTTAATCTATTTAATTATATATTTTTTACCTCTAGAGGATTAACGACAATTATTGATTTTTTAATAGGTTAGCTTATGGATTATCGGAAGTCTACTGTATATTATGGTATTGGTCTTTAAACTAACCTTTACTAACCTAGTCCCTGTTGTCATGTTCTCCTCTCTTATTGTCCTACAACTTTTTTTAACCTTTCTTACAAGTGTCGATTGTTTTGGTATGAAGCTTTTGGTAATGTGGTATCTGTTAAATATTTTATCATTAACTGCCATCATCACGGGACCATTCCCACATAAAATAACTTTTTTGAGTTTGGTTTTTATAAAAATGAAAATACTCCAGTCGTGCAGAAAATAATGTATTGGGAATGTTTTCTATAACCCTATGTGTTCTTTCCGAAGCTTGTATGGTCATATATTCCTAGCAACCTATGACCGGCATAATCAACCCTTTCCATTGAGGTTTGTCTTTTTGTTTACATCTTCCCTGGTAGGTCTATATAGTATTCTATCAGATTGCAAATTTTGTTCTAGAGGTCATCAAAAGATAATATATTACCCGACTAAATACACATAGGGCAAAGCCACAAAGAGTATCAACGTATTTAGGTGGACTGCTTGTAGCTGTGTAATGTTTTTATGAGCGAATGGTGTTATCCTGTTAGCAATTTGGGCTTTGAACAATGACAAATTATTGCATAAAATGTAATCTATCTGTTGAAAGCTAGGTAATGATTTTTTTTTTTGAGCAAACAGACTGGGCAATTTTGAAATTTTATCTTGGTTGAAATTACTGCATTAGATCTTGTGAATGTTTTGAAACAATTTCAGCTTAAAATACTGAAAAAAAAATAGTTTATTTTAATTATTCTTAATTTTTTGTTGGTTTCATATGATTCATTTATTATTCGATAAAACTACATTTGCTATTTTAATTGTTATATCGAAATGAAGGTAGGTAAAGAGTTACAAAAGGAGGTAGCACAAATGACGAAGGATTTGCTGTAGGAAGTAGTTTTATGCGAGGGGATATATAAATCTATAGGTTGAGATCTGGTATTGAGAGAGTGGATAGAGGAACGTTGGGTATGGAGTTTCAGGATGTAGGGAGGGTTTTTTGTTCTGAGGACTTGGAAAAGGAAAGTACTAAGGAGGAATTGTCGTCGGGAAGTAGGATAAAGCCACTTCAGTTCGGTATACCAGAATGAAACATGAGAACGCCTATTTATAGTGCTATTGGCAGTATAAAATTGGCATGGTCATTAAGTTTTTTTTTTTTTTTTCAATTGTGATCATGTAGTCATTGGTTCCGATTTTGCTGCCTATCTCTGGTTTAAATTGATATACAGTTACTTGACCTTAAGTTGGATAGAGTTATTTCCAAAGTCAGTTTTTATTAAATTAAATTATTTTTTATTACAAATATGCAAATAAATAGTATATATTAATCATAAATAAATATAAATATAAAAGTATCTATACTTTTTAAGGGAATGATATTTATTTCTCTAAATACTTTCCTTTTTATTTTTTTTTATTTTTGTTCAATTAAAATAAAATTTTATTCATCTTTTTTCCCCCCATCATTAAAATACCCTCATAAAATATAACACTCAGAAAATGATAATGAGTCAGGACAAAAATGTTACATCTAACAGTAAATAAAAGTAGAAATGAATGATTCTATTTCACAGAGCATCTGATGATCATGAGCACTACTTAGTATTAAAATAATCAGCTCACTGTCTAGAATTGTGTGCTGTATTCAAAATATGCCTTGATGAACAAGGCATAAGACTGGATAAACAGAAAGACAATAACAGTTTCTGTTAAATTTGTGCAAAATAAATAAATAAGAAAGCAGCAAGACAGAGTTATGATGCTACCTATCAGGACCGGAACTAGTTAGGGACAAAGGGAAAACTTGCCCTGGGGCAGCAATTTTTAAATGAAAATTTGATTTTAGGTTATATTGCTTTCTGTTTTTTTAATTTAATCAATTTTAATAATTCAATGTTATGATGATCAATATATATGTAAAAATAAAACAGACTACATGGTTTTCAACGCTTCAAATTTGCCCCTTGAAATTGGTGCCTGCACGCTCAATGTCAGCCAACAGTTCAAATACCTCGGATACTGGCTATCTTCAAAGGGAGGTAGTGAGGTTGACATCGAACATACAATATACAATGGGAAAAGAATAATAAGTTCGATAAACTCAACCCTTTGGAGTAAGGAAATAAGATTGAAAACTAAAAAGATCTACCATTCCTTTGTAGAAAGCGTAGTCGCCTACAGATCAGAAGTTTGGACAATTACAAAAAAGGTGGAAAATAAGTTGCTTTCCATGGAAATGGATTTCTGGAGAAGCTGTGGCATATCTAGAATCAAGTGAATCCCAAACGCAGCAATTAGAGACAAGGTCGCATGTCAAAAGAACATCCTTCACTTGATCGAGACGAAAAGGTTTAAGTGGTATGGCCACTTAATGCGGATGGATGAGAACCGCTGGCCAAAGAAAATTTATAACTATATGCCACCTGAAAGAAGGAAGCGTGGAAGGCCAAAGAAGAAATGGATAAAGGATGTGGAGGAATGCATGGCAGCCAGAGGGTTCCATGAAGGAGATAGAATGGACAGGGAGCAGTGGCTTTTGGGTGTTAGGGATATGACTCCTTAAGTTGTAGAAAAACCTAAATAAAAAATATATATGTGCAAAATATATTTGTTAAAATAAAGTCATAAAAATTTTTATTTTTATTTGGGAAGGTAAAATAAAACTTGCATTCATGGAAAAAAAAAATAGTCAAAAATAATACTTTCAAGCCCTGCTACTTATTGTTTCATAATGACCTCACCTTTCAATCATTGATTGACCACCATACTTTCAATTTTAACCATACCTCTGCACTCTCCATTATGGCCATTCTCTCTAGTAATCAACTAGTTTTTTTATCGGTTATTTTGCCTTTACTTTTCTTTATAATTTTTCACCATTAATAGTGGTTGTTATTGACAAATGGTTTCCTTCCCGATTGTGAGTACTCACCAATACTGCGTCAACTTCAGCCCGCCCCAAGATCTTTCCTGTCTTGTGCATACTACCATGTGGTTTTGTCCCAGTTTGCTATTGCAAACCTAACAAGAATACAAGAAGATGTCTAATTTTCAGCCGGAAAAAGTTGTTTACAATTGCAGTAGGAGGTCAAAGTTATCAAGCCCAGCAACCCAAAGTTTTTTCAATTACATTGGGAGGTTACAATTTTTTGTTAATTGTATTTCTCCTTATTGGTTAGATTTTTACATGTTGATTACAACAATAAAAAGGTATCTATTTTATTCAATTAAAATATCACGATTTCATGTTTTACTTTTGTTGAATATTGTTATATGATGGATGAACTGAAATATATATATATATATATTTGTTCATTCACTCATTTGTTCTAGAACAGGTCCGAGAATTCTCTATTAGCCTAATACGATGTCCTACACAGTTTCTGTTGGTTTATTTCTTATATCAGCAATATTGGTTTGAAATATTTTATTTTGTAATTATTCATAGGTTCTTCCAAGCTAATTGTATTAACTGAAGTAGTTTTTGTTTAGTTTTTTTTTTTTTAAGAATTAGTTTGTTTATTGGTAATTGAAATATATTATTTTATTAATTCATATTATTAGTCTTTTATAAAATGTTAATGTTAAACAATAGCCAATAGTTTCAAAAGAACTTTTAAAGTTTGTCCCTGCATTTAAACAAATTATGAAATCTTTTGTTATTTCAGATTACAGTATTTATTTCAGATTATTAACATTATTTCAGAACTTCACAAAGTATAACTAATACGAATATGGTCAATCCAACATGAGTCCATGGTTTTTTTTATTTTTTATTTTATTCATTCCATTGGTTGCAACATTCGTTACTATTGAAAAGTTATAATTTAAACATAAAATTTTTAAATGATCCTATTTTAAATCCAGTATGATGATAGGTGATTGGTTCTGTGTGATGATGCCACATTATCAATTTTTTTTTTTTTTTTTATGAAATATTAATTATTAAATGTCTGCCTATGTTCCATTAGTTTTGTGTAGCATGTGCTTGACTAACTTTTGATTGTGTGTCATTGTGGGGTTTTGTTTTCTTTCAGACGACGCTAGACTGCTCCGTCACAGTTGTCAGCACTTCTTCCAGCTCTCATGTTGTTAATTGCTTCTTGAATAAGTTAAATGTGAATTTAAAAGGGTTATTACTCCGTGAATGTTATAACTATTGGAAGCAATATTATTGGCAATATAATTTTTGCATTTATTAAATGTGCATTCTTATTTTTAAAAAAATAAAAATAAATTTTAAAAAGTAAGAAAAGATCAAGTGTAAATCAGCGGAACAATATAAACAGGAAACCTTTTGTTTGTAAATATAAATCTATTTAAGAATTGTTATTAACATGTTTTAGTTGTTATATACACAACCTGAAAGAAATGTATTTGGTATAAGTTGTCAGAAAACAGTAAGGGGCTAATAAAATGTGGTTTGGTAGGCGCGGTAGTGGGCAGCAAATTCAGATCCCTCAAAGAGTTCAGCAGGAAGTTGGGAAAGTGGTTACTCAAGCTGCAATGAACGAACTTGCCAACGCTTTTTCTTCACGCTTCAAGTAGGTCAGCTTTAAAACATTTACGCCTAATAATTGTTTGTCAACCTATTTTTGTTTAATTGTTGAATATCTTGTTTGTATATAGTAACGGCTGTTCATTATAAAAGCCTTGTTAGCAGGTGTAGACTTGGGAAACATGTATCTTTATAAATATAATTGTAAAATTATATCATTTAATAATGAGATTTTTGTAATCAAAATGATTATATAAAGAAAATTGTGTAACATATTTTTTGCTTCTTGTTTAATTTGTCCTCAGTTTATGTTTTATTAGTTTATTTATACTATTCTTTGAAGATTTAATCATACACAGATATATGCGTGTTTTATTTAATCTGTCTTCCTCCAATATTTTATTGAAATATGTTATTAATTTTTTTTATCTATCGTTTCTCTTTTTATTTTGTTTTAGTATCTCCATCATTCCATAGATCTGAAATTGTACATTATATTATTTAGAGTTTACCAATTGTTAAATATTGTTAAGTAGGTAGGATAAGTATACTTGTTGTAATATACATGGGTATGTGTGCATATACAAAGGTATGTATATATACTCGTGCATCACTTATAAAATTCTTTGTAAGTGTTGTTTTTGAAATGCATATATGTAAGTACATGACAAAGCATATGTATATGTGAAGTACAAATAACTTATTGTACAATGCACCATATAATATGAATTTACTTTAATAGAAAATCTGGTGTTGTGTAGCAATCAATCCTTTAAAACCTAATTATTACATTTTTTTTTTACAGTTGGTTAAATCCAAGTTATTTTAATATTTTTGCTCAATAATATAGCTTAATTTGGCTAGGTGATTGTGTGTAGCCAGTCATGTAGTTATTAGTAATCTTACATACCAGGCCTATACTGTATAATTCGTTATGCAATTTTGTTGATGGTTAATCAATTTCGCACCTTTATCTTTATAATAATTATTGTCCTTTGCTATATAACAGTTTTTGTCCCCTCTAAAATATATTACAGTTAAATATCTTTATTAAATTCATCTAGTTCTTTAAAAATTTCAATGAAATCTTATGGCAGTTATAGTAAACGTTAGTTCAGTTATGCACATAGGATTCAGTGTGATTTAGAACCGTTCAAATATATCATAATATTCAAATCAACTTTGTAGTTAGTCACTTGTTAATAATATTATATTTGACACTGATAAGATTAGGCATTGGTGGTTATAAATATTTCCAAATTTCGAAGTGTTTGCAGTATAGGTCACTTACCAGGTTGTGCATAACAATATGCAAAATATGATTCTGTTGTTTTTATGTTTTGTAATACATTTATAATGGGACAAGCTGAAATGATTTTGTATAACCATGTTAAAATTATTATGTGAAAAAAATTTGATTATTATTATATGATTAGGATTTTATTAATCTTCATTTTTTTACATTTTAATGAGAAAATATCCAAACTTATATGAGTGAATCAATAATTTTGTTACCTATTTGAAAATATTAGGTTAACTTGTATTTTCTAAACATAGATAATTGTGTTCATCTTAAGATAAATTGCAGTATTATTCTATAGATCTTAGCAAATAGTGCCTATGTATATCGTATGAACTCTTTACGTATAAATTTAAATATTATCGAAGATAGGATTTTGTTTTAATTTATAAATAGTCAAAACTATATATTTTTAAACAAATTCCTGTTCTGTGTTATACTTTGCTCTAGTGCCTTAGTTTATTTAATTTTAGCAAAGAGAAAATAAAAAAAAATTATGTAATACCGTTAAAAAGAAAAAAATTATTTTGAAGTTAATGAAAGAAAAAAAGTAATGAATCTCAGGTTACGATATTTTTTTTTATTGTCAAATTTATCTAAATTAATCATCTATGATTGGTGTTCCTAAAACCAGTGAGATTTATGATTATTCATCCTTTTATATTTGTGTATATCGATATACATACATTCAAAAAAAGTGTATATGGAAAGAATAGTATGTATATTTATAAATTATTTTTTGTGTTAATTATTTATTTATTTCTTGTAATGGATTACATATGCTATCATATAAAACATAAAATGTTAGTCAAGCTATTATTATTAATATAGGAAATGTATTGCCTATTTGTATGTAAATATATACCTTGTTGGTGTATTCATTCCCTGCCTTCTGTTGTGTTTTTGTCTAATTTGTTAATCATCATATATGTTTTTCCTGGACTGAGCTTCATTTAATGTATTATCGGTGCTGGTATAACCAAGTTTCTTTCAGATTGACAGTTGATAAGATTTATTATAATGCTTTGCATGTTAGGTTTCTTTAACAAAAGTGTTAATTGTTTGATGCTTTTAATATTTTATGATCTCCAATTATTAATAATAATAACTTTATTAATTATCAATAATTAATAAAGTTCTGAACCTTATAATCAGAGATTAAGATTGTTATAAATTATCAAAATCTGTTTATTTTATTACACGAATTAGTGAGGTAAATACGCATATAAATTAATAGCGAATGACTGAATTTTTAAAAAAATACAGTGACTACTGGTAAATGAGGAATGCATATTTTATTATTCAAATAATCTATTAAACTTTAAACCCAAAGAAAGATGGTTTGATTGGAGAAATTGGAATGGAATGCATAATTGTATGACCATGCTGTAAAGATAACTGAAGTTATATGTTGATGTTGATTATTATGGGCTTATGAAGTAAAGTTTTATAAGAAATAAATTCTATTTAAAATGCAATCAGTGTTAAACCTGCACATTAGGTCCTGATAGGAGGGTCAAATTAATAAGGTGATTTGATGAGTTTTGTAAATAGATGTGATAAGGTTTGCAAATTGTCTAAATTAATAGATTCAGGTTTTGGTGGGGTTCAGTCAAGTAATGTTGGGAACTGTAATGTGACTCTGGAGCACAAGCAAGCTTTTTAGACAAAATAAGGAAGAGGATTGGCAATCATTTCTTTTAGTCATAACAATACGTACCTACTGCTGTCTAAAAAAAAATTTAGACATCAAATTTCAATCCTGCTATGCTAAAGTTTGTACTAAGTAATGATTCATACTTTTATCTTGATAGTCTGTGGAGAACATTTTAGTAGAATCAAACTCCTAGACACAATAACATTTAATAAAATCTCTCAAGTATAAAATAGCCGATGTTTTGAAACATTAGCTGCGTTCCAACATAAGCCACGGATATTTTCACATGACCATTCTTATTGCATAGTGATGGTCTGTGAAGACTATTTCATTCATACCTTATTAAATTTCACTTTTAGAAGTTAAATAGCTTTTGGTTCAGGTTACTTGTCTCATAATACTAAATTTCATGGGACAAGCTAATATTTGAACCCACTAGGTCCTGGCTAGGTATAAAAAAATTTCTGCTGACAAAATTATTAAACTTTGCGATTGGTTAATATTACTTATAAATGGTTCTGGACATCGACACTTTAACCTGAAAAGAGTATGTTATATCAATCAGAGACATAAGTGGTTAGAAAACAGTATTACCTATTCTGTCTTCCAAGAATAATGTTTGAGAATTGGGCTTGTCCACTTCCTTGACCTTTATAAATCGAGTTATTATTATTAAAAATCCAATTTCTTAATTTTTAAGATTATTTAATTACATCAAAACTCGTTTAAAAAAATGATATTCTATTATTTTGTTTTAAATAATTTTATGAAGATAGATTCGTGTGGTTTTAGATAGCAAGATTTATTCAAGTTTCCCCCAAATAGGTCTGTGGCCTATTTTCCCTTGTTTGCAACTTTAATACCCTTGTATTTCCACGAATGGTCGAAAATTTTAGAATATCAAGTTCATTTGTAATTTTTATTGTTACAATAATATTATACTGGCTTCAATTTTTGTTCCCTATAAGTGACTCTCCTCTGCCTGTCTGTGGTCGCCTTACCCAGGTTATGGTCCTGTCATGTATAGATTACTATGAAATACTGATGTTGATCCATATCTTATGATCATATAATCATGTTTTCTTGATAAGTAATCATACTTCTAATTTGCACAATTGTTTTGAATTGGTAGTTTGAGATGTATTTTTCATTTCAAATTTTACTTCAATACTATAAAAAAATATTCGACTATAGCATTTGATCATCAAGTTGTTTTTATTTACTTATATATAATGTTAATGCTCTTACAAAATAAAAAGGTTTGTTTTTATAAAATGTCTTAATTAATATTGAGCCTGCACCCAAAAATCTTGACTTTTTTTTTTCTTCACACTTCTGTAATTTTCATCATCTAATAAGAACCTGAAGGATCATTTTCTGTGTTGTGTCCACTCTGCAAGACATTTTATTATTTCCCTTTCTTAACCCTTTCTTTAGATGCACGTAGCCTGAATCAGGTGGGGAGGTTACTGAAGGTCTAGTCAACCCCTTTTGCGCTGGATTTATTCATTGAATTGCTCCCTTCTTTTGCACTTCTCACTTTAAAATATGCTTCTTTTTTTTATAACTGACTTATACATTTTTCTTTGATATGATATTAGCTCATATTTCAATATATGAGCTATTTTTTTCTTTAATTTTATAGTTTATTAATTGCCTTACATTACTTTTACATTATAGTGTAACATTTACATTATTTTTTTATTCTTCATTTGAATTTTTTTATTATCAACCAATTTCTGATATAGAAAAATTTAAAAAACGTTTCATTCTCTAGTGTTTTATTACATTAACTTCAATTGAAAAAAATGTATACTTTGGAAAAAAAAATTTTTTTTAAGATTCAAAAAAAATGTTAGAACTTTCGCACTATAAAACACTACCGACTGCTGTTAGTTTTAGAGCTAAACTGTATTAAAAAGACTAGATAGAAAGGTTGAAAAAGGAGTGGAAGCAGATTTACCCGCGACTACATAATACCTCTCATGCAATCCAGTGTTTTCAGCAACAACCTGTGATTAATGGGGCACCCGGTAGAAAAATATGTAACGAGTCACAGTATTGGTTTTGCTCAACTAAAATATAAAAAACTGAAGCCAATATATTGGCTTTGCCCTTGAGGAGCTTGGTCTTTCCAGAGCCACTGTATTGGCATTAGGCACTGGTGTCACGGCCAGCCCTTAAAGGCGGTGCAAGTGGAAGTAGAATTGTATTAAAATTGTGGTTTATTTACAAATAAACTGGTTGTAATATATTCCATGTTTTTCCTTGTTCTTAGGTTCCCATAGAAATATTGCTCCCTCCAAAAATTCATTACTCCTTTAAAGTTTGCCCCCTTTAAAAATCAACACCTAAAAATAAGTAAAAAAAGCAAAGTAAAAATTTACTCTTCAAATTTGTAGTGCCATGCAGAACCTCCTTCTGGGCACCTCTTAAGTTAGCTGAGGTTTATGTTATATTTTTCCTGGATAAAGTAAATGAGATATTCTTAAATTAAAAATAAGTTTAAGTGGGAATTAAAACTTTTGTTTTGTTTTTTCTTCAATAAATTCCTAAAATACTTGAGTGTTGATTAATGATAACAGAGGAACAATCTGTATTTTGCAGAACTATAAAATTGAATTAATTAATGGAACATATAAAATTCAGTAATATATTAATTAAGTTAAGAATTTGAATAATTTGTTGTCAGGAAAAGTAGAGCATACTTCTATGTATTTAAAGAAAGTGTAAATTTCATATTCCAAAAAACTTAAAATGGTATGCAGCTGAAAGGGTTTCCATGTTATTTGGTTATCAGTTAATGATAAAAATAATTGCTATTTAAAGACTTGATTTTTTTATGGAGTTAATTAAAGTTTTCCATTGATCTAGAACAATTTAAAATCGGTTATAGATAAGGTTAAGAAATATTGAATATAAAGTTAAAATTTCCCAGAGTGATAAAGCCTTTTTTTTGGTCAATTATCCCCCTACTCTACCCAGATGCTTGGGTCGAAATGTCGGCAACTAGAATAAACAAATTCAGGTCGAAAATCCTGTCTATCATCCTACATAATTTTCAGAACAGTCTACAAATCCATTTTAAAAATTTTCTATTTTTCATTCAAAAATACTCAATTCATTTTTGAGATTACTCACATTTACTATGTTTTAAACAATATTCAAAGAAACATACATATATTTATGGGATATAGAGGTGCTATTTTTTGGGGGTAGAGTTATATTTTTATTATATTCCTGGTATTAATTCAGAAAAGCTATTTAGGTTTTTAATGTTTATTTTCTACATCAGCATGAAATATTTTTTAAATATGAAATAATACTGATTTGATAATTTTAGAAATTCATAACTTTTATCCTTTCATTTCTCAGCTAATTATTTTTTTAATATCCTCTAATATTTTTTTATTCTATTTTTTTGTATAAAATACTTGATATATTTTATAATTGTTTTGTTTTTTGTGTAGACGCCCAGTTAATTTGGCTAAACCTAAACTACCTGAAAGGCCTCATAGCCAGTATCTTGGAAAGCTTCATTAGTTTTGAATGAATGTTCGACAGAATATTTTATTTAGTAACTGAAACTGAAATATTTTTATTGAAGAGAAGTATTTTTAAACAGTGGATTTCAGTGGTACTTATTTCTTATAATATTAGATTGATTCTGAAGTTTCAAAACATCTGTTTTCATATTTAAGATACTTCTCACTAAATGTGTGTAACTATTTGATGAACCCATTGACTTTTTTCATTCAAGTTGTAGAATTAACAAAGTATCCTGATATTGTTAGTACATAGATTTGTTTTAGTTATGATTTATTTATTTTTAATGTCAAAGGTTGGCATAATTTTTTATGTATACCAAAGTATTCCATGATGCCTGAAAGCCCTTTGTTAATGAATGATTTTTAAAATGAATGCATGATATTAATAAGTAGAATTTAAAGTCTAAAACCAATGATTTCTTTATATTTATGTAAATATTTAACATCACTTTATCTGTTGTAAATATTAAAAAATCATGGAATCAAATATTTATATATGATATATAAATGTTTTATTTAAATCTAGTTACCAATAAATTGTAAATATTACAAATACATTCCTAATAATTTCTTTGATTCCTAATAGATATGGGTTGATTTCAAGAATAAGTACTCTTGTATGCTTTGAAGATTGACAAATAAATAAATTATAACATTTATTGTATAAATGATTTTTAGTACTTTGTTCGAACTTAAATCTATTAATGGATGTGAAGTACTTTAGTATCTACTACCAATGTGATATATAAAAGTATTGTTAATAGATATGTAATTTATTATTTAGCTTTTTACTGATATATATTATGTTTTTATACACATGCATTTGTATAATTATGAAATAAACACTGTATATATATATATATATATATATATATATATATATATATATATATATATATATATATATGTATATTGTAATAAATACCTACAATTTTTTTTCACCTACTTTTCTTTAGAAAATTAGAATAGCATCCTAATCGTTAAATTAATGTTTTTTTGTCAGAATCAATGGTGTTTTAATAAAAATAAGTTTAAGTTTTATATAATATTTATTCAAACAGTAAAATTAAAACTTTTATCAGTTTATTTAAAGTATCTGTCAAAAAATGTTCAAGTACAAAAGATATAGGAGGCGGTGCAGTTAGTATGGAAGCTTTTGATTGGTCCTCAATGAACCAATGGTTGTAGTCGAGGTTTCAGAATTTTGACACTAGGATAAAATGGTTGTCTACGCGTGTAGTCTGAGGTTGGCAGTCGTCTCGGGATGTTAAGTGGTTGATATTACGATTTTTATAAGTCATAACAATTCCAAAGTAATTGAAAATAGCAATTTATCGTTTATTTTAATCCCGTATTTGTCATAATCCATGTAAAACTTAACGATTCAAATTATTTGATTCCTGCCTTGATTGTGTTATTATTTTATACTATGAGATATCTGGAATGCAATGCACTTTAGAATATTATCATCAGACGAACTCTTACGGATATTCAAAATCTTAACAAATCACTTGGTTGTTTTGACATAAGTATACAATTAGTATTTAACGGTGCTTCAATGAATTTTCTTCCATCTCAAATTCGTATGATATAAGATTTTATAAGATATTTCTAACTTAATAGTTCAGTTCGTGTTGTGGAAATAAGTAAATATGTGTTGCTTTTTAAAAGAAAACATTGAGTTTCAAGCAAAGTGCATTTTGTGGTGAAGGATTAGTGAAATGGCATTCATGATGAAGAAAAAGAAATACAAATTTACGGTTCTGTTGTGTTTAGAAGAAATTACTGCTGTACCTTTCCTAAATGGTGTACTTTTTGCAAAAGTTCGACTCCTGGATGGTGGTAATTTCATGGAAACATCCAGCAGGTAATTCTAATTTGTTATATTTTTATTTATTTGTTTCATTATGACATTAGTAATTTAAAAAATACACTCAAATGAAGTTCCAAATTTTATTTTAAGACGAATGATCATATAAAAGAGACATTACAATTTCAATTTTGCTGTAATTTGAAATTAGATCCAGTTTTATAGTGGATTCTCTATGTTTATTAATGTGCGAAAGATAGTAGATTGAATTCTATCTATTTCTTTTTTTATGTGTTGTTGATCAGTTATTTGTATTCGATAGATTGAGTAGATACTAGTTTTATTTATTTTGTACATTATCCATTGCTATTAAATATTACAGTGATTGTCAGGACTATATATTTATCTGTTATGAATATTAAAATTATTCTTTTTATTTTTTTTTTATTAAAGTATTTTAGCACCTGTGAAAGAATTGTCTGCTTAGTTAATTTTCTGTCTCATGGGTTGTATTAATTTTTTCATCCATTAATTTAATCTTGTCCGATTATTCATTAAATTCTTTAAAATATTACCCATCATATTTCAAAATTTACTTTGTAGTTTATTTTAAGCTTTAAATGTTTCTAAACATTTTAATGTGTTAACTATTTAGAGCTGTTTCTTATTTTGTTTTCGCTCCATGAAGCTTAAATAGTTGGTCTTTAAAATTCTATAGATATGGTAGTATTATTATATGTATAGGTATACCTAATGATTTTACATGATATAAATGAAGGAAAAAAAATGTATTGACATGTATAATACTACTTGATATTTTTATTTACTTGTTTCATTTAAGGTAGTTGTTCCTTTTTGTTTATTGGATTAGCGTATTGAACCAGTTTCAAGAGGTTTAAACTACATTTTTTTAAATATGCCGAAAACCGAATTTATGATTATCTTGATTGGTTATATTTTCTTTAGAATAATTTATGAAATTCATATTAATATAAATTTTCATTATTGTTTTTAAAAGAATAAAACAATATATGTGGTTTTAGTCTGGGTTTAGAAGTTTAATATAAACTTTGAAATATTTTAAAAACTCAATAAAGACAACAAAAAAAAAAAAATCATTTTCCTCTATATCTGTGGCTAACTAAGGCAGAGGTTGATAAAGGAGATATGCCTGGCTTCATGTCAAATTCATTTCTTTTGATTTCATTATTAATTATTTATTTGATATTATTATTCATCATTTATTATTTTGATATGGATTATTGAATGTCCTGATGTAATTAAAAATAAATTTTAACAATTAATTGGCTGTGAAATCCATTGATTCACACTGCTATTTCTATCCATAGTATGGGTGCCCAGAAGGGAGTTTGATGGCGCAACTTGCGCCATCAAAATTTTTGATGGGGGCATATTTTGGGGGGTTTATGACTTTTCGTAGTGAAAAGTTTCATACTTAGGAACAAGGGGAAAATGGAATAGACTGCTGCAAGTGTAGTTGTATATGATCGACGATTTTTCTAATTCTATCTTCGCTTGCTCAGTTTTAAGAAAAAGGGAGCATAAAATATGGTGTGGTGTGGATTGGTTCTTACACCATCGACCTTAGGGGAAAGAGATGGGCACCCCTGATCCATAGATTCATAAGTGCTAAAATTAATTACAATAGAATCAGTAAATAATATATATATATATTATTTTTGTTATTCATGAAATTTACAACTGTGTATAAAGAAATATACATCTGGTAAATGTGATACAGAGAAATACAATAGCATGAAAAGATTTGTAGAGAATCTACCCATTGGTAGCATTCGAGTAAATGATATTTAAATATATATTCGAGGAATATTTACATTTTAGGGTTTTATTTGACCTTTGCTCAAATTCAGTTCCAGATAACACCACAACTTTCTCACAGAATTTTGAATAATCATAAATGAGTTGTTATAGAATCATTTGTGTTTCATTACAAGAAATTACAAAAGATGGGTAGTTCAAAAGAATTATTTTTCAGAATTCTCATATCCATGCAGATAAAAAATTTTTGACGGACGTCTATCATGTTATATGTATACTATTACATGTATTCAAGGTGTCCAAGTATTTATCATGACCATGCTTGATAAAAGTCTTAGGATGTGTTGTAGATTTCACATAAATTATTTTGAACATATAGTTATTTTTTTTTATTCTTTATTTCCAAAACCTGCAGCTGTCATATCATTGTAATTATTATTATTTATTATATTAAATATAAATATACCTTAAATGACGCTTTAATCTTGTTATCACCCACTTCTAGATATGTATTGAGGTACTCTCATTTCTGGGATTTTTTTTGAAAGAGGTGGAGTTATATGTATTCTCTCTTGTATACTTGCCTTACAATATTAATTAATTATTCATATCTTGTATTTAAAATGAAAAAAAAATTCTTCAAAATAAAAAATTTAATGGTTTATATATAATAAGATTGATGCTAAAGTTAATCAATGGGCTTGGCCATGCCATGTAAATCAGTCCTTCATTACATATGGAATCGTATTATGGTATGTCAATAGGATTCGGCACAATATCCTTCCCGACGATCGTTATGTGGAGACGCGGGAAATCAAGGTCGGAAACCAGGGCACTCCCGAGTTGACTTGGGTGGCAACTTCAGTACTAAAAGAGTACGGAGATGTAGAGTCTTGGTTCATCGTCACAATTTTTTCTTCCCTCTTACAACATGATATAATACCAGCTCTTTCTGTCGCTTATCATCTTAATTCGCGAATTAAGCGAGTTGAGGGTCCAAAGAAGGCGCCAATTTGAGGAAAGACATGTCGGTCTTCTACATGTCAGAGACCAAGAAACAGATTTAATCGAATGGAAGCAGTGTCTGGTGTATAAAATCATATTCTGTTTTAATGTAATGATGGATAATACCGATGAAGATGTCCCTAATCTACCGAAGTAAAGGAATTGATTTTTTTACTTGGTAGTTGAGAATTCGTCGTTTTGTAATGTATTAAAGATCAGCGATGAAGATTGAGCCTAAACAGCATATTCACAACCAGTGTGGAACAAAAAGCAAATATTCCATATGTAGTTCGTTGCAACTATTTATATCTGCCATAACTGTCGATTGAACTATTTTTTTCAGCTCTTGTTGTATCCTGATAACAGTTTTTAGTGGTCGGCTCCTTGTAGTACTTTTAGAAAATTTCAATTTTATTGTATGTAATAAATTTTTAATTTATTATAATATCACAGAAAGTTGAGAAGTGATGTAATATTTTTCTAAAATTACAAAATGTGAAAAAAAATGTCTAAAATTGTATGATTTTGTTACCAAAATCGCCACAGAACGTAATTTTATTATTGGTTTTTAAATACTTATCTGAATTCGACGAACAAAAGGAGGTATATATAAATTTCGTTTAGAAAAATTTGGGAAGAATATTTATTTTATTAAAGTTTCTTTTTTTAGTTCATTCATTTTATTATAATCAGAATTCCTAATGGTATTTAAAAATATTTAACATTAATAAAAAAAATATGACGATGTGAAGTAAGAATTAATAGGCTGGAATTTTATTTTCTCCCTTTTATAATAATGAAAAGAAAACAACTATGAATAACTAGTCAATACAGATATATATTTTTAATTTTGTTTCGTTAGTCAGAAATAATTGATTTTATAATAATTTATTATAATATAATTTACTGTTATTCTTTAATCATTCGGCTTTATATGATATATAAATATAAATTCATTTAACTCTTCACCCAGGGAACTTCCGAGGAAGTTGATAACTGTATAAGTGGGTAGGTACCCCATGTCTATAACGGTCCATAAGCTATTGATTCTCCGTCCTGCTGTGGCAAGAATTCATTCTTCCCTGTGGAGAATAGGGTAAGGATTTTGAAGAAGTTGCTGACTGAGTAAGGGGAGATTTTTCGAGGTTAAAAAAAAAAATTACTCATTTTATATATTTTAGTTTGAAACATTCTAGTGTATTTGTTCAATTTACCTCGTGAGAGAATTCATAAAAAATCTTGGCGATTTTAGGTTATGGAATTTCACTTAATGACTTTTTGCAATGAACCGACGATACAATGGCCATTATTTGCTATATTTTAATTTTCCTTTAAGGTTTTATTTTGAATGAACCAGATTTTTCTTTTTACTGTCAATTGAATCGTCAATTTCAGAAACAGCCTGCGTTTTTATTGGCCTTGAATTAGCACTTTTTATGAGTACGCTGTTCTTGGACACATCTTTTAATAGATGAAGGCATATTGCATAAATATTGTAAAGATTAATTAATTACGCTGTTTTTTTTTGTTTTTTTTACTCTGCTCTCTATAAATACTTAGGTTTAAAATATTTTTTTGCGAAGATTTTTAAAATTATAAATATGTCACATGTGTTATTTTTAAAATAACTGTTCAGTTAGGGTGACTAATTAAAAAAATATATATATTTTTAAAGTAGTAATTATATTATGTACCAAATGTAATTTAAAAAAAAAACTATTATTAACATTCATTTGTTGTATACACTGAACGATATTGGTAGACTAGAAACGTTTTCTTCCAGAGTAAATTCGAATTCATGTTATATTACGTATAATTGATTTTTTCGTCTTTTCGTTTATTATACTTTTTTTTTTATAATATAAATATTGTTATTGTGAAACCCGTTATGACAGAAGATATTTAGTTGGTCCACTAAATCTCGTTTTCTGTCTCGTTTAAGTCTCGTTTTCTGTTAGGAATGCGATAATGTATCAGATGATGGGTGAATGGCCAAGAGAAACAACTAAAAATACTAAGAAACATTCTAGAACTGTTTTAGCTAAATGCTTTGCCAGGTCATTTTTACTGCAACGGATCCGCAAACGCGCCTTGTTATATGATGGATCTTTTCCCATTGCAGGACTTAGCAGCGGTAAATTTTCATTTATTCTGATGTCTTACGAGAGAGAGAAAACAATTTTTAATAGAAAAAGCATTTTTAGGTTTTCTGGAAAAAATAAAACTTTCGTAGTTGTATGTGATGTACAAGGCCCGGATTTTTATGCTGTAAAAACCCACAGAATTTGCCATATAATATGCAGTAAAAAAATATATGAAAAATACAGTAATCTATAAATATTCTAAACTTACTAATTACTTGATTACTAATGTGCCAGTAATGTATTTTTAATTATACTGATGGACCTACAAAAAGTTTTAAAATAAAAAAGAAATCAGAGTAATTTCATTTTTTTTTTTTTAATATCTAAACCAAAGAATGAATTAAATAAAGAAGTTAATCCAAAGTTACAAAACTATTCTATCCAAAATAAATTTCGAATTCACGCGCTAATCCAAGTTAATATGTTTCTCATTATAAAAAAAAAATTAAATTATATTGTGTTTAAATCTTGGGGGAAATATTGCATCATTGATCAGACTTTTTGTGATAATATCTAAACATATTCTAATTTAAATAAAAGTTCCATTATTAGCACATTATAATTATAATTGGAATTTCAGGGAATAACTTCTGTTGTTTACATTTAATTACTGTTTTAAAATCTATAAATTATTTAGGTAATAGATATAACATTAGTCAATTTTACTTTGACGAACGAAAATTAATACTCAAAACGAAAATTTGTTCATTGAAAGTAAACCTACGATTTCAATGTGGAATTGCATCTTCAAGATTTCATTTTAATTTGTATTTATAAATAAATATTCTATAATGTATTTTTATTTTGTTAAATTATCCAAATACGCAATTATATGCATTTATTCTCAAATATGTAAAAGAAAATTTGGCTGATTGCATCACAGTGTACTAACTCGTATAAAGTTTTCATTGAGCGGTTAAAAAAAATCACGCAAACAGAATGTGCAATTGCATAAAAATCCGGGCCTTGGTTATAAAGATGATTCCACTGGTTAATTTAAATGGCATTTCGGGGCGTGCCCCTTTTAAATATAATTGATATAATAACATTTGAAATAATTGGCGAGGAAGCGGAGGGGAGAGAATCTAACGAAGCAGAAGTTTTTTGTTGTTCAGTTTTTCTGACCCTAGTGTGAGAGCCCTTTTCAGACTTAACGGTTCCTGGACAGTGCAAACTATTTTTTACTTCTCTTCTACTAATTTAATCGTCATGGCAGCATGTCTTTTTTGGAAGGAGGCATAATTTTTTGTAAGGTTGCTTAGAATCATTAAGGCTAAAATTTTGCAAACCAATTTTGGAATTTTTTTTTTCTCCTTATTTTATTGGCTACTGCGATTTATTATCTCTTTTCTAAAAATAGAGAAAAAAATGTAGTTCTTAATCGCGTTTCCTCGTGTTCCACTTGTTAATTCCAACACAGTAGTTGTGATATTTTCCTTCTTTCCCCTATCTTTATTTCACGCCTGTCGGAAGAAAATGTCGACAGTCGGGGAATTGTCGTAAATCGAAGATAAAAGGCATGCCAGAGATACGAGGAAGTAGAGCACCCAGTGGTAGCTCTTCCGGGGTTAGTGCAATATTACCAGGTGGTCTCTAAAGGAGATCATTCGTCCATGTCCTTTTCGGTCTCCTACAGAATGCCGACCGTAATCGTTTGAAGTATAAGTCTGTTAAGGTCTTAATGTAATTTGTTAGGAAATCGTTTGTGAATTTTAAATTGTTTGTGTATATTGTAGAATTTGTTATCTTCGCTTTTTATCTAATTATTAATATCCGCCTAAAACTAAGTGAATAGCTTCGTCTCATCCTAGCCTTCAACTTTTTTACTTACGAAATTCTCAGAATTAGGCCGTTTTCAATCTGGAGAGGGCAAAGCTTGTCTATTTAATTAGGTACTAAAAATTCATAAGCGCCCATTTGCTTTCCACTTGAGTGTTTGGTAATTTGATAAAAAAAAATGTGTAAAGAAGTTGCCCTACAAGAATATTGACCTTCACTCCAGAACGTGTCAAAATAATGAGGTTATATAGACCAAATGGCCCTATATTTTTGTAGGCTACTTTTTTTTTTTCGACTTCGTGATCAAATTATCTTACGATTCTGGTGGAATGCAAACGGGTATTCCTGAGTTTTTAATACCTCATTAATTTAATGAGGAATCGTCCCATTTTTGAGAATTTCGGTAGATAAAAAAAATTGTAGGTTGCGATGAGATATGGCCATTCAAGAATTTTTATGTGAATGTTAATAATTTGATAAAAAGGGTTCTGTACCACGGACTATACAGGGTGAAATCCAAGTTAAGGTTTTTGATGAATATGAAGTGATAACTAAAGAAATATTTAATTTAAGTAATTGACAATCGTTTCACTGTAAACTAGACAAAATTTACCTTTAATGAAATTGAAGTTTGTCTATGTTGAGACCATTTAAAGACGAAGTTTAGGCGGTTAAACTGGGTTAAGTTCGGTTTTTAAAAAAATCATAAATTATTGACGATTTTTTTTTTTTTATCTTTATCTAACTGTACCACAGATACCCCCACTTTTAGAAAAACTTCTTCGCTTACTAAGCTTCACGACCATATTAATTAAATTGAGGTTTATTAGGCAAAATTTTGAGATTCATCTAAAGTTGCGTAACAAAATGTCTGCCTACTTCTATCCAGTCACCTAATGGTGTTCGTGTTTTCAGAAAAAATGACTACAATTAACTGTTGCAAAGCTTTTATTTATTGTTTTTTCATGGTCTGGGATTTATTTTAATGTCAGGCTTGAGATCTGCTATCACTCCTATAAAAATTTCCCTCTACTTATGGATCACACTTTATATTGTTCTTGATGTGTATCGCCTCTTTTAGTTTTCTGC